GACTTCCACGACAAAGATTTAGCACGGTGTCAAGAGACAAAATTTTGTTGTGACAAAAGGCATCAATGCGCGTAATTGTTCTGTATGCACGTATGCAAGTGCCTGAACACGGTGACAGGAAAGAAAAACTCATTTGTGCGGTAGTGAGATTACTATAAAAGGACACTGCAATTAATTTTAGCTGGATGTAAAGACAAAAAAGAAGACGAGACGAAATCAACGCACCCGTTAATGAGAAGAGATATTTATGGGTACCTTTGTGGTTTTTTCTTGGGGAAAATTTTATATATCCACGTTTTGAATGTGACAAAACCATTAGAAATACGATGTTTCTAATTTATAGATGTATTTTATAACAAAACACTGACTAAAAGTCAATGATTTTTGATTTCTTACCCTCTTAAGTGACCTGACGTCGGCTATATCTAAATCATCCATCTTCTCAGTAATTGTAGTTTAAATGTGAAAATCACATACAAGGCGAACCAACAGACATCTAGACATTAAGATTGACGTGTAGAGGTCAACGAAAACGATGAATTAATGAAACTTTCTCGGACATAGAGTAATGATACTCTAGACACATTTCCTTAATATCCGTCCAGGATAATAGGGACGCCTACGTATCACTAATGACAGTGATTTGTTTGCAATATAGATCTCCACCTACACTTATAGCGGATCATTCATACCATTATTACGTCATCAAAAAGGGGAGGGGATTTCCTTGCTTGCTTATTATAGATGGTATGAAGGCCGGGGAAGGTCTCAATAGTAATGTCATATATGTGTATTTTCACGCGCACTACTCGTTAAATAAAACTACTAACAACGGTTTTATTGCAATATTGTAATTTAGAAAAATCTATGTTCAGTTGATTCTGATCTTTATAGGTACCGTGTTCGTGCATTATTCCCCCAACGCAGGGTCGACGGGATAAGTGGGGCTTTCCCCCACTTATCCCGTCCTATTAAACCTATCTATGGATGTCATGAACATGGAAGGCGATGCACCAAAACAGTCCGGAGGCCTTTTCTAGCGCGGGAAATAATTAATACCCTCTGATCCGCATTAGGCCAGCGTGGAGCTCCTTAACCATCCATAAGGAAGGCCGAAGCCCGAGTAGTGGGGATGTAAAAGGGCTGATGATGATAAAACAAGCAATCAAATGTTACCTTTTTGTGGTATGTAACCAACATGCCGACTCAATCTATTGAAATGCTCTGTAATAATTTCACTTCAATTAAGTTCGTGTAAAAACTATGAATACAAAATACATATATACAATGTGTCTGTGGGTACAGCGAGTGAAAGTGGGTAATTGTATAACAGTTTCATCAATTAAATCATGGGAAACTTGCTCAGTTAATTCGCATCTATAATCTGTCAGCGTATTATAATGAAATACGTCACTTCCCCTTATATTACGATTGTCACTTCCGTTCCTCAGTAGCCTGATCCGAAATATTAATTCTAGATGAATGTTAAGAATGCCTTATAGGCAGTGAGCCCGCCATTTGCCGTAATATAGGCAATAAAATTAAATGAATTTAAAAAAATCTCTAAATTTCCATGGGTTTTGTACACTACAGAACACACGGTTCGCTTAGAAATATAAAATATATTTCTAAACGTACCGTCACGAGCAAAACGCGAACTTATGTAGTTTTCTCTATAAACACAAAGTTACCCCTAAAATTCAATATTTTTCCACTTTTCATTGGAATGTTACCCTTCTGATAGGTAAAATTGATAATGCGATATTTTTACTTGAATTACTACATTATTATTTATATTGAGTTCCTTTGTTCTGGGGAAGACACGTTATGCAGTTGGTTGTAGCTGCATCTGCAGTCGTAAACCCCCACTTTTTTTCTTTGTTAACGCAGGAGAAATATACCTTAAGCCTCAAACCAGGGCTCTCCTTCCACCCCGCCTTAAAAAGGGCAGATTAGCCTAGAAGGGGCCTAAATGGTAAAACCCGCTGCGGTTCACCTCACACGGATAGGAAGAATCCGGTATCCTGCGGTTTCAACAGTCATTAACACCCACATATCTGTCCCCTTATTCTGTAACTTTGAGGACTGTTCCCTTATTCTGTAACTCTGGGGACAACCGTAATAAATTGTTCACAGAATGGGCTAGTGTTCAGACAAATAAGAGATTTTTGACACATTGGAATTGTTTTTTTACGGTGATTACGACTTTAAGCTGTCTGTTGAATTAGCGAATAAGATTGCTGGACCTGGTTGGTGGCCACGGCTCGTTCTCCCTAATTAAATTCATCAATAGGCAGGAAACGCAAGAAATATAACATCCACTTTTTCAATTCTAGCACGGCGATTTTTCATTTTCATGATCAGTTCATTATTTCCAAAGATTACCCACTACAAACCAACATACAAAGTTGGAAACGATACCTCTTTATAATATTAATATAAATTGAATATAAAAAAAATATAAAATTGAATACTTATTCGTATTTATGTCCATTGTTTCAGATAGTTTCCAAGTGGGTGCAGTGGACGACGGTGTATTGGCGAGGCGAAGAATGATCACTCTCAGTTTACTCAGCTCTCGGCAAAATGGCCGCGCTCTCCTGCTACCAACCCTGCCGCTCACACCTCGCACAACCCGCTAGGTAACTAGTCTAAGGGATTATGACAAAAATATGCAAGAGCTTTCTAAAGTTTAATATTTCAGTGTATTTAAGTGCGGAGATCAGGCGCTGGAATACCCCTTACTATTTTAACCTAACCAACTAAGTCTGAATAGACCATGATGAAGATAGTCTCTCTATAAAAAAGTTTTTAAAATGTCGATTGCTTAGTCGTTCTGCAAAGTCGAAGTTCTTCAATCACAACACTTATAAAAATATTATAAGCTAGATATTTAATGAGAGTAAATAATATTTAGTAACATAAACAAACGCGTTATTCAAGCTATCGTATTTGTATTATCTTAACAAAAAAGCTAGGTAATACCCGTGGTAGTACCTAACGGGAGTACTAACAAAGTCAAACAAGGCTATCTTAATATAAACATAATTGCACACGTTCCGTTCCAACTTCCGCGTCTGATGAATTAGTCATATATTTCAATTCTTAATGACGAAGATTGTTCAGTACAATTTACGATGTAAAATCATCTCGTTCGAATCGAATTTGTATCTACTACAAATGTCATATTATTATATTAGACAGAAGTTAATACTTGGTAGTTATAAATATGAATACAAAAAATGTACGTCTCTCAATAGGAATTTGATTGGAACTTGATAATTTTCATGCATTTAGACAAAGTTCTATCATTATCTACCTTATCCCACACAATCATGTTTTACAGGTATCTTCTGTTTTTATTAAATGACTAGATTTTTATATTTTATCATTTTTGAATTAAAAAAAATATTTTAATGAAAAATACTTATAAAATCCACTCGCTCCAGGTACTTATGGGACTCGAGCCCATGACTTTTCGCAATTCGGGCGACTGCTTTAACTACTATGTTACCCATGACCTAACTGAACTGCCAAATTTTTGAAGCACATGTTACTTTTCGTCATTTTTAGCGTATTTTCATAAATGTTTAGGCAATCCACCCAAATAGCCCGAAAGAAATATTTTAAACTTTCGATTAAGATGAGAATTTTGTTCTAATTATTATATTTCATCGCGGTCGCGCGTCAAGCCAAGTTAAGTACTAGCGTCGCTCATATATTGAGACCCCCTAAATACATTTGTACTCCAAAATTCATAAATACACCTCAAACGGTCATTTAAATATTAACGTCTATAAGTCTTCATTTTTATCATCCATTGACTGTTCCTGACCTATAGACCAAAATTCCAACTCAATTACAGAAGACTTAGAAGGGTGAAATTTGGTATCCAGTTAGATAATTGGGTGACTACAAAGGACAAAATTTGAACCTACAATTTTTTTTTATCATTTTCTGATAATTTTTCAATAAATAGATTCGATGACGAACGTTAAGTATGGCTCTTATTTAAATTTCAGGCGTTATTTTCTTTGTTTGTTGACTAGTTTCAACACAAGTGTTACGTGAGTATTTTTAAGAAGTAACCCATTTGGAGCTGAAAGCGACTCTCGTTTATATACTGCCGGTCATCATGAGGATTTCAAGGTCTTTACGTGAATATACAACGAATGAATTACCATTCGAGTAACCTATAAGTAAGAATATAGTCGAATTTATTATGGTATTTAACTATTATTTAAATATTTAGGGAACATCAGTATTATAATAATAATAAATATATAATAATAATAATATCTGGGCGACTGAGCTTCGCTCGTGTGCAATAATTTAGAGTACATAAAAAGAAATACAATAAAATAAACAACAAAAAGAAATATATGATATACCCCGCATACGAAGTCCTGGAATCCGAAGCCTACAGTTAGCCATTTGGAAGATAACGAAGGTGACGAATTCTAACCGCTTCTCAAAAAATATATGATTCTGGTGACGCTGACAATGGATGGTTCAACAAGATCCATATGGTATTATTTGGCGATCTGCTCCAACTGCATCCAGTGAGACTTGAAGTTGTCTGATGTTCTTAAATGTTTAGAGTTTCTCAGTTTCCAAATTTATGGAAAGAATTATTTTCTTAAGAGGAATAATAAGAAAATAATTGTTATATTAACTATAAGAAAATAAACTATAAGTATGAGGTATAAAAACGACCAACTGATCGGCGAAATGTTCAATCGTTTAAAAATGGATGTAGTAACAAGTCAAGACAATTCCACTTTATCTACTTGACCCCTGATACAGGGATGATGATTGGGTAAAAAAGAAAAACTATTTAGTCCGCCAGTTCGATAATAGAAAAATATAAGATACGTATTTTTTTGCTTTAATTTGATCCAAAATGACTTAGATAATAGGCATTCAAGTTAAAGAGTGGTGGGCTCGCTACGTCACAATAATGTAGAAAATGTACTAAGGCCTAGTTCAGTGTGACGCAGATGTCCATCGCGGATAGTAAAATGCTCGTTTCCTATACAATCCGTTCAATGCGATGCGGAACTGGAGCGGAGCGGAACTCTCACAACTTTACCCGCGACGGACGCATTCGTAAATACGTGGCGGACGGTCCGCGTCGCACTAAAAAGCGCCTTAAGCTTGACGTCTTGCTACATTCCAACTCAATGTATAGACGTAATTTATTGATTGCGCAAAAAATTAAAAAATAATTTAGATTTCGCTTCTTTTGCCGTTGAAGTCAACAACAACCAAGGCCTATTACATAATATTAAACATGGGTCTCATGTCATATTTATGTTTTTGATGGGATTAGTATTTCTGAAGATAAACAAACAATGTTGGAAAACTTACCTCTATAATATTACACTCTTGTTTTAGCTAGTGCAAACATAAACCAAGGAACATTATAATTTTATTATACATAATACGTTATCGTTTCAGCTGCATTACAAAAGACTGTTCTATATTCTACTCTTAGTTAGGTTACGAGGTTAAAATCTTTTCAAAGAGAAATGTTGAATTACAACTGTACAGTTCAACATTTAGTATTTCCCCATTTATCAGGTCATGCAATCTGGAAACTAGCTTATATAAAGAACGAAATTCATAAAGAACCATATTTAACTGTTACATCAAGAAGTATGAAAGATAAGACCACAGCACTCCCGTTAATTTTAAGAGTTCGAAGAAGAGAGTTCTGGCTAATACGTGCTGCTAACGATATTAGGTTAGTCACAATGGAACATATTAGAAACCTTTCGCGGGAAATTAATATTATTGCTTGCTTTAGTTATAACGCTTTGAAGTGCCAAATGCCCAAAGAGAGGTAGTGGCCCTTTTTGGGAAAAGGGCATGCAAATGATAGTTTATACGGCATGTAGGTATTTCTTAGAAAAATAGTAACTAATCGCCTTTTCTCCTTGGTTTTTGTTTGCTTGCCCCTAATTCAACCAATCAATGGATAGATAGGGTTATTAATAGTAATTTTAAAACATTAAACAGTTATGATCGTGTCACCGTTAAATTTAACAAACCATCGTTTTCATTGAATTTCTTCCAATTATTATTTTGTCATTATTAAATTACTTTCACTTGCTTATAAGAACTAAATGCTATTCGTAATAACCAACACATATATTATGTAATAACTATAATATAATAACTTTAATTCGAAATCAGGAAGTAAGAATCAACCAGTTCTGCCTAAACCCTGTTAAAAGAGTTATTTAATATGGGTTAACATCTGTTCATCATCTTCGCAGGTGCTTAGACGACGACGACAATCACCACGCAGCGACTTTGACATTCCGAAGGCGTCAATTAATTGAAAGATGCCATGAGGCGCGCAGTGTGCGTCACCCCGACCTCATACCGGAGGTGTCGGTGAAGCGGACGAGAGAGGAGTTGGCCAAGTATGCGGCGCAAACGCTCCCGCTGAACCGGCGGCTCAACGTCGAGTCCGGCTGGTCGAAGGTTGAGGAGGTGCGAAAGAAGTTCGAAGGAGCTGCAGCGTCCGCATCGTTCTCCAGATCTTTTGAGTCTCCTCCCAGGTAAGTAAAGAAAAGTACCCGAACGTAGTCTTACTGAAAGAGGAAGTATTTAAGAAAAAAAAGAAAGCACTAAAAAGCACCTCCACTAGATGGCGACCCTAGCAAAAGTTGATTTTTGCAGGCAACGAATGGACTAAACATAGTCATTTCCGTTGCTTTTTAACGAACATATTAAAAATCAGTTTTTAACATACATATTAAAAAAAGGAACAAATTCGCAAAGTTCGAAACTTACATATGAATACAAATACGAAAACGGACAAATAGAATATGAGTTGTTTATTGAGTTTTGAAAACTAATTTACTTATATACATGAAAGAAAACCGGAAGGGTTGTCATGGAGAAATCAAGAAAGTACTGTAGTGACATCTAGTTTGATTTCGGGAACTAATGTTTTTTTTTTAAATACTTTCTCTGTAAAATATTTGTAAAACTGTAAATTTAGCAACTTCCACATCCAGTCAGTATCTGCAAGACTTGCTTTGAAGGGCCCGTACACAAATTCATATGTACTTATGGCAACATATCTCGCAAAAGATCTCTACAGATACTGACTGCGTGTGGAAGTTACCAGACATCATAGTTGGACAGTAATAGCCTTATAAATAGCAATACACTTCCGCAATAACGGCGGATTCTATTAAATTCTTAACGTATTATTTAAAGTTTGGAAAGATTTAAATTACAATAACTTATATGATACAACATATACAAACATCTGGAGATTAAATGCTAGTATGCACTTCTTTGGGTACTTTAAAGAACATTAAAATTATTGTTATGTTTTGATTATTTTTTCTTATTAATTCGTTTTGAAGATATCGACGACACCAATCTAAATAGTCACCCACCGTTCTTCTTTTATTAGTTTACTAATTTGTGTTCACTATTTATTTTATTTAAGACGGCGATTAGCCGACTCCTTGTTTGCGAGCTTCAAACTTCCACGCAAGAAGGACGGTATGTCGCTTCAGCGGTCCCTGGCCCCCCACCCGCAGCAGAAACGAAAGTCCGCCGTCGAACTGCTGGCGGAGTCGAAGGCCTTCTATGTGAAGTCTGAGACTGTGTTAGATAGGAAACAGGAGCTACCACTGAGGGTAAGAGCTTAGTTGATATGAACTTTGTATTTCAAGTCTTAACGTAATACGAGTATATTGGCCGTTACTTTCGAAAATGTAGAATTTATATTATTATTCACATATGGCAATGGTGTGTAATTGAAACAGTATTAATTAATTTAAAAAACTGAACGAAAATTATTTTCTCAGGTGAGCAGTGGGTTAAGCCAGGCAATAGCAGCTGGTGGCTGCCACTTAGTTAGCTCGGCAGCTTTAAACAGCGATGCTTGTTGTAATCCTTGTAAGTAATAAAATATTATATATATTATTATTATTTATTTATTAATTATAATATTCTTCAGTACTTCTCTTGATGTTCTTACTAATCTTGCTTTGCAAATCAAGAAACAAAATACTCAAAGTTGATAATAAATCACAAATCACAAATCTATAATTCTAGCAGCTTCTACATTTTCGTTAGATCGTAGAAATAGGTATGTGGGTTTGACGGTTTACTTTAAGAACGAACATTAATATTCTTTTAACAATTGTTCTACCTTTTACAGACGCGACTACTAGAAGCATAGGTAGTACAAGACGAGCCATAAGCGCTGGCGAAGGTCTCCAGAATACATTGCGAAGATTACTCGAGCATTCCGACAGCAGAGAAAATGTCTACTCACCGGCATATGCCAGTGAGTATATTTTATTATTATCGTCACCATATCGGCCTACTAATATTCCCCATCAGAGAATAATGAGCCTTTCCCGCGGTGTCTAGATAATGACAATAAATATGGAATTCTGTTCGGTTCTGTTTCATTTACTCGACACCAGGCCAGAAAAAATTATAAACCATTATATTTCTTTACACTGGCTTAATTACTAGCTTGAGGAGTGTCTTCATTTACATGAAGCTGATAATGGACTGTCCCACTGGATTGTCTCGGCTATTGGCGTCGTGTAAATAGACTATAATTTTGAATAGTAAAACTGATTCAACAAAAAGGGTTAACAGAATTACGATGAGATACCTTTCTTATTATTTTAGTTAATTTAAAAAGGGGAATGTATCCAAAAATTAAGTTAATTTATCGTCATAATATCACAGATAGGATGACCATTCAAATGTTTTTGATAAGAAGCAAATCTCTATTCCAGCTCACAAAATGTACTCGGAGAGTCGACGCATAAAAGACTCTTATCCCGAGCGGGAGTTAAATCCTCGCTCGCAGCATACTTCTGGGACCTTCTCTGGGACTTCCTCCTCCGGAACATCAGGGTCTAAAGCACACAAATCGGATCCCGAGAAGATGATCAGACCGCTTAGCTTTGGAGACGCGAGGGTATTCTTCCCGGAGTCCTTTGTGATACCCCGCCAGAGGCCGAGTGAAGTTGTAATAAAAAGCGCTTTCTCGATACGTAAGTACCAATCCCGTTATTACAGACTTTAGATTTACTTTTTATGGCTGGGTTACAGATAATCACGAGTAGATTACTATTATTTCTTGTATATCTAAAATTCTGAACGCCAAACAATAACAAATTAAATGTGTTGGCTTATACAGTTACCTAGTTCTTATTTATTTATTTAAATAACCAGTGATAGTATAATCATTGAAGCAGACATGTATATTATAATAAAATATACTTATTAAAAGTATGTACTGTTTTGAATTGAGAAGACACACAGCAAAATATCAAAGTCTAGGCTTATATATCCAATACCTTTCAACGTCAATACACATAGTTTACTGTATATCAAGAATTCTGATAGAAGTGATATTTATCTCGCAGCGAGTTCACATTCAAGCCCTGAGAATATAGAGTTACCTGAGCCGGTGCCAAGTGGACCGGGTTCGCCCGCGGATCAGCTTGGTGCTATCAGTCCACCTGCGCAGTACGCGCATTCTGCACCCAGATACATTAGGTAACTTATAAATTATTGAGTTCTCTCGCAACATTTGACTACCAGATCGAAGTCGGACCCTGATACAGATACAGATCCTATATATATTTAAAGTTTTGATCTTGATTTCTCGAAAGCCTTTGACTGTGTTACTTATTACTTATTACCTTACTAATAAAATTAATCCACTATGACTTAAACCATGCACAGTTATAGCAAAAGTAAACGAATAAATAAACAAATTTAATTGTGTTTAACTAGTATAGTTTTATTAATAACAAAGTTTTTGTCAAAAACTGTCCGTCAGGGCAGTGCTTTATGTTCACTCTTATTTGTACTTTATTTTAATGACATGACCGAAGTGGTCTTTACATACAAACGTTTAATATTCGTTGTAAATGTTAGAGTATAAGTATCTAATTCAATGGTATTTTTCCATTCTGTAGTGATATACCTTATAGATATTAATCAATCTTTAACAAAATTACAAAAAAATGTTGTGTAAATAATAATAATATGAGAAATATATTAAAATTAACATAAAAAAAAAGTTTTTAAGCAACTGCTACTATGTACCTATTATATTTAAATTATGTAGCTGGTTTGTTTTAGAACTACATAAGTGACTTGTAAGTTTCTTCCCAGATCGAATTCTCACTCGCAGCCGAGTGTACGTGAAGAGGATGGTTGTATTAACATCAATAGTCACAAGTCCTTGCCGGACCTACACACTCAAGTGGGACGCGGTTATACCGAGCAGTGAGTATACTTCAAGAAGTATCTTAAACAAAAAAAAATAAACTGTCATTTCTATAGCTAAACCGAAACGATGGATAAGATTGTTAGTAAGTATTAGGTTGTACTTATACAAAACAAAAACTAAAAAGTTAAATCTATTATATTGTTATAAAGTTAAAAGTAAAGACTGAAAAATTATTTAATTGAAATTTCTATTCCATCGCTTTCCAGCAGGTACTATAAACAGAAGGAATGGATCTTTCAATAAGTTAATTATTTATCAAAATGTTTATTTGTTTATATTTTATAGTACCACTGTGCCAACGGAGACGATAGGCTCTATAGGGCGATCGCCTCGACGTCGAAGACACTCCAACCACCAAAGGACTGCGTCATGTTCTTCCAAAGGCACCAGGTACTGTATAAGAAGGTGATATTATAGGTGATACATGATCCTCATACTATAAAACGGAGATGTCTCAAAAATTTTGGAGATTTGGAGAGCTATTTTTTTTATACAGAACCATAACTTTTAAAAGCTCATGGTTAAACTCCCAGACGGCAGGAACTAATTCAAAGCTAAAATCAAAGCAATAGCTTTGCAAAAACAATATTTTATTTTGAAATTCTAATAGGCATAATACCTTTTATTCAGCCTAGGCTATCACAAGAACTTATTATTAACCGCTTCAAAGTCTAAAAGGAGAAGGTTCTATATTTGGCGGGTATATATATTTTTTCACAAAATGCGCGATGATCTGTCTGCATCAGTTTCATTTCTCCTCACTCTATGCAGACACTTAACTACTATATTCATTAGATCACCGCCACAAGCTATAGATAATACTGGTTCAAATTAACATGATACTCGAAGGTCCATTCTACTTCTACCGTAATTAAATTTATTATATTTTCAAAATGCTAATACGAATCCAAAGAAAGATATTTTTAAGATCATTTATGGTGCAACGAAGGTAACAGATAATCGTCGGATCGAATATGATTTTAACAAAATGAGAACGACAAGAAATTTTCTGAATTCAGGTTCGAGGACAAATAGATGATCAGTACCCTCAGGTTCATGTTAATTTGTACAAGTTATATAATATAGATTTTTATATTTCTTTTTCATTTTTTTTTTCCTTTAGATCGAACCACTCTTCGTTGATGTCGTCATGCGAAGCGTTCTCGGAACATCCATCACCGGGTGAAGACAACTACCAGTCGTATAACAGGTAAATTTTGTCTATGTTTAAACCCTTACTATGCGGTCGCAACCGGCCATCTAACCCTCTACATATAAGATACGACATCTTAGTGGTGTTACAGCGTTAGTTCTTTTCATTTTATTACTTTTACACGAAAATTAATGACGATAAATGAATAATAAAGAATGATGATTTATCCCAAATGTATCCACCAAAAGACATTATTTGGTATTTTTTTTTGTCTGAATGGCGTTTAAGTCATCACCACAGATTTCCCACTAGATTTCTCCTTTTAATCCGGTTGACTAAATCCGTCAGTGCGACAAAGCTTGTATTTATCTGTGTCGGAAACCAGGCACAGATTTGTTTGTACTGAGAACCTCTTTATGTATTAAAAAAGAAACTGCTAAAGTAATATTCTTAATGAATATGCTTAAATATTCCACTTTGTCTCTGGCAGTCTAAGATGGGACTCGAACCCATGACCTTTCGCAATCCGGGCGACTGCTCTAACCACAGAGCTACCCAGGACCTAACAGGACTGACGAAGTTTTCAAGCACTTGTTACTTTTTTGCTACTAAAATAATGTCACTAGATGGCGGTACTTTGATAGTTTACTTTTGACAATACTCTATACGAAATGAAGCCGCCAAAATGGAAAAAGATAGTAATTTATAACTCACATTTAACTAACTAGAAACTGAAATTTGGAGTTCCGAAAAATAAATTCGAAGATTAATTATTACACGGAGTGTTAAAAATAGACGTTTGATTTCGAGAATACTATTTAAAACTTCGTCATTGTCTTTTATTTACTATTAGAAGTTGCAATAACTTATTTAAATAAAAAATATAGATTATTATTAAACCATTATGAATGGATATCTCTTAGTCGTTGCGGTTCGTCATTCGCCCGTGATTCGGGCGGATCGAGCGGTCATTACACGCAACGAAGTGCGCCGCCACACGCGCGACGTCGCACCGACTCCGGCTCATCTACGCAACACGAACACAGGTCTGTATCATCATCATCATCTCCAGCCCTTTTACGTCCCCGCTGCAGGGGCTCAGGCAGTGGCGGACTAACCCTGACGGGGGCCCGGGGCGGCATTAGGTCCGTACCTAAAACTTTTTACAACTGGTGCAGAAACTTGATTTTGTATTTACACCGCCTCCCCTGCTAAGACGCCTGCTAAAACTACGAAACTAAGAAAGATAAGGCAGTACGACCCCAATTTATGATTTGATCAAGGGAACTTTCAGCCATGATAAGAGGATAAGAGGACCGGGGCGGACCCCTCCCCCCCCCCCATCTTAGTCCGCCACTGGGCTTAGGCCATCCTTATGGATAGTTAAGGAGGATGGGCCATGACCTTCCACGCTGGCCCAATCCGCATTGGGCATTAACGACTGCAAATGCTGCCGGGACCAACGGCTTAACGTGCCTTCCGAAGAACGGAGTAACTCGAGATAATAATTGTTTGGTCACCTATCCCGTGACCGACCCTTGCGAAAGTTGCTTAACGACTGAGATCGCGGGCCGCAGCGCTTATCCACTACGCCACCGAGCTACTCCAGGTCTGTATACCACATTCCATTAGAAGTGACGATATGACAGTTCTAGTGATGGGACATAATTAATGAACTGATTAAGTAAACCGTCTCATTTAACTCATTCGGTGACTGACTTTTCCATAAAACATGTCTTAAATGAATATGACTACTGTCAGAGTAGTTAACCGTGTTTGGAAGAGTATTGTTTCATTTAGTTTAATTAAATGTGTGTGATAAAATAGAAAAATCCGTGTATCACACGTTTATTAAATATCTTCTCAGTAATAATATAAAATAAAACTGATCAGGAAGATCCGATACCTACAGTCAACAGCACGTCAGGTTATACAAAACTGTCAAAATACCATTTGATTTTAAAGCTTTTAATACATTGAGATTAGAGTTTACTATCAATTGCTGAATTTTTGACTTATTGTGGTAACCTGACGTGATTCTCTCATGTACCTGCCTAAAAATGTTGACTAATCAGAATAACTTTTCAAGAAATGAACACCTAATGCGATGTAATTTATACCTTACTTTAATTAATATGTTGAAAATTTATTTTCATTTGTAGCAACTTGTTAAGCTACTGTTTTAATAATGCATTAATTTTTTTTATATACTACAGATATGAAGAAGGTTTTAAAGACAAAATAATGAACATTATTATAGTATGAGCTAGCTTTCATTCCTTCATCCCTTATTTCAATTGTTTTTTTCGCGATAAAAGGTAATCAATATGCTTTCCAACTCAAAAGTCAACTCTTACTATTATTGAAAGCGTAACAGAATTAATAGCAAAAGCTTCTTTGTATACTACTAGACAGATTGTTCGGAACTGGAAAACAACTCGCTAAGTGTTATGTGACCACAACACATCGTTTAGTTGATTATATTGCTGTCTCGCTTATTCTTTCTTAGTTATCGAGACGGTAATGTGTCACAATTTTAGTTTAGAACAGCTTGTCTTTGATTAGTAGGTATTGTTGTTGATATAATTATGTTTCTGGTAGCCGGTACAACGCTTACTACGGCGGCGATGGTTCCCTCGAGTGCTACGTGTCGGCGCCGCCTCAGTTCCAAGATGGCGCTCCCTCCCCGCCCCCGCACCCGCCCGCGCCCTACCCCCCGCACACCCGCGTCGGTATACACTTCCAGGTACCTACGTACAGTCAACACCGCGTCTGATTATATAAATGTTTCATCACCACTACATTTTATACCTTAATATATTCGAGGAGAGTTTATAATCAACTAACTTAATAATTTATTGGTGGCTTGACATTCAGCCGTGTGTAAATAAGCAGAGTCAGAGCTTATGCTGTGGTTATAGACATTTTAATAGGATGCCAAGTCGTTGAAGAATCCATAATTAAAGTAGGAAATTGTTATTAAAATTATCAGATTATTTAGGATGTTTCTTTGATACACCCCTCTTTTATAAACTTATTACATAATTCCAAAAATAGCAACCTCAAGACGAATACATATCTGCTTTCTGTTATTTTAGCGACTAATAGTTAGATCAGTCCCTTCGGGGAGCACTTCGAAAATAATCGAATATTTATTAGATGTGGATAGAATCTTCGAATCAAAACTTCGTTTTTTAAACCTGATCTCAGTGTTGCTTGTTTCTGGTACAATACCCCAAAAAACGGGCAATTTTATATGAATGAAAGAACAATAAAATCTTTGTTTGCGTTGTGATTTTTAAGTTTTAAACCTGCATTGCTCAAAATGTGCTTTCGTGGATCTCAAACATGTGCTGCAATACATTTGTTTAAAGTCTACGAAAAAATTTATGATATTTCGGCAAATGATCGGAACTACAGAAAAATATGTATGGAATTCAATATCAATAAATTGTATACATGAAACTAAGTTTTGGTTTATTTTATGGCTCTGTGTATATAATTGGTATCCGAAGTAGATCCATTGTGAAAAAAGCTTAAGAACCTCTGCTTTAAAATACGACACCACACACGGTTCTGTACAACAGCAAGAAATATAAGACAAATTTACCAGTACATTTTTATTAGTTAATAAATTATTATTTTTTTATTCGGGTAGCTATAACACCTAAATATAGGCACACTCCTTTGGTATGCTTAAAGTTTTTACGTGCATTTAGTATCCAGAGTCTATAAATTCGCTTTCTAGTCAAATTAACTGTATAATATTTTAGATAAATACTGAATGAAAAATAGGCACCTCAGGACTGAAGGCCCAAGGGTATTGGACTATCATAATAATTAATTGTTCCAAAAAGATTTCATATACTGAAGCACAAATATGATTTCAGGCAAGCGCCCCACCACCGCAATTCCAAGATGATCCAGTGTATGACTACGGTGACTATGAGTGTACTTACAAAACCCCGCTCAAATGTCTAAATGTATCCAGAAAGGAGTACGCTAACCCTAAAGATTACACCAGGTGATAATAACGTTAAGATTTCAACAACCTTTACTTATTTATAGTTCCAACAGCCAGTAATAACCACTGTTTCCCAAACCTTAGACGAAAGCCCAAGGAGGACGCATTTGTACGACGAACATTACCAAAAATCTAGTATGCTAGAATATCTTAATAGAAAAAGTAGTGCTTTCTAATATTTATATGCAGTTAGTTTAGTACAAACGCATTTTGTATTAAGCATCGAAGTCGAAGTTTTCTCTATTCAAACCGTTTAAATTTTATTCCTTGACTTTTTATACGATAATAAAAGTTGAGGGTCTATATATTTTTCGGAGAAACAGAATAGGCTCTGATTAAGTTACGTTTTCAGATATCATGAGCCAAATATGGAGCTCATAAACAAACAACCTCAATACCAGGAACCACGCATGAGACCGCGCATCGACGACACACAAGAATACGTTAATACAGCACAGGTAAATTAGAAAGAATAACTATACTTAGTTATTATTCGTGTATTTATATTTTTTGTAGTTATCATAGGATTTAATAGCTCAAGAGTGCTAATAGGCCTTTATCTGTCTAACGGCTATATTTTTTGTACTGGAATAGTCCTACGTACTCCAAACTTGAAAATTTATTAAAATATACTATTTGATAATACTATTTACAGATAAAATGTAAGTAAACTGTTGCCCTACCATGGTAATAATCATGAAATTCTCTGAATATCTGAATTTATGATATTCTTTGCTATTATGTTCTAGCAAAATAATTTATTTCGAAAAACATTGATAGTACAACCAATATTTTATTTCAGATTTGTCCGCCTGAAGAGGTGACTTCACCTCTGGGCACGTTCAAGAGACAGCGATGTTTACGATACAAGCAACGGCGGCCAAGGCCAATACTACGCTCTAAATCTGACATATCTGATAGGTATGCGAATGTTTTAATAATTATACAATGCTAATTTGGAGTCTGTAAAGAAAAACTATCTATAAAGCTGTGTAAATTTTTACTATTCTTTATGCTTCCCAATATCTTTGTTTTTTTTAAATAATTATAGAATGTAAATATGTAATAGAGAATATTTAATTCATATGTAAAAATGTTCCGGATATAGATACCGTCGCACGGAATCAGGAACGGGTGGATGTGAAGGCGAAGAACAGGTGGATAGTGGATCGGAAGGATCAACTCGTCTGCGACAGTTCTTTGAACACCTTGGATTGGAGCCGAGACAATACGATGCTATAGTACGACATCCACCACCAGACAGCCCAGTGTTCTTTTCCTCCGCATCCACAGTAGATTCCAATCAGCTAACCACTGCTGCTGATTACACGGTAAGACATAAGTAGAAGTTAAAAACAATCGTTACAGATCGAGAGTAGGAAGCTCTTTATAACGTGACATGCTTATCAATATTACTCTAAATATCCCCCACTCCCGGGGTACATACAGGTCTCTATAGATGGAATGAGATATGGTGGATGAGCCATATATGCGAAACCAGTGCGTTTTGGTGGGTGCTAGCGATTTTTATGTTTAGTAGGGGTAAAATGTATATAGTGTTCCTGCTGCTAAACAGATGGTAAGGAGGGGTGTATTGATGCTAACGACTGCAGATTTTACCAATGGCTTATCGTCCCTTTTTACGCTTAAAGTAGCTCGAAATACAGATTTTTGCTCTTGCAAAAGTAGCTAACCAAACTTCAGACGGTCATTCCGGCTGGGTTTCAATGTTGTGATCTACAAACTTTTGTAGTGTCATGCCCATAAATTGGAATGCAATCAAGGTAGTGCTAAGCAAACTGTAACTATTTAATGCCGACATGATGATACGTTTTATCGAATTTAAGAAGTTAGTAGAATGTAGAGCTGAGTGAGAAATTTAGAATTTATGCACTTTTAAGATACAATAAATAAGGTTCTGTCACATACAATGTGATAAACATAACATGTCCTTTATATACAAATACAATTTCCAACCTTATCTGAATATTAATTTAAACAGTGAACGTTCCCCTTTAACATGTTTTGCAGTCGTTTTACAAAGCTAAAAATTATTTTTTCTCATAGGTTCAAGGACCCGGTGCCCAGAAACAAATATACCGTAACACGGAACCTCCTAGCGTAGTGGAACGAAACGCACGCATCATCAAATGGCTCTGTCAATGCCGCAAGACACAAATGCAGCCTCCACATTAAAAACAACCTATAACTGTATAATTAAGATTTTAATTTGAACATTTGGTAATTAGTATGCTGTTTACTCGAGTGATTAAACTGATATTCAAGAGTTATACGACATTTAGAGTAATATTTTAATAAAAATTTTATATCAACTACAGTAACGATTTGATTTTCCTTGTCGTAATAATAATAAAGTATGACAAGATTGGCAAAGCCAGTGTTTCTCAAAATTATATATTTCGGCCCCTAGCGGTCGCCTTAACCATAGATAAGATTTAAACGTCAACACTAACAAGTTGGTTTTAATGTTTTTTTTTTTAATTTGATTTGTCAGTAGTCTAAAGTTAAATAACCCTTGAATATTAAGTTTTAATTAATAATGAGTAAAAAATTCAGTAGAATTAGATATCTCTATAGTTGAAACGACTGATTGTAGTAACCCTAGTTTCAACTAAAAAGTATTTTAAAAATATTATAAACGAATGATGCAAAATATATAAACGACAGGAGAGGGAGACATTATCCACGATTTTATAGAATTAGCAAACCGAATTTGCAAATACAAACGGTCTGTAGAAGATGAATCTTCGTAGTTTTACGATATCATAAAATATTTTAAATATTGTTAACAATTTAAAAAATTAAAAACTTCGTTGAAATACCTAAACTTGTTCGAGATGATAATAATTACGATAAAATTAGCGGCATCGCCATCGACTGCTGAAAACTAAGCGATTCTAGTTCATTAGTTAGTCAAACCGTATTTAGATATTTAAGCTAATGAACGTATTAAGACTAAATTATAGTTGTGTAAGTTGAAAACCATTTTTTAAAAGAAAATAGCAGACACACATATTTAACCATTTTATTTTTTTTTTTGTCATGAACATGAAACTTCAAAGTTATATTTTTATAACAATCTGCAACAACCAAATTGTATATCTGTTCTACGAATATGACACCTATTTTATTGAATACGCAAGCAACAGTCTTAACAACTTCGATGTACAATTTGTGAGCTTAGCTACAAAAAATATATATTATTTTCTTATCTCTACCTAACCTTAACGATTGCATTTATTTTGTAGTTAAAATAAAAATAAATTAATATTGACCAAAATGTTCTTGTGATGTTATAGATCTTACGCTCCAAGAATGTCATTAGTATAATTAAAAGAGTGTTGTGGAAAAATTACATGTTTATCTTTTAATATAAAAAAAATTAAGTGTAACAATGTTTCTCAAATTGTATATTAATAATTTTTAAACACAGAAGCTTTGATCCTTTGTAATATTTAACATTATTGTAAGAATATTATAACAGCAATCTTATGTCGTCAGAGCTTCTTTGTAAATTATGAAAGAACCCGAAGCAGAAATCGTAAGTGTCTATTATGTTCAGCTGTGCAATTTATTCCTTATTAAAGTATAGCTAAACTTTAACTAATAATATTATTAAAATTAGCTATTTTGGCAAGTAATATAAGTAATTTATAACCTAATCAAAAATGACGCCAGATGAACAGTTTATCATCAATATTATAAAATTATACTAGAACTTGTAACTAAAATATATTTCTCAGGACCAGATCTCAGGATAATAGCTCATTTCCGTAATACTGACTTGAGCAGAGATTATATTAGCCCGCATCGAGTGACATCACGCCCGGGTTCTGAGCCAAATAAGTTTGTGGCAGTTAAGCTACTCACAAGAGGCATCGCACAACGCGGTATTACGTATGTTTCCTTTCTCTAAGGATTTGAGTATGAGTTGCAAGTGTATTACGAGACGCGACTGCGCAATGTGCATGACATGATTAATTTCAGGATCGTAAAGTTAGATAACATGTACTGTAGATACTCAGTTTCATACATTTGGGCGATACGCTTATACTAATTACGAAAAAGACCCGTGCGGGGTAGAGCGAGACGGGCTAAATAAAACGAAGCAATACTTTTAAGAAATGTAATGAAATGTTTCAATTGCAATGACTCTAGCATAAGGCCTATATATTTAATATGTTTTTGCAAGCTTATTCTCAAATCACTCGTACATTTAATGAAATATATTTTCTTTGATGTTAAATTGGAATGTATACAACCGTCATAGTTTTTGAATAAACCGTACACGAATTGAAAGTTACGGACATATGTTTTCAAATATGGGTATCATCTCAAAAAATCATTATATTTCACTAAATGTTCTTATTTTATACTGTATTTATGGCCTGTTATAAATCAAAATCTTTGATGTAACACGACTTTTGTGTGTTAATTACTTTCTAATACAATTTCACAGAGCTAGTCATAATTAGCTTTCTCTTGTCACTAATCCTAATTCGGGTCGGCGCAATATGTATGTCCCTTCTATACATTTCAATTAACCGTCATCTCAACATTCACTCCTTTCTTATGCATATCATCTTTCACACAGTCTATCTATGTTTTCTTTGATCTTCCTCTTATATTTCCATCCATATTCATACGAATAACATTTTTTTATATAAAATAGAGATCATAAAATAGATCGGTAATCTGTATCTATACAATTTTAGTTATTCCAATTAGTCTTATATGACATTTTTTTAATACAACGACTACATTTGATGTCTCTTCTGTTTTTGTCATATAGGCAATCAAATATTATTTCATGTAAAATATAGTTAAGTTTGTCTGAAAGCATAATAGTAGACTTAAATCCCAATAACGCAACAAATACTATTAAAACAAATAACGTTTATTCGATAAAACATCGAGAGTGGTTATTTTTTTTATGACGTACACCATCTCATAGATTATCACTATTTTTATAAATACCAGAACGATAATTAACACTTTAATGTTTCAGGTCATAATTTATAAATGTAAGTTCTCCAAAAATTCTTCCACGGATCGCATAGTATGTAATTTGTAACCTATTTCCTGCTCATTGTGGGACAGCCCTGCAATACATTAATTAATATATTTGGATATATAACATAATGTCGTGTAACAACACAACATTCATTAGTAAAATAAAGAAAATTGGCATCGGTTACCTAGCTACGACCTATCTGCCAGTGTTAGACAGGATCTGATTTTAATAAATAACAGTAATTAAAATAACTTTAAAAAACTAACAAAGTTTATATGAGCTCAAACACCTTATTTAATATATAACGTATAATGTATTTGCTATGAAGTCGTCGGTTCACAAACAATATATACAGGGACCCCTCGGTACTATAAAGGAGAGTCTATCTGTTAAACCTAAAACTATCAACAATACGTAAGTCTTGTATTTATACTAAATAAATCAAATATTTATTTAAATAATTATATACCAGTTCGCGGCATTATTTGGCCCCAAAAGTTGTTTTCAAGGAAATAGGCAAATCTATTTTGAGTTTTGATAGATAGACCATGGGCGTAGAAAGGGGAAGCGATGTCCCAGCCGACAATTTTACTAACACTAAAACTAAGGCTGACAAATTAAAAAAAAACTTAAAAAGATCTTTATATGGCAATGTCACGTAAATTTTGCAATTTTTTTACGAAATTTCATTTTCGTATTTGAAATCGTACATCATCATCGTGATCTATGTAACCAGTGGAGTTAGGCCTACCATCTTTACACATTTCTTTCCTACCCCCTAGAATTGTCTTTAGATACGCTCATGTATTAGTTATTTCCAAAATTTACAAAACTCTTTCGATAAGACTGTTTGAAGACCTATTTTTCATTTTTTGATTGTATGTATATTCTGTGATATATGAATTGTGTGTTTTACAAGTATGTATCTGGTGTCTGTGCTCTATGTTAATATTCGGACATATTAAAAATAGAAATTTGTTGTATTGCTCATGTGAAGGTACTGAATATTGAATTGTAGAGTTCTAAGGCCATTCTTGTATGTCACAAGTTGGACGTAAGTAATGAAACCTTGGAATGATGTAGAGAAAACCATCATTTATAAGCTATTTTTATTAATATTTCCGTTGTATTGTTAAATCTTATAAAAACTTACTTTGTTAGAGTTCATTCATAAACTTATTACATAATAAATGTAACTTGAAAGTTAGCGTAACAGTATTAGGTCGTTCAGCATCGGATGCTTCCATTATTTGTGTAAATAAGATTTACGTAAAATTGTTAGGAGTTTATTGTAAAAAGAAATTACATTGTGGTCTGAAGATAAAAACAAGGTGTTTTATTGCAATTTTAAACTCTTGCAGAGCAACCTCCTCACTACTCTAGCTCTCTCATTTCATTTTACTACTTTAACAAATGTTTAAAAACAAAACACGAATCCTAAAGAATGACGTATATGGATTCGACAGCAATGTTACCAACTAGTCATTTATCCATCAAAAGACATTTCAAAGTAGTTAAATTATCGAAATATCGTCATAACATTCGCTAATATGTCGTATTCTTAGGCTAGGTAGGCGTTCGCACCTCTAAAGGTTGACTATATTTAGCAACAATTTCAATTCATACAACCATTCTAAGTTCCAAAGTTATTCCAACTGATAATCTATATAATCTACATCAGTTAAAGTCATGATATCTTTATTCAAATAATCTTAGTTAAACTTCTTTTGAATCGTTCAACAAATTTTACCTAACATTCGTTCATGATCTCTTTAGCTTATCAGTCTTTTAAGTATTCGTTTCACTCGCTCTCAGCGGGAGGTGTGTGGATATTGGTGGATCACCAGATTGCACGGTAATTGAATTATTCTTGGCCGACAATGGCCACACTCGTTTACCTTCTGTGCAGATAGGTCCATCAAGGAACAACATTAGTTGTATACATAAGTGTTCTAATACACCTTATGAAATAATTATATTTCGGATTGATTTATCTTGTATTTTTGGCTTTTTTCCACTTTAGCCACTTTTGAAGTCGGTTTTTTTTAGTAATTATACACATCACTTACACAATGACAGCTTGAAAATAAGAATGTTAATTAGATTCAAGTATTCTTGATTAACTTCTATTTCACTTGACATTTAGTTTCTAAAGTGTATAGGACAAATTACTTTAAAAGATAAGACTGATAAGCACTTTTTCAAGCGACATGCATGCAATGCACATTTTTCTCTGTGTAATATTTAACAACTGATAGTGATTCAAGAGCAAGATTTATACGTATATGCGGGTGAAGCCTCTGGCGGAAAACTAGTAAAATTAAAGTAGGTATTGTTAGAAGAAAATAAAGAAACTCAATTGGCAGCCCTAAAATGACGTTTACAATAAGTTGTCAACGTCATCTTATTTATCATTGTCAAAAACACAAATACTCGACAACAGAGTGAGTCAGAGTGATAAATAAATTAGATTTCTATTTTAACATAATTTTGAATAGTATTTTGTTAAATTATGTAGATTAATTAATAAAACATACTCCATTTGCGACGTGAACTGTGATTAAGTTTTATATTGCAATACACTCCGAATCTAACGACAGTGCAGATAAACAAGTCCATGCTGTATACATACACCAACTTTATTAAAATATTGCGTCATGTTTAGTAACGTTAATATTCTGGTGTAATATTATTGAAATACACTCGACGCATATACCAACGGTTCTCATAAGTCAGTTGACCGTGAGATTGCGTTCGAGTGTCGTGTGGTTCAGTAAATTAAAAGCCTTTTGATGATATTGCATGAGGATTTTTACGACATGCCTCCTGTTAAACACGGGAGACGAGGTCCCAGCGATGCTGACGATGAAGATGACGATTATAGGAGACGAAGGAATAGAAATAATGAGGTTGGCATAATAATAATATTATAACATTTTAAAGAGTCCGTTGGTTTGATAATATCAATACCTATCGTGGAAGAAAGGTCGTAAACACCAAAGCGAAACGACGTAGTTTAATTTAAAATTGAAATCTCAATTAAGATAGTCAAAAATGTTTGCAATATTTAAATAAAATTAAACTACCTGCTACTACCCATTTTCTGTATCCTTAGGTGGCTTAAACCTTATTTACTTATTGTTTTTTTGGCATTTGTGACCTTTCCAAGGTATTTTGTAATTTCATAATTGCCACATTCACTTTTATATTATTAAAGTACAGTATATAGTTTTAACACACTTTTTTGTTGTTAATTTGTTTATGAATTTAAATTTAATTTGATTTATTTGTTTGTAAGCTTTTAAAGTAGAATATAATAATTTGTTATAATATTACTGTTGCACTCAACAGATACAGACTAACACACTTTTAAAGGTGTTACCGTCTTTGTTCCCTGGTGAGGTAGACAATGAAATTTCCATGTTTTTTGGGTTTGAAAGCAAAGAAGGTATCTTTGCTTTATGATTTCCATAATAGCCACTGTGCTTTAGGTAGTTAATTTGGAATTTGAGCTGATGTGTGTTATGTCCATTATTTATCATTCATTTATTTATTTTGACAATTGATATAGTTTTTATCATTATTATAATAGAATATATCTAACTCTCCATGTGTATAAAGCTGAATTGTTATCAACAAACCATCTACTTACCTACATACATATAGTTTTATTTGTTACAATTGCAAATGTATAATAAAACAATATACAATGAAAGTATTGTTTATAATTATTATTTATGTATTATAATTTTTTTTTCCAGGCTGTGAAAAAGAGTAGGTTCAAATCTAAGCAGCGAACCCAAGAAACCTTCACAAGAGTGAACAAGTTAAAACAAGAAAACCAAATGTTAGAAGAGAAGGTGAAAACATTGACAAAAGAACTGCAGTTTCTCAAAGAACTGTTCTTGGCTCATGCATCTAACACACAAAGCTCAAAGTTTGAGGGTATTGACCTTCAGAAACTTCTAGAAGACATCCCAGATGATAAGAAGGATGGTGGCAGCAGCAAAGCTTAGGTTAAGTTGAAGTAGTGATTAGTACTTGCAACTATTGCTTCTATGAAGTAAATAGTTTTAGGGATATTTTAATCATCAACACTATCATATTGTTAGGACAGTCTTATATAGTGTAAATTATGTTCAAATTGTGTGGAATATTACTATAAATGGTTGTTCTTCAAGTATGAAGGAAGTGCATTTTCTTTAGTAACAACACCTACATACATTTATATATTTATCTACATATAGTTGTCTGTATATTTAATATACGACTTTAAAACTTAATATTTAAAGGATAACAGAAATGTCCATTCTTGTATAAGTTCAAATTATGCATAAAAAAAAAAATCTAATTTTGTAATTTTACCATTACTAAAATAAAATTCTGAAAACACCATATGATGATTTTGCAGTTACTTACTTCAGTTTCCCTTAAGTTTGTAATGTTCATTTTCATGGTAAAAACCTGTGTTCTTAAACTTTCCTATTTGAATTATTTCCGAAAAGAATCTTTGATTTGAGTATACTTTCAGATAAAGCAGCCGAAACCTGGGATCGGTGGTGTTTTGGTAGAAATGGCACATACAGTGTTTCCTTTTGGAACAGGCAATTCTTTGGTAGTAAATACTGTTGTTAATAGCAATATAAATTTGATTATTTTAATTATTACCTAATTGACATCACAATCAATTGTTAATATATAATTTTATAAGGTTAGGATAAAAAATAAAACATTTTGTACCTAACATATAGTTTTATTAATAAAAAATATATTCTTATATTAGGTAACTTTAATATATGTAAGAGAAAACTGTACAATTTAAGCATATATATTTTTTTTATTAATAAGGTATCAGTCATTTTGTATAATTAAAATGTTTTAGAACTACTTTAACAAAAGAAATTAACATAAACTAATAATAATATATAATGATTTATTTGTATAATTGTTTTTTAATGTAAATATATTTACATTAAAAAATCAATTACATACTATAAAAAAGTATAAGAATTGATGCAGTAATTGTTCTACGTAATTTTGGGATCCATACATTCTCATTAGAAACTAGAAACTATATCAGACAGGAACTTTAATTCACGATATATACATACTACTCGTACGAATTAACATGACACAAAGGCCTATACTATATCCGAAAATAATGATGCACAGACATTCATTGCGGATAAGATTTTAATTTAATCCGGTTTAATACGGTTGTAGACGAATTTTTATACTATATAAAAAAATATATTTATATTTAAAATCTAAAAATAAAATTCATGTTCGATATTTCCCGCTACAACGCTAACCTCTGTCATGGCGTCGATGAGACGTCACAGCCCACGGAAACTAAAATAAACAATAAAGACAACAAACATCGTTCTATGTAAGTCAAATTTGACAGCTATCTTAGAGGACTGTTACGTCACGCGCTGTTTGCAGTCACGCGACAACGAGTATACTATAAGTGTTTTTTCATAAATAATTTAAATAGGCATAGCAGTATTTTTGGTAATAGTATATTAAATACTACCAGAAAAAATTATATGTATTTATTTTCGTTTACTGTCTAGTCTGCACACGTATTCACCAAATTTCGTTCAAGACAAATAGAATAGTCCCTCGGGTGTCATGTTAGTTCGAGTAATACATATTATTATTATAAATGAAAACAAGTTTCCTCGACCATACAGCAAATAGCACTTCAATATGTGTAGCATGATGATCTCGAGACTCGCGACACAGGTCTACTCTGTTTGTCCAAGAGCGAAATTTTTTAACATCATATCACTGAACAAATCTGTGCATCAGAGGTAGTGACAGGTACTACCTCCGTTGAATCATAAATTATCGAAATAATACGTTTTCTTGGAGTAGTATTAGCGTTTTAAAAATTCATGAAATATCGTTTTTGGAGAAACTTGAGTAAGCCTACAGGGCGAGAGTGAGTAGATATGTCGCACTTGAGAAGAATAACATTTGAGTGAAAACAAATTGTTTCTGGAGTTCGTCATGCCACACGGTTTAGTTATACAAAACTCTCCAAAACAAAATTAGTTCAAATTATTCTAAAACCTTATCAGACCCTAACCGTCTTATTATAAAATGAGGGCTAAAGTTAATTCATGGTTTGAACCATACACCTAACGAAAAATTGACACTGACAGAAGAGAAAACGTCAAATTAAAAAGTGTTCACTTAATTTTGCTTCTTTACAATGACGTTGACATCTATTTCGTTGCAATAAAGTTGAAATTTCAAATGATTATTAGCTTCAAACTACTTCATGACAATTTTCTTTGTAAAGTCCGACGATTGTTTTCTATGTTTTCTAATGCCTATTATTTATCTTGAAGTATTACTAAAGTTAATCTCTGTTACACCACATTTGTTGTTTTTACTTTGACACCATTTGTAGACTGTAGAACGCGTAGCACCATTCTCTTGGCATAGCAAAACAATAAGGCCAACCAGCGAAACTTACGCGTTTACAGTTAAAGTTATGACGTCATCCAACCATTGATAAATAAGATAACTCACTATTATTTGCTTAACCGGTACTTTAACATGTTTGTTATTGTTAAAGTAAGTTGTACTCCGTTACTGAATTGAAAATGTAAAGTTAAGAATGTCTTAAACTGTATTTAAACGTTTTTTAAATAGATTTGCCATTCTGTTTTTTTTTTTTACATTATTAGTTGATAGTTGTTTGATAAAACTAGGACTATTTGGGTTATGTAACGAAAAATAGTTGAGTTATTGATAACAATTAGTTGAGATTTTGTACTTTTCTCAATTCAGAAACCAACCTTTAGACCCGGATATACAACTTTTTTCAACCGGGGCCGATATTGCGCCCTTTACACTCCCAGCCACAATTTTTTCAATATATGATTTAATAATTAAATTTTAATTACTTTTACATTATTTTGGCGCCTCTCTGACACTGGCGCCCGGGACATTAGTCCGGGTATGCCAGTCGTAAGTCTTCGTTTTATAATAAGACAATAAGAGTCACGTAGTCCCAAAACTATTTCCACACATTAATGACACCATCAGCTGAGGAGCTCACTAAGTAATGCTTGTTCCCTTCCACCATAGCTATATCTGTGATCGGTGCTGTATGGTAGAAACTACGGGATTCAACTGCGCGGTACACATTATCCTCTATGAGCGGGACTGGATCTTGAGGATTCAGCTTACAGCATTCCTGGATGACCGTTGTGCCGTCTATGATTCGACTCCTGAGAAAAAGTAGCGTTAGAAAAGCAATAATTATCTCCGATTAAAATTAAAAAGTGCACGGCTGCAAATCACGCTACACTCCACCATCGTAAGCAAACCTTTGTTAGTGGGAAGTTCTATACGAAGCGTGATTGGTATAAAGTCCACAATGTATAGTCTGACGCGCAGTCGTGTGTACACTCAACAAAGAAAGTGGTTTACCAGTTTTTATTATTTTTTTGTGAAATTGTATTATGGTTATGGTTGAATTTTCTGATGGAGTGAGACGAAGAATAAAATGCTGAACACAGCTATTATTTTGCAATTATATTATGAGTAATTAAGCCTTAAACTGGTTCAACAGTTACGAACATAATTAATTTGTCATTTTCATACTTTGAAATGCGTATTATAGTAAATTTATCTGTTTTCAATTGAATGATCCAATTGTAGAGCTTAAAAAGTAAGTGAGTTTTGCGGTACACATAAATTTCTTATCATGGCAGTAATACAAACTTGACACAATAAATGGCATCATCATCATCATCATCAGCCGGAAGACGTCCACTGCTGAACATAGGCCTCCCCAAATGACATAAATAAATTAAAAATAGCAATGCTTCTAAGACCATAGACAGTCAACGGTCACAGCTTAGAACTTAATAAATCTATGGATCACAGGTATGATATAATTGCAAGGAGAAATCCACGTTATTGTTACAAGACGTTCAAATCAACCTCAACCGTAGGGTGGTAGACCATAGTTTTGGCCGACCATACATATCCATACTAATATTATAAAGAGGAAAGATTTGATTGTTTGTTTGTTTGCAACGAATAGGCTTCGAAAATACAGGAGCGATTTAAAAAAAAATTTTTCACCATGTGTGGAGTGATTTTTTTTTTATAGATAATTAAAATTTTATTATGGTAATCTATGTTTATTATTCAATTTGTTATTTTAATTATATCCGTATCAATATATGATCAATCATAAAATTATTTAAGCTGTTTACATAGGAATAAATAATCTTACAAATATTTATCACGCTAAACAGTTCCCTAAGTGTTACTTAGGCAAAGCCGCTGGCGGAAAGCTAATTACACTATAAGAATAATGTAAAACAAATAAGCATTATCAAGGTTATTTAGGTTTAAATAAAAAAAAAACTTAAAAACTAATCTTTGCTATCGTTTTACCGTAGTAGAGGAGACCTAGGTGAGTTGTGACAGAGGTGAGTTGTGACAAGGAGGATTTCTCTCTACGTATTATAGTAAGCGAGATGGCATTAACGCTTGTTTGTCGTTCTCGACACGCGCTACACGACTCAGTACCTGTCGACGGTGCATGTGGCACAGTTGCGTAAATATATCGTCAGTGTACAAAAAATTACGAAAAGTAAGTTTTTCTTCAAAATACTATTTGAATATATATCATATCTTAGTATATGTGCATTGATGGGTTATTTTTTCTTAAGTTATGTAGTTATTTAAGTGTCAATACGTGGCACTGATTTTTGTATGCGCATCGTGTTTAGAAAATATGAATTATTATTAGGACCAAGACGTCATTTTGAACACCTAGGAGAGTTGTGACAGCCTGTCACAACTCTCCTAACTTACTCCAAATTTCTGCTGGGCTATTTTTACATTTATTTTTTATTAACTTAAGATGTTTGTTGGTGTGTTAGTAGTTACTTAAGGTGTATAATGGCATATCGCATACTTATTTTTTTTTGAGAATACCAAATAACTATACACGAGAGACTGAAAATCTAAGAATGTTAAGAATCGTGTCTTAAGCGAAGAAAAAAAAAGAAACCTAAAAAAGCAAAGAAGACTAATAAGAAGAATAGAACAAGTGATGAAGAAGATGTAGAAAATAATTGCTTTTATTTGGTTTGCCTTGAAGCCTATGCAGACAGCAGATCGAATGATCAGTGGGTCCAAAGCCTGGAATGCAAAGGCTAGACACAGTTAGATTGTACTGGGGACGAACTTCATTACGTTTGACATAAATGTGAATCTGATTAGATTAAGATTTTATACTGATGAGAATATTCTCATAACAAGTAATTATAATATTTTCATTAACTAAATATTGTATTGCTTTGAGATCAATCATATTATTGTAGTATTAATATTAATACTATGTTGTTTTAGTTGGTAGGTATTAAAAGATGATTAATCAAATCAAATCAATCTTTATTGTTGATCGCAGGTTATATAAAAATATTGGATGCAAGGACTGAATAGTTACACCGTGATCTGCCTAAAAAACATACAATATTTGTAGGTTAGTAATTGTCAACTAATCTAATCAATAACATGTTATGTCAAAAATTCAACTAATTCATTAAGTATTTATACATTTACAAAGTACTGTCAGCTAGATACTCGTTTACACTATAATATGTTTTAGCTACTAATAATTTACAAAGTTTTCTTTTAAAAACATTACAATTATCCAGATTAAGTATTGTTTTTGGAATTTTATCAAAAATTTTTGGAGCCATACAAAAGATACTTTTATTCAACTGAGCTGTCTTAGAGGGTATCGTACACAATTTGTCTCGATGACGCAATCTCGTCTTATTTTCAAATAGTTGTTGATCCTTTCCAGTTGTTGATGCAGTTGAAATACCAACTTCGAATATATAGATTGATGGCAGGGTCATAATATTTAATTTAATAAAATATGCTCCTAACACATATTTTCTGGGCTCTAAAGTCAGTTACAGATTCAGTCGAATATCCCCAAAATATAATGCCGTATCGAACAGTAGAAACTACGTACGCGTGATAAGCTGTAAGGATCGTGCACTGATTCGCGATCCTACTAAGTTTGTACAGTGCACAAGAATACTGGGACAACTTTTTGCAAACATGTTCAGTGTGTGTTTTCCAAGTCAAATTTATTATTATAGTACTGATTAAAGTACTGATTTGATAAAAAAAACGTGCTTGATTTATTTATGTCGAATGTAATGGTATTTTTATATCTTATAGCTTAAATACAATGATGTCACAACTTACCTCGGTACCTGTCACAACTTACCTCGGTGGTAGGAGAGTTGTGACAAGGAGAGTGGACTTGAATTTTGTTATTTTTTTCAGAAACTATTATGCTTTAATTAATTTTAGTGATGGTTTTGAAAACAGAAGGAATGGCGCTAAACTAATTCACATGAGTCATAACTGTGGAATGTTTCTTAAGCGAGATAGAGCCCCTTATGTAAAAATTGTCACAACTCTCCTAGGTCTCCCCTACAAATGAATGAGTATGTTGAGTCGAGCCCCGAGCGAGCAATAATATCTTAAACACTTAGATTTTTTTTACTTTATAAAACTTTATTGTTTTATTATTATTATTGCTGTTGGTGTCTTGTCTTGTGTGTTTATACGTATTTACAAATATATCTTTTTCATGATTACTTATTTTATTTTACAATTATTCTACACTTCGCTCTTAGTTTGTCAGTTAATTTTCTAATATATCAATTCACTTGAATAGAGTTATGATGTAGAAAATTATCAGTGACAACAATTCATTTACGTAATTTACAAAACAATTTTGGAGTGACATCATTACCTGTATTTGACCGCGTTGGGTGTATACTTGAGCTGATCTGATGGCGCGTGCACCAGGATATAGGAGTCTTCGGGATGTTCCAGATCCCAATGCCTGAGCCGTTGATCGGATCCGCCAGTAATCAGAAACCGGGATCCGTCACGTGATCCACAATACGCGGCGCTTATGTAATGTGATGCCTGAACGCGATGAAAAATTACGATCACAAATCAAATAGCTTAGGCACTAGGGATGATGACTGGGTGAAAAAAGGAAATTTCATTTAGTTGTCAGTTTCATTTAGTCTGGCTGATGGAATTAGATAATAGAAATACATATATAATATATTGTTTCTCAATTGAAACAAGAAATGGCTTATATAATACGCATTAAAGTTGAGGAGTGGGGCTCGCTACGTCACAGTTTTGTAGTTAATTAGCAAAACGTGACGTTTTCAACTCAATGTATCGTCGTAATTTATTGATTACGCCAAAAAAAAAAATACAAAATAAAATACGTGTTTAATATTTTTCACCAATCTACCTGACAGACAAACAAACAATACAGACGTCATCCCTTTTTGATTATGGAAACTATGAGATAATATATAATATCTAAATGGCAATCTTAATACCCGTGGTTCGCTTGATTTTTGTAAATTTTCGTTATATTTCCTATTAACGCGGAAGTATTTAAAAAAAGGAAAGCACTAAAAAGCACCTCATTAGATGGCGACTCTAGCAAAAGTTGATTTTTGCAGGAAACGATGGGATCAAAGATATTTATTTCCGTTCCTTCTAACTTATAAAAAAACTGAAATTTGCAAAGTTAAATACGAAAAAGTACAAATAGAATATGAGTTGTTTATTGACTTTTGAAAATTAATATTCCTTTTATTCATGAAAGAAAACCGGAAGGGTTGTCATGGAGAAATCAAGAAAGTACCGTAGCGACATCTAGTTTGATTTCGGGAACCAACTTTTTTTTAAATACTTCCTTATTGCAAAGAGGAAATTCTGTATAAAGGTAATAGAAAATTATTGCTTCAGTATATACGTAGATAATCAATAACATAGAGTATTGAAAGGAGATATCCTTACCTGAAACATCGAAATAGCAAAGGCATTTGTAATTACGTGTGTGATTATAAGTCGACGGTAAATGGACAGTCAGCGAGAGCAGTATCAAAACGAGTGAACTGTCTCAAAGTGATAGAATAATAAGGCAGACCGTTCGCTCGTTTCAAATTGCTCCTGCTGAGAATATTCAAGAGCTGAGATCGAAATAAAAGCTTAAAGAGCGAATCAGCTCATTTAGGGACGGCAAACTAAACTGACCGATCTTAGTTGCGCACTTAAGGCCGATTCACATCAGACGAGCGATCTATCTTCTATCCACACTTTATTTAATTGTTAGAGCAGACGCCCGGATTGCGAAAGGGTATGACTTCGAGTCTCATCTCAGAGTGCCACGGACAAAGTGGAATATTTAAGCATTTTTCTCAATATAGTAAATGCAAAATTGATCAAATATAATAATAGGAATGACGATTAATTTCTGTTTGTCCATCAGGGTAGATCAATGAATAATATTAAATAGGTTATTTGTATATGTTTACGTAATCAAAAAACTACGGCGATACGTTAAGTTAAAATGTCGCATGACGTCACGATTTTCTATAAAACCTAATCATAAGAAATTAATTATAAGCAATTTTGTGGCTAACATCAAATAGTTTTTTTTTTTTATTTTTAATGTAATCAATAAATTCCGGCTTTGAAATATCACATGACGTCACGCTTTTCTAGAAATTTTCTACAAAACCCCAATGCCTATCATATAACCAATTTTATAGTTTAAATTGAAACAGAAAAGTTTCTAACACTGACGGACTAGATACAATTTATTTTTTTATTAACCCAGTCGCCAACCCTATTAAAACTAAAAGTGTCACTCACGGCGGGCGTATAGTTCAACGGTTGGGGCGAATTAGTGGACGGCCACAGGGCGTGCGTCCGCTGCGTGGACTCTAGACACCACGCGCCCGCGTCCCGACACCCGACCGCCCACACGCGCGACGTGTCCCCACCGAAACCGATCATGCGACGGACACGCTCCGCTACAATTGTATACAAACGTCACTACGACGCTGGAAAGCAAACACGTGGGAACGTGCAAAACAATAATTGGCCTCCAGAGCGGAAAAGTTTTTATTTTTTTGGATATAAAAAAAACCTATAAACGTTCATGGTAATAAATAAGGTGTCCCTTAGTCAATTTATACGGAAATAAGATTTCTTTTTTTTTTAATATAAAGATTTTCCACTTTAGATATCCATTTTGATTTTGCGGGTCACTAAGTGTTTGCTTTCCAGCGTCGTCATCAATTTAATAAACCAACTTAGGAAGCAACATTAGTTTCATCGACTCAGGTGCTAAAATAGAGGAAGATGAATGGGGAGGCATATGCAGTGTGCAATAACGTAAGTAATATTTTTTTTTTTATATTTATTTATTGATGAATAACAAATTACATATCAATTGTATCGCTTAGTGCAGCAAAAGCCAGGAATGCCCGTGTACTACTTTACCATAATATTTATATTAGTAAGTAAAAATAGATATATTAGTACATAAGAAAAGAAAGTATAGGTATGTAAGCGAAAGTATAGATATATGAGTGAGTTACAAGTTTTTTTTTTTTAATAAATAAAACAGATTAGGAGAACTAAATAAAAGTGAATAATAATACAAGAAACTTTTATTAATTAAGCTACATAAAAAAAGCGGTTGAAAATGTAAGTAGAAATTCGTAAGGGGAATAAAGCCGTCAGTATAGTAACCATTGTTTGGAAATTGAATAATTTGTCATTGTAACTACATATATCCATGTATATTAATCGATATCCAAATAAACCACTAGCGGAAAGTTAGTAGACAGATAAAACTGGTATATCAAGCGTCCTCGTTTATGATGTTACATGCCTAAACCTGTGATGATGTTGTTGTTTCACATAACCCTGTATATGTACTTACAGTTTGGATGTCTAACAGAAGTGATCGGCAGTTGAAACCGCAAATCCCACACGCAGATGGCGCCACTGGACGTGCCAACGGCAATGTATCCCGCGCTGTTGGCGTACAGGCAAGTGTACACGCCTTGTTTCAAATCACCTTGCAATTTCCATGCGTTACCTATTGTACCAGAACATTTATAACCAGTCTTTCATAAATTTTATATAACACGGTCGCCGAACGGAAACAATTATGTACGTTAACCTTTAAATCTTCCTGTTAGGTATTGTAAACATTTTATCATGACAAAATTGGACAGATACATCTGTTCGAGCGGACAAGCAATATTTTTGCGCACAAGTGAAAGAGATATGTAATGCAGGGTATAAAATTTTCTCTGTTCGGCGACCGTTTTTTTTATGGTATAGGGGGCAGACTAGAGGGATCACCTGATGGTAAGTGATTACCGTCGCCCATGGACACCTGCAACACCAGAGGGGCTACAAGCGCACTGCCGGCCTTGGAGGGAAGGGTTGAGGGGTAGAGGGAAGGGAATAGGGAGGGGTTGGGCCTCCGGTACCCTCACTCACATGACGAAACACAACGCAAGCGTTGCTTTTCGTCGGTTTTCTATGAGGCCGTGCCATATAATATAGTTTAATAATAGCGAGATATTTGCAGTCGTTAATACCCTCCAATCCGCATTGGGCCAGCGTGGAGGGTCATGGCCCATTCCTCCTTAACCATCCATAAGGAAGGCCTGAGCCCCTGCAGTGGGGACATAAAAAGGCTGATGATGATATATGAATATCCTATTTTTCTCAGGATTCATGTATTATATAGTTTTAGTGGCTAAATGAATCTGAATCAGCGATAGTACAATAAAATAATGCGAGTTAGGTTATGTCACGGGTCTAGGCGATTATGGCACAGTAAGTTCTTACTAATGTAGTGCTTGGTGAAGCTTCATTTACGCAGAATAGACCTACTGATGCCGACTGTTACCGAAAGTAAGAATAAAATTTATAATCAGTCTTGTTTAAAAGGCTAATTTCTATACCGTTGGAATTAGCTACTTTTAACAATAAAAATCTTAACGTAGTAAAATGTAGTGCTTCTTGTTTGGAAGCAAATTATAAATAAATTTCATATATTTATCATCTACCATGTTAGCCAAAGGGGAGAGGAAGCTTGATATGGCACCCTATTTGTTATCGTATTATATTAAATATAATAATTAGAACAAATTTTCATTTTCACCGAAAGTTTTAATATTTCGACGCTGGAAAGCAAACACGTAGTAACCTGCAAAACGAAACTGGATATTTAGAATGGAAAATATTTATATTTTTCCAAGAAAAAATATCTTCTTTCCGTATAAATTGACTAAGAAACACCTAATTTGTTGACGTTTATAGGAATTATTTATCGAAAAAAATTTAAGTTTTTCTGCTCTAAAGAACAATTTTGGTTTTGCGGGTTACTACGTGTTTGCTTTCCAGCGTCGATTTGTAAAAATATTTCTTTCGGCTGTTTAGGTGGATTGCCTGAACATTGATGAAAATACGCTATCTAGTAAGCGAAAAAGTAACAAGTGCTTAAAAGATTCATCAGTCCTGTTAGGCCCTGGGTAGCTTAATGGTTAGAGCAGTCGCTCGGATTGCGAAAGATCATGGGTTCGAGTCCCAGGGACAAGTGAATTTTTAAGCATTTTTCATAAGTGAATTTTTAAGCACTAACTCTTTTCTTTTTATAACTGTTTAATAAAAAAAAAAATTTCATTCCTCCTGTATGATTCACACGATGTCGCTTATATCAATTACGCCCATCTCACATTAATATACTCACAGACGGCTATTGTTCTACGAGAGTCTATTTGTATTGTGATTCTTATACTTCAAAGGTACTCCCGGTCTCTAGACAATCTCTACAAATTGGCAGCGTAACAGCAGTTCAATATGAAATATTAACGACCGAACATTATGCACTTCTTTTGAAGTCGCACGCACTTACATATAAGGTAATAAGTGCGTGCGACTTCAAAGGAATCGATTTGAAAATTAACTAACCTTTTTCTATTTTTAAATTATATTCTCACTGATTCTATGTTTATTTTAAATATAATGAGTTATGTTAGTTAAAAGTTTATATCTGTGTGTTTAAATATTTTTTCTTGAGAAAACGATAGTCCACTATTGACACAGTTCAATGTATATTCCTTATAATTTCAAAACGCTTTTAAATCACAAATGTTCATCTGTTGTAATCATCCTGAATTATTATCATTATTTATAAACTGTAGAATATAATAAATTCTTACAATTACTTAATGTGAAAATGATTATTTCATTACTCAGTCATACGATGGGTACGCCATCTAGACTACCTGATATTATAAGTAAGTTTGATTGTTTTATATTGAAATCTATAGAAATAAAACTTGCAATAATGTTTTAAAAATGTGATTAATTTAATAACGAATTGTCATAACAAATGTTCAAAATAAATTCAAAATATTTTAATTTGACTATTATCTTTTCAGGTGTGTTTAGAAATGGACATTACCTATTTGGTGGATAATGGGGAGTACCAAATTTTGTTTTTAATTGTTAAGTGGATTAATTGAGTTGATTTGTGAGGTAATAAATTGATTGTAATAAAGTGTAAAGACATCAGCCAAGCTATATATATACATATATCATACCTGGCGCCCGTAGATCCCATCCTACGACTGTGGATAGTAACGTGGCGTATGATATAACGCCCGCGTGCACGCCCCCCGCGCACGCCACCGCCACGCAACCACCCCCCTCCTCGCATCCACCCCCACTACCTATACTCCCCTCCACCTGACGGCACTGCGACAACGTCATACGGGACGAGCCGTTGTCTATCCTGAGTGCAATAAAACACATCTTTTATAAGGGTTCCTCTGGTTGTCTGTCTGTATACTCTACTTAAGACTGTAGGATTTCATCATTAGATTAGGTAAGTATCTTCAGACGAATTTCAATGTTCCAAATTCAGATCATATTTATTACCTAGGAAACGTATATATTATCTCGGTGTTTTATATTTCGTGACATAATTATCAAGTATTGAAGTTAAAAGAAGGTTCTTTATTCTATAATTGAAACCAGTTTGGAAATCACAATTTTTTTTTATTAGAAATTTTCGTATAACGTAAAAACTTAATTAGAAACATAGAGGACTGTTTAGTTGTTAGTAGTAGTTGAAATTTAGAAAAAGTCTAGGAACTATATTATCGGTCAGTTGCAGAAACGTCCATCAAGGTTAAATGACGTCTTTAAGCTCTAATGAATGTCAAATATCATATATCATATCCATAGATATTCATTAGTTTAATCGATTATCCATATTAGGATAATCTCTTTAAACTAATGAACATTTGAATAGACGTTTCTGCAACTGGCTGTATGTGTCATATTAAATGGAATGACTTATTAGGATAGGTTGAAATATATGCTTTTAAATAGGAACCCTATTATGAAGATTTCGCTGTCTGTCCGTATGTCACCAGACTGAATCTCATGAACCATGAAAGTCAGACTGTTGTAATTTTCACAGATGATGTATTTATGTTACCGCTTCAACCACAAATACGAAAAACAGAATAAAATAAATATTTAAAAGGGCTCCCATACAACAACCGCGATTTTTTTTTCTCGTTTCCAGTACGGAGCCGTACGTACGCGAGTCCAACTCACACTTGGCCACGTATAAGTTCATTATAAGGTTTTAAACATATTTAAATAATTAAACCCTACCTTAAGACGAATATAGATCCTTCCTGTGTGGCCGCGACTAGCGATTGTCCATTTTCGCAAGAGGCCAATGAAACCACCGGCCCGGCACTTCTATTGTACATCGACTTAGATCTGAAATTGACACATGATGCCTGAGTAACAAAAGTGGCTTAATAGGCTAGTTGAAATCTTTTTTATTTTGTAAATAAATAGTCCATTAATATCTGAAAAATAATGTAGAAGTAACAATATGTCTGCGGTTAATAGTTTCCGAGATATGGTGTTATGTTTGTATAACTACTGCTAGTCGACCGAAAAAGCTTCCTACAAATTCACAGCACTAAGTGTTGTCACACAGTGCTACGGTAGCGAAAAACGTACGGGCGTGTGGGCACTCTTTCTAATATAGTTTTTATTTGTGCGTTTATGTTTATAGCTGTTATAATGAAAGTTGTAACGTTTTATGTAACTAATTGAATGCCATATTTATTGTAGCAAATTTTTGTAGTGGCATACAATTTATTTACGTTAAAATTATTCATATTTTCCGAATATATAATAGAAACCTGTATCTTCACATGTAGGACACAAGGCTTTTGTTCAATTTTAAAATCTAGCAGTGATGGAATTGTGCAACTTTTAAATTCACAATCTTTTTAGGAACGAATGATAATTTGAATGATAAAAATGTCATACACAATTCATTTTGTATGACATTTCCTAATAGCTTTCGAAGATATTTGTAACTATCACTTTGCTAAAACAATTCCGATTAACGTTAGATAAACTTTCTTCTTCTTCTTCTTAACTTTAATGGCACTTTGCGTCACCACAATACTGCCAACTTCACGTAGGAGACCATTACACGATTTAAATATATTCATTCAACCAAACAATTTAATGGTAATTCTATCTTTGTACGTGGATTTACCAAAAACAACACGTTAAACGATTTTAATACGTTATTAAGGATTCATTTTATATAAACATCGTTCTTTCAAAAAACCGTCGTAATCCCAATTGCTATCACATGTCAAATAGTAGTAGCGTGAAGTTCGTAATTATCTTTCAAATGTCAAATTCAAAGTGATTGTGATAGAATTTAAAATTAGACAATGATGCCACTTAAGTCCATCAGTCAGATAATAAAAAAACATTAGATACTTATTTTTACTAATTTACAGGCTATAGGCATTAAGCATTAAAGTTGAGTAGTGGGGGCTTGCTTCATAACAACTATGTAGAAAATGTACAAAGGTATATAACGTCATGCGACATTCGAACTCAATGTATTACCATAATTTTTTGATTACGCAAAAAAATACATGTTTAATACAAACACTGGTTTTTGTTTTTGTTTACAAACAAAAAAATAGTCATAATCCCTATTAGCAAGATTATTATTAATATATCACTCCGCAAGCAGCGTAGTTAATATAATATTAATGTAATTGTAGGCGGTATTTTTTTTTACTTTTATACCAAATCTATAAGCGAAGACCTGTAATTGGCTGTTTGTTTTTGGAAAAAAATATCAATTTGTATTCTTAGCTGTTGGTCATCCAAGATAGTAAATAAATTGACAGTTATGTATTTACGCTGAGACTAAAATTAGTATTAGTCAAAATTTATATTATTAAACGGAGACTTAGCAAAGTTTAACTTAGTACGAGGTTCTATGGGAGTATTTTTTACTCCTAGAAGGTACAAGGTTTGCTTATTAATAGCACTGCATAATCTAGGTACTGTATAATAATCCACGCAAATTGCTAATGCGCCTGGCCGCCATTTTGTGACGTTAACATATGAACACGGGTTGACGAGTAAACTTATCGAGTTACGTTGTATTGAGATCACTCTATTGTTGTGTTCGTTGTTTTCGTATGTTATTGTTAAGTTTTGTTCACTAAAATATTAACTGAGTTTACAATAGTAAACTTAATTTCGGTAAAAATCATGTCTTAAAATACCTCATATCTTTTATTTCATCATTACTTTTGGCTCTATTTAAAAATGTCTTCTCCGTTTGTTATCCAGTGACTGAAAAGTAAATGTTATATTTTACATATTTATTTTTAATTTACATAAACCTCAATATTAACATCAACTGATCTTTTCCGAAAATTCATGCAATAAATTATGAAATTAAAATTATGAAATTGTTATAACAAAATTTTGTCGATTATACAAAAATATTTCAATACTTAATAAATAATTTATCTCTTGCATTTTGTGTTGTCTATACTATTTTCAAATGACGTCACTCGGGTGTTGTTACATGTTTAAACAAAGATTTGATTTGTTAGACAATGTTAGCTTATAACGGAATTTATAACGGCTAAAATCTAACCTGTTCACGTAAGCGTGCCCCTGAAGTCGAGCCGCGTCCCACAGACGGACGGTGCCATCGTCAGAACACGAACCGAAGTAACTTTTCTGCGCTGGAAGAGTCACCAGTTGATTTACACGAGCCCTAAAGGGAAAACAGTTTCTTTTTTATATATACAGTATGTTACGGACACCCTTTCCTTTCTCGTAAAGGCGTTACAAGTATAGATTGTATTCTATTTATAATTTATATGAAACTAGCTTTCCGCCAGCTTCGCCGGCGTAATTCCTAGGGAACTGTTTATATGGATATCGATTCATATCATGACATGGATATAATTATAATAACAAATTAAATAGCAAACAATATTTGCTATGGTAACGTTTTAATTCCCTATGCAAACTTCCATTCCCCTTTCGGGATAAAATATAACTTATTTTCGCTGCATTTGATGTAGTTCCCAGTAGGTGAAAGAATTTTTAAAATCACTTCCGTAGTTTCGGAGACTATTCGATGCAAACAAACAAATAAACAATCAAATTTTTCCTATTTATAATATTAGTATACACAATTTATTATACCCAAATTTATATATTAATAAATTATACCCAAATAAAAAATTTGAATTTAATTTTATAAGGCAAGTAATTTTTAGTATCAAATCTCACTCCAAGTGTAACAGAAGTCGCGAGGAGGTTACTGTAGTGTAAAGAGTTCATTTGTTAACATGTTCGGTCTGCGATGTGAAGGTTAATGAACTTTCGCAAGAGCCCGTCAAAGGATGGGTTAACAATTTTTTTTAATCTCGAGCTCCTGCGTTCTTCGGAAGGCACGTTTAGTCTGACCTGCCTTTCTGTACTGGGCTCGCTTAGTGATTTAGAGTCCGTTCTCCATCTTAGATTTCATCCACAGGGACCAGTTCTACCAGTGGAGTCGTTAATAGACTTTGGGTCAGAAAACTCACTTGTGCTCATACAGATAAGCCAGTAGCTGACTGCCAGGTCGCCAAGACGCTGGAGGTACCAAATCTTCGATATTTTCTGCCCCATCATCGTGACTCCTTAGGAATAAAACGAGTATTTATCGCAAAGGGTATCAATAAAAAAAAAATAGTCAAAAAACTATTCTAATCTGTTTTAACTTAAAAATATTTTTATTGGTGACAAACGAGGTATAATTTTTGTTCAGATTTACAAAAAAGGTTACTTATCCAATACAATTCAAATTCGTGTGAGACCTCCTTGAACATTGACGGGAATGGGGTCCATTATTGACAAAGACAGTGTGCAACCGACTTTTTCAATTCCAGTAAAAATAAAATTATATCTCACTCACCTCAATGATTTCTGGAACTTTTGCTGCATACGAGATGTTAAGTTTCTTAATTCCGCTCGGCAAGGTGCCATGCTATCTGAAAGGGACTAGATTAATTAATCAAAATTGATCGTCCGATTAAAGTTTACGAATCTTGTTTCAATAACAATAAGGTTCAAATACCAACGGTGTTTTAAACTTTCATTGTCGTACAAATTAAATTAATAACAGTTATTTGTGGTAGTTCCTATATAGTCCAAACATACAGAATAAAATAACTCATCAAGCAGTCAGGGACAACATAAAAAAATCAGTCATCATGGAACATTTGATTAATTCGGGATCTAACCACTGGATATAACTCCACTTGTAGTACCGTCATTGTTTCCGAGACTTCATAATTTGAGCCAAGTATGTAAGTTGTTGTCTAATAAAACGAGACCTTAGCAGGATAAGTACTGGGATCTGAACCATGTATGTATGTTAATGTCTAATAAGTATATTTATGTATAATCTTACATTGCACATAACTGGCGCTGTGTCCCATCTGCGAGTGAGCGGGCGCGTGGGACAACGGATGATTTGATGTGGTGTTGTATGTACCACTCATCGACTGAGCCGTAGACTCTACCGCTAGGAACAAATCAATCAAAAATATGTAATTATCTTTATACTCTTTACGTCCCCACTGTTGGCAACACTCACATTTATACACGGATATATAGGGCTACACAAAAAAAAAAGGAACTTGTTTACTAATATACACAGAAACCAAAAACAAACGGTTGATTTAATTTTTTAAACGTATAATTACTTAAAAAAAAGAACATCTCTATTGTGAAGTAACTTTGCCATCTGTCAGTCATTGGATGGCTGACCAATTTATTGTCTCTGAGTAAAGTAGTTTGGTGGCGTGGAGGATAAGCGCCGCAGCCTGATATCGCTATTATTAAGCAAGTTTCGCAAGGGTCGGTCACGGGATGGGTGACAAAAAAAAACTATATCAAGCTACTTCGTGCTTCGGAAGGCACGTTAAGCCGTTGGTCCCGGCTGCATTTTCTTAGATTCGCATTGGACCAGCGTGGAGGGTCATGGCCCATACTCCTTAACCAACCATAAGGAAGGGAATACATGAATTAATAAATAATGAAACTAAGTTTTTGCCAAAACCAATCATAATATGAGTTTTTCAATAATATTATAGTAAATTAAATGGTCATCGTTATTAGACTACTAATATTGGCATTACTGGGGCACAAGCTCACCGTATAGAAACAAAGGGAGAAATTATTTCAACACAACACGGACCCAATGCGGATTAATGGATGATAATAAATAGGTACTTACCTCTAATCGTGTGTTCGTGTGATTGTCCGAACATGTGTTGCCACTCTGTGTTCATTTGTGTTTCATGTGATAAAGACGTTTTGTGAGTTCGTCTGGAGACAATTAATATGTTTATTTGTAGAAGCACAAAGCAAATATCACTATAGTTATTATATTTATCAATATTGCATTAACAATGCTATATTGTAAAAAAAAACATAGTGAAAAATGCTTAAAAAATCCCTCTTGTGGGACAAAGGAACAAATATTACTATAGTTATTAAGGCAAGATTTCTTACTATACTTCTGGCCTATGTAGCTATTTTTTTTTATTATACAGCGTGTTTGGTAATACCTGTATAATCCCGAAACATGGCCATACAACCTAGCACAAAGAGCACAATTGATAGGTCAAAAAACAATTTCATGTAAATTGATATTTTCATACAAATATTTGAACAATTTGTTTTCAATTACTATGCTACAACCCTGTAAGCTTACACGTGCCGTCCCGGCGCACTCGCTCTTTCTCTCTCTCTCTCTCTCATTACCTCTCACTCTCTCGTTTCCTTGAATACATTTTGATGTTGCCGACGCGCGCACTCGACTACGTATGAGTTTACTTGTAATTAAAACAATTTAAGATTAAATAGGTACATACCTATAGCGTTCTAATCACTCTTTCAGCTTTCACTTGTCAACATTACCTACACTTCACCTCCACTTTATCAGTCCAGGGTCTCGATATGCCGGCCACCGCATAAAACACACATCTCCATTCGACTCGACACAGACCGTGTCGTGTTACTCTCGACGTAAAGTCATATCCTCTGTCTCGATGGAATAGGTGATCGGCCGGCCTACCTGTGGCACACTATGGAATGAACCAGTTGTATGTAACCAATTCACAAATGCCGCGAATCACCGGTAAGAAGGAAGACGTCGATGGTTTTCAGGTCTTCCTGACACGTGGCGCTCGTCATAACGCCGCCGAGCCGCAGCAAGATTACCGTCACAAGCACCGCCACACATTATCATCTCGTAATATTAGGCATTTGAGTACGAATTCATTGCACTGACCGCACACAAACATAATACACAGGTAAACAGAACGAGAATGAAAAACAAACCAAAAGTCCCGAAAGAACGAAAACGTAAGTTGACCTTCTAAATTCTGAAAACTCACAAGTACGCCGATGAAAGTTACGGACGCGACTGACGCGATGACCAAAACTACATAGGTTATTATTATTGCAACTCGAACACCAATGTACCTAAATCAAAAGTGTACCGATTTTGGGGTTCCGCGTCAAGAAATATTATTTATTATTAGACCTTTCCATTACAACTAACCTTTATTTAATTATCATTTAAACTAAGAATAAGAGAGATACTTAGATTATTAATATCATTGTATAAGTCCGTATTTTATTGTTTCGTGAAAATAACACGGCTTTATGAAAAAAATAACAAAACTTCAAAGCAAATAATCTACAGAACCTTACTGACACATCAGAAACCCGAGTTTCTCAATACACATCGTCGTCGATTTTATGTCTCTCTCGCTCCTTCTTGCATAGACTAATGTGAGCAATGGTGCAGATATTGAACTTCAATCAAAGTATTTGCAATTTCTTTTTTATTTTGACTGTATTATTATAGAAGTTTTCATATTAATAGTTTTTGAAACACCGTTAATCACAAGATTAGTGTTTTTTTATAGTTAAAAGTCATTTACTACTTACTTTTTCTTTGTTTGGAAATAATAAATTCCTCTCAGATGCATATTTATTCTAGGCATTTATCTTTAGATTTATTTAACTTCTGTTATTTTTTAAACTAGTTCGGCACATGGAGTCGATGACCAAATACAACACAACAGCTATTTTTAGGGTTAGGGTCAGCGTACAGTTTTACTTCGAAGAAAAAAAGCTGAATATCTAGGTCATGTGCTGGGTTTCAGTCTTAGTGATCATTTTTCTGGGTTCTATTCATCATACCATATGTGCCATATTCGGGATTATACAGGTATTACCAAACACGCTGTATATATTTAGTTATACACAATAAAGGAGAATGGGCAGTTTACTATGAGAGATCGGCTATTTTTGCGTAACTGTGCACATTGTTGAAACCAACGGTAAACGATAGATAATTATTTCTAGAATGAGTAGGAAAAAAACCATTTTAAAATTATGCCGGAGTTTGAGAATATCTGAATATTTAACAGAGATTTTGAGGTTATATCGTTATAATATCTACATATATAAGAACAATAAAATGAATAATGTATTTCAAACAATCGATGACTAACAGACATAAATATTTAATTGCGAAAAAGGACACATCTATACCGAAAAAGGAAATATTGGATTTTTTATTGTTAAGGATAAACTCAAAAACAACTAGGTCAATTAAAAACTAGTTTTTGACTAATATAATACCTGACCAACACTATCAGAGTTAAAATACTTTATTTCGTAAAAGTCGTAGTTATATACTCGCCGCTAAAGAAAATATTATAACGAATGTCACTAGCAATCTTAATTTAAGATATTTAGGTATTTATCTAACGGAATCTTATTATATTTATGTATAACACCGCTTATACACTCATGTTTTTTCCTCCGTGAAAACTTATCCTTATCCTTTATGCCTATATGAATAAACGAAGCCTATTCTTTGGGATTAGTGACAAACGTTAACTTGGCCGAACTTTGGTTCAGTCTGTACGCGTCATATTAAGATGCGCCAACCGGCCGATTGCATTAATTTGCCTCCTATTATTTACTATGAAATAGAGTACATATTTTTTTTTCATACTCAAAAGAAAACCGAAGGAAGCACAGACTAAGAAAAAGATACTATGTGAAGGAAGTCTTATCTTAGATAGTAATTAAACAATCGATTTTTTTCGATACATAGTAATCTAGGAATCGAAAAAAATCCCTTTGTTTTCTATAAGCGATAAGGCGATGAGCCTTATTAGTCTATTTTTGCATGGTTGACATTTATCCAAGGCAAGACTCGTGATATGTCAGTTTAGCAACTGTTTCAATACGGTTAATTTTAAACGCCGCATAATTTTAAAATAGTATTTATATAGAATAAATTATAATTAAAGAGAAGATTTATGATGAATAAATGCATAGTGCGCAATTTGCGTAATTTTAGCCGCCTTCTGCCCATTCTCCTTTACAAACAATAACTATATAGTATTTTGTTTTGAAATAAATTATAAACTATATTTTATTTTTTTGCAAAATTAACTTGCCATTTATAATCTATAATATTGAAACGGCCGTGACGGAACATCGTGTGACGTCACATTTTAATGAATAGAACGTCAATGTCATTGTTGCGAGTTCAACCAGTACTCGTGTTTATAGAAATGTGACGTCATGGTCCGAAATGTCACGTGATTGTTTTCGCGGGAAAAATTAAATAAACGAATAAAAATATGCTTTTCTTTTATTTAATAACACATTTTGGAAAAAATATAAACCTTATAGTGGTTTAATGTAATCATATGAAAGTTTTGAAATAGTTTTGCCAAACAGTCAAGTAGCCAATGAAGACAAACTTATACAGAGGTATACCTGTTTTGCGTGGATGCGTACATCTTGTCTGATGCATTGTGTGCGAGCGCATCCACACCAACGTCCAGCTGTACAGACTTCGATATATTGCTGTTGGTGATCACCAATCTTCCTGGAGCGTCTGTTATGTGCTGTTCAAACATATTACCATCGATCAGAGACATCTTAAAATATATTAATATCTTGAGGTCCCAATTCGAATATTTTATTTTCAATGTTCAAAAAAATATTGAAGATGGCGCCAACGGTACCAAATTTTTGATTATAAAATGGATTTTACAGATCTTTTTTTGATTAAAGTATATAAAAATCAAAAGTCAGCGCCATCTAGAGCAGAAACAAAATAACAAATATAAGCTATGTTAATATCTTGTTTTGCTCTAGATGGCGCTGACTTTTGCTCAAATATAGCTAAAAAATTACCAAGAAGGTGACATATTTTTGTTGTTTCTAATTCTTGTACCTCTACTATAGAGTATAACATTATAAATACTTTAATATTATAAAGAGGATATATCTGATCGATAGTCTGTTTTTTTTTGTTTCCATCGAATAAGACTTCTAAACTACTGGACCGATTTCAAAAATTCTTTCACCGAATGTTAACTGCGTCATACGCGGATGACGTAGGCTATAATAATTTACGCAAGCGAAGTCGCGGGAAAGCAGATAATATGGCTATACTAAACATAATTATTTTAAGTGCAATTCATATTTACCTGTGTCGAAGATCCTTGTATCTTTATGAGATGAGCACTCATCGCTAGAAGTTGGTTTTCCACGTGTTCTGTCATACCTGTATATTATAAAAATAATACTATATAAATATAAATGAGGATTAGTTTTCAATTCAATTGAGAGATATAATCTAAAAAATTGCACACGATGTTGAAATACTAATCTTATTTCCATCAGTATAAAGATCAAAACTAAATACGAGAATATCTTTGCCTATATGAAAATAATTTTTTATGCATATTCTGAGAAAACATTAATTAAAATACAGCTATTAAGTTTAAAATTGAGAAAATTAAACCTTTATTTAGTTTTATTATCATATATATATAGCTATTACCGTCAGACGCCAATCTTCTGAAGAGGTTTCTGAGTTGTTGGCCCATTTCAGAATATTGTGGCATAGTTCCTTGCTTCACCTATTAACAAAACAGTAAATATCACATATAATAAAAACCATAATTGAAAAACGTTATAATTATTACTTGTAGTAATTTTTAAATATCATCACTGTTCCTTAACCAATATTAATAGAAGAAGCTGTAAACGCTGACGATATTTACTTTCAAATTAAAACTAATAATTTATTGCTAACTGTCAAACTCAGAGAAGTTATATAAATTTAACAGTTGCCTATACAAAACATATATATTTATAGTTAATACATTCAAATAAACACGATTTTAGTATAAATAAATGTGTTAATCGATATCTATTTTGAAAATCTATGTTTCTGATCATTTTATAGGTGAATAGTAACTATAGTCTGTTCCTAAGATAGGCGAAGAGACATACTACTAACAGACCAAAGTATTATGTGCGCGTTGAAAGTAAACCATACATATCGCTATCCCAAAAACACTACATCGTTTGCGCGGAGTACTGCCTATTGTGAGGTCAGCGACATTCAGTGTCCCGTACAAACAAACGAAGTACTTCACGGACACGATAGAGTTCTATGTTCATGTTCTAGGAACAGAGTATTAAATATTTAATAAATAAAGATAATATTTTATTCTTTGTAATATTATATTTCTTATTTAGAAGATCTGTCAGGAACTACTGGTTCGAATTAGAAAAATATTTTTTTGTTGAATAGTCTATTTACCGAGGAAGGATGACTAATAGGATTTTTCATTGCTGTTACGAAACGGGAAAACCATATGAGGACAAAGCCACTGGCGGAAGGCTACTCACATACACAAATTAAAAATAGTAACAATAAAGTAAAATGTATACGCACCTTTAGCCTTGTGTTCCGCCGTTCTCTCAGTGTTTGCACCAGTCTATCGACATCGCCATGTCTTAAAACGGCATCCAGAACTTTCCGTGGTATCGGATCCGAGAGACTTTCTAGAAGCAACTCCGCTCTTTCTACCTAAAGCGATGTAAGACTCTGAGGTAATTTATATTTATCTTAAAAGAAATATACTTGACAATTGTATCAGTCTCAGGAAACTTGAGGTTAGATCCATTTCACATGAAACAAAAGTCTCTTCAGCAGTCTATTAATGTGCCCACTGCTGGGCATACGATTTCCAAATGAAACGAATTAAACCGAGATAATTATAATAATAATTTATTATAATGTGTGCGTGTGAGTGCGCGTGTTTGTACGTGTGGATTTGGGTGCGAGAATATGGGTTGATTATTGTAATATGTTACTATTTTTATCCAATATATTACTATTTTTTTATACAAATTAGCAATAACCCACAGGGGCACACTGCAGATTGATAGGTTTAGGCAGATGCAGCCAGGATCAACCGGTTAATAAGCCTTTTGATTGAAGCAAAGTGGAGCTCTAGATATTACATATTTGGACACGCTCACCATTACATTATAGAAACTAAACTAGGTTGTCTTATACGTATTGCCTTCAAAGGACCATTACAAAAAAATATATAAAACATTTTATATATATAAACATGGTATTAAACAAAGTCGCTTCCCGCTGCCTGTACGTCGAAATCTTTTTAAAAGTCATTTTAATACGGTTTTCATCAATATACAGAGTGATTCGAGAGGAAGGTTTATATGAATACAGGACCTCGCCACTGGCGTAAAGTTAATATATTAATATAATAATACATAATAAATATCACCTGTATTAGTTTATGCTTCAGATGGGGCCACACCAGCGGTAAAATCTTGCAGTTCACGTCTATGGGATTGAGAAGACTCGCAACACATGACACCAGACCGCATACTTCGTGCCTTATCTATTAACATTCTCAATATATTAAAATAAAAACAATCTACAACCATGACACAGTATAAGAATGACACAGTATAGAAACTAAGCCTATTTGATAAAATAAATACCTACGCTCCATTGAAACCATAGGGTTGTCGTTTTGAATGTTTCTTTTACAAAATATGAAAGGAGTTCTGACATTATCAATCAATCGAATTGTAATAACTAATTAACAAACAAACAATATACATACACATTTGTTCAGACGGTGACATCTACTTATATTATTCTATTATCACCACATGATATAGAAATAACATATGCGAAAACTGGGCGGCTAAAATATATTTCCAGATCATACAAAAATCTTATTTTTTATTTCATATAAGCCTACTCCTTTCCTTAATCTTTCCTTCATTTTTTAAATAAAAACGATCGCGGAACGTATAACGTGACCCCTCATCTCGACGCGCTACGCGTTACTGAGCGTCCTGTTAGGTCCACTTAGGCGGCTCGTCGGTGAGCGTGTTTATGTGTGCGTGCGATTTCGAACGCTTGTAGGCAGTTTCACCACTGTATACTTATATTTACACTGTGACCATGATGTACCTAAATTAGTCTTTTATTTTGTTGTGATTTTTTGTGGACATCGTTTCAATTCTTGGCCTAGGGCGAAAAGTTTCTTTGAACCACTGAATAGACCAATGAAATTTGGCACAAAAACTGAAGTTAATATATAGATAATTTCTAACTTACCCATAGATTTGGGTGTGCCAAGTACACGGTACTTTCGGCGACCAAATCACATAGAACTTGCTTCGGCAATAAACCAAGCTCCGCCAAACTGCTCGTAGCACGTAACGCCTTCGCTATAATCCACTCCGATTGATCTGTTAAACCCTGTATAGATATAGCACATCAATATCACTTATATTTTTTATCATCACCACCAGCAATAATGTCCCCATTTTTGGGCCTTCAGGCCTTCCCTATAGATAGAATTGAAACGAATAGGGAGAATGTACCATGACCCACCACTTCAGCACAGTGCGGTTTGTTTGACGTGCCTTCCGGAGCACGGGGAAGCTCGAGTTAATAAATTTTCGGTAACCCATCCCATGACCGGCCTTAGGGAAACTTGCTTAACAATCGTGTATGCACTAACCACTACACCATTGAGGTCCTCCTATGTTTTTATATAACTCTAATATAAAAGCAAGTCGCATTTACCCTAGGGTTAAAATAGACATTTAATACGCATTGCAAACTTTAAAAATTGATTAATGTTCAGAAATATTTTTTCCTTCAACATATTAAGATTTTAAATGAAGAACTTCAAGAGATTTGACATATCTGTATACCTAACCTGATGTGCTATTGAATTTACAACAGAATTGTCACATTAGGGATAATATGACAAATGTTTGGTTGTCTGTCCATCAGGTAGTTTTAATTAATATTAAACACGTGTTTTATATTTTTTTGCGTAATCAATAAATTACGGCGACACATTGAGTTGAAAGGTGACGTCACACTTTTGTATATTTTCTACATACTCAACCTTAAATGCTTCCTATCTGAGTATTTTCTTGTTAATATGAAGCAGATATCTAATATTTTTATATTATCTTACTGACGGAATAAATATATATATATTATCCAGGCATCCTCCCTATCAATCTAGCATTGTAAAATTTAACAAATGTAGTATTTATTGACCTGCTGCAGTAGAGGTTGCAGGATTGGCGCAGCGTGATGGCCGACGTATGCAGCCACGCCTACTACTCGTTCAAAGAAACATCCGCGTAAACCGGCCTCTTCTTTGTCGTTCAAAAACGTCACCATATGCGAGAGGATCACGTCGTTCGCTACCAAAAAGTTTGCATACATTATCTATACAAATATTATAAAGCTTTCCGCTTTATTTGATAGCTTGTTTATTTGAAACGAATCGGCTCCGAAACTATTGGACTGATTCCAAAATTTTTTAACCTACGGGAAGTTACATTATATGCGGTAAACATAAGCTATATTTTATTCTGAAAAACAACTAATAAAGGGATGAAAATGGGAGTGGAAGTGGATGTTATTATAATTATATCCGTGTCATGATATGAATCGATATGCAAATAAACAGTTCCTTAGAGATCACGCAAGCGAAGCCGCTGGCGGATAGTTACCTATTATATAAAAAAAAATCAAGATCACTAGAAAACCGACTTTAAACTTTAAGACATATGAAGGTCTGTTCTTAGGGACCATGTCATAGAATTTACTGAAAGAAAAACTGTATCGATACATTAAAAAAAAAAACAAGCACTCAGCTTGGGACACGAACCAAGACATTTTGAATTATTATTTCAGCTTTTGCTCACTAGAAACGCTAATTCATTTAGTAATCATCAGTGATTGTACGGTAACTAGCTAAGAAATGGCGTTATTTGTATCCATTACGTTTTCCAATAAAATTTACAAAAATACTTTTTATAATAACTGATCAATTTTGCATTAACAATACTGTAACTAGCTAAGAGCACTCAGCTATTATACATTGAAGAAGAGAAGAAGAAATAATTATTGATCTCACAAAGACACAAACAAGATATGTAGTACATTATTAAGCATTATATTCAATATACGATGTGATTTGTTACCAGGAGTTACCTGTTTTCTCATCAAAAAGTAGCTCTTGAAAGGCAACCTAGTACATAAGTACATAAATATGCATTTTAATTTAAATAAGTGTTGTTGCTACTCAGAGCTAGAGGGCTATACATAACACTAGCCCCTTTTCAACATGTGGCTTTCAGTTGTAGTGAAAAAGACAAAACATTTTTAAGCTACACAATGCGTATACACTGCTTATTTATACTCAATAAGACTTACCTTTCTGTTTTCCGAAAAATATACAGAGTTTTGTGATTCCGTTGTCAACTAAAGCTCGTTTGACAATCGCCTGAGAGTCCGTCAATAAATATGATACCGTCGACCGTACCTTTATACAAATAAAGTCCATTTTTATTTAAATCGTAAAGTTAGCATAACGTATCTCTACTATAAAATAAAATAGATATATTACCATCTCGTGCAGTGCTGATAATTCAGTCTCATAGTTTATATTTGCCGATTCCTTGTCTACCATATTTTGTGTTTGATCCAAGAACCTTACTGCAGTTTCAGCTAATTTTGCTGAAAAGTATATATTTTTTTATAAAGTATGTGTTATTCCACAAAAAATTACATCACTAGTCCACCATTTTGACATCACGTTTGAAATAATATTATACGACTCTAGAGACACATACTCACAGACACACACACAAAAAGGAGAATGGGCTGAAGTCGGCTAAAATTACGAAAAATTGAGCACTACACATTTATTTCTCAAAAATCTTCTTTTTAATTATAATTTATTCGGCATAAATTTGAAATGATTTTTTTCCTACTCATTCTAGAAATAATTTTCTATCGTTTACCGTTAGTTTCAACAATGTGCACAGTTATGCAAAAGTAGCCGAATTCTCATAGTAAATTGCCCATTCTCTTTTAAAGGTTTATGTAATTTTTGTTGTAATATTTTTGTAACCCCCTCCATCGATTCAAAAACCTAACTACGTCCGTATTACATGCTGTTTAGACGGAATCGTACGTTATACTGACGCTATTGTACGCGTATTGTGGTATACTCACCTATACTGTTGGCATACGCTATCCTGACAGGAACAGCTGGGTCTGTAGCACGCGGCGCCAGTTCTGGCAGTATATATTCAGGGAAAACATTGCAATCTGACTGCGGCAAGTTACGAACCAGAGATACGCAACGTGCCGCTGTACATACAGCCGCTGCGCGTACACGCGATACGCTATCGTGAGATAAGTGGATCTGTAGGTGGAGATAGAATAAATTATGGACTAATTAAAATAATTTATAAGTTTTGCATTATATTGATATGTTTGTGATAAATAACGGATGATGCCTAGGTAAAAAAAAAACTATTTAGTACGGACTAAATATATTTTTTTACCCAGTTTACCTTTTAACCCGTATAATAGATTATCCCATATCTATAAATAGATTGATCGATAAAAGCAAAATATTAGATATGTATTTTTTTTTTTGTTTCAATTTAACAAGACATGGCTTAGATAACAGGCATTCAAGTTGAGGAGTTGCAGTTCGTTTAGTCACAATTTTGTAGAAAATATACAAAGGTGTAACGTCATGCGAGATTTAAACTCAAACACCATAATTTATTACGCAAAAAATACATGTTCAAAATTCTTTAATAATCTACCTGACGGACAAACAAAAAAAAATTAACATGCCTTTTATCTTATAAAATAATGCTTTGATAATTTACCTATCTTGACGAGGTGCACGAGAAGGGGGAAACGATACCAACATTTACTTTCACACGTTAAGGGGGAAGCAGAGGGTCGACGAAGTGTGACATTTTGTGACAAGGAGACGGGAGCGGTTTTAAATTTTGTGAAGTCACATTTCTAATTCTATTTCAATCTAAGTGTTAAAAGACGAACTTGAAACATCAATAGTCTATATTTTGCATCATACAAGATCACTAATCAACACAAGAAATAACATGAGAGGCAACAAGAGGTTTTACCTACCGTGAAGTTTTGTCCTCAAAGAATTGATGCTAGACGTGCCAGAGATGTTAATTTCTTTAATTAACATAGTCAATTGTTTCTTGTTTTATTGTTTATAATCAAAAAATATATAAATGGAAATAAAACTGATTTCGGAACCAACGTTTGTTATTCAATAATTTCTAAATGTAAATTTGCAAATTAAGTGACATCACACTAGGGAAGGTCTAACAAATGTGACCAGCTATGACAAGGACGAGGGGACAGGCAAAAAATCATGATAATCGTGTGACGAAATTTATGGATGACCCCTCGCCTAGTTCGAAATAAATGAATTAGACAAGATTTCATAGTACACATTTCAAATTTTAGTTAAGTGGCTGAAAGTAATTGAAATTTGATGATACTAGACAATATTGAATAGATATTTTTCTTGCACATCGATTCGGATTTCGAACCAACGTATCGATGGTTATTATAATAGTGAGAGCTGATACTATCGAAATTATCGATTGTAATAGTTTACAGTAATAGAGTCGATTCTATCGATGGTTTTTCACTATTCATTGCTATTCACTAAGTATACTGTTTTTTTTTTTTATTTGACATCATTAAAATGTTTAAAATACTCACTATATACGGTAGAATTCTATCCAAAATCGTCTCCGAACTGGAATTCTCGCAAAGCAGTTGCAATATCTCCAAACTGTACAACTTGGACGTGCAATGATGCAATCCTCTTATACATGACGTCACCAATGACGTGATCAATATCAAGCCTTCGCTGTCAGGCCCCTCCTCCTTACTCTCTGGTGCTTTCACGTCGTCTTCTTCGAAATCAGTGACATTCACTTTTAAAACTTTAAAACCGTCTTTAAAATTGTCTATGGTCTCCGTAGGTTGGTTGTCTGTGGTCTCGTCCACTAAGTCCTGGTAGTTTTTCGCATCTGAAGGCTGCGTGAATATTTTGATTATATTCCGTATATCTTGGTATATTCGGAGGATCTTTTCGTCGGGTGGTAAAATGGGTTGTGCGGAAAATATTAACATATAAGATTGCAGGAACGAGTAGAAATATTCGGGGAATAATCTGAAAATAGTTAAGAAATTGATTTTTAAATGTTAACTCTAATACAAATACACAGGGCAAGTTTTTAAACAATACATTTTCTACAATAGGGATGGCCCGTCACACTTATCGCAGATGGCATCGTCGTAGCTCCTTTCGAGTTCAATCAAATAAGCATAAAAAAGGAAACAGTTGATCCATTATAACAATTAGAGCTCCTAGCACTAAAAGAAGCAGGGTAAGCTTAACTACTCTAATACTTTTTAAAACTACTAAAAAGCAAAAGCGATAGAAGCTTTTGTGTAGTAGACAATCTTATTCCACTGTACCTGGGGTAAAAAATCGGAAGAACATTCAAAAGTGACTTTTATCTATCGTTCAGTGTGGATAGATGAACACGCGTTTCCGAATATCCACCTTAGGGTGGCTGTTTCAGGGTGGATAAACGGAATAAGCCGAATTTAGTATTTAAATATTCATTCATACAAAAAAACTGTCTATATATGTCGCGCGACAATCGGTCGATCACATCTGGTTTTTTTTTATGGAATAGGGGGCAGTCGATCAGGCGGATCACCTGATGGTGAGTGATTACCGCCGCCCATGGACACCTGCAACACCAGAGGAGCTACAAGTGCGCTGCCGGCCTTTGAGGGACGAATAAGCTCTACGCTTGAAAGTTTAAAGGTCGTATCGGTCCGGAAATACCGCTGGCGACAAACTGTTCCAGAGTTTGGCTGTGCGAGGCAGAAAACTTCTAGAAAAACGCACAGTTGAGGACTTCCAACCATCCACATGATGGGCGTGGATTTCTTGTCGCGTGGAACGATGGCGGAAAGTAGCGGCAGGTATATAGTACAGTATGATGGTCATAAAAGTAACAAAGTGCTCGTTGTCGTGTTAATGATATTTACAGAAGCAAACTTGTTACTAAGATTTGTGCTCCAACACAAAAAAAGAGTAGCTCGGTGGCGTAGTGGGCAATAGCCGCGGCCCGCGATTCTTGTTATTAAGTACATCGCAAGGGTTGGTCACGGGATGGGTGATTAAAAATCTCTTATTTCGAGCTAGTCCGTGTTTCGGAAGGCACTTTATGCCTTTGGTCCCGACTGCATTTGCAGTCGTTAATACCCTCTAAGCCGCATTGGGCTAGCGTGGAGCATTATGGCCCATCCTTATTAGCTCTCCATAAGGAAGGCCTAATTCCCTGCATTGGGGACGTAAAAAGACTGATGATGATGATAAAAAAACGTCAAATGAAAACACTAGCGCCATCTATAGCCAGTCAATACTAATGAAACCGTATCGTTCGAATTTCAAACACACTCACTTGCCCCTAGCCTCATCCAGGTATATCTCAGCACTTCGTCTATCCTTGGGGTTCCTTTCCGTCATGGAGTGTAATAAAGCCCTCAGCTGAGGCTCGCCGTCCGGCGGGCTCATTGTAGCCGGACGTTCCTCGCCGGTCCGGTACGCCAACAGACCCGGTAAGTCCAAAGCGGGGGTTCCGTCATTCCATAACTCTAGTAGAGCACATCTGGAATGCAAACAAATATAATTAAGTGTACAGGAACAGACTACAGATTAAGTACATTAAAATCAATTTCCAAATGTATGCTGAAGATAATACGGCATAAGTTCATGTAGCTTCGCTGCGATGGAACTGGAAATAAGCTTTAAGACAAATACGATTTTAGACAAAGCCCGGATATTCCCGATTCGCCTTTATGGGTTAGAGACTCAGATAATTCCAGAAAGAAAATAGATCAAGAAAAGAAAAATGTAGCTGCATTCGAAACGTAGTGCTGGAAATGCGTACTCTGAATATCTTAGGAGGTGAATCGCAGAACTTGGCGTTAAATAATAAATCTTGTGGTTTTGGTCGCCCAAATAATTTGACAATGGATGAATATAAGACTTTAAATCATACTGGTAGCAAACTTTTGCCCATCATAAATATATTTAAAAAGTTAAAATTTTCAACATTGTATTTTATTTTTAAGAACGAACTTGATTTTACGTACCCCGCTGAGAAGATATCCATACTGGGTAGCAGCTCACCTACTTTGCAAGGCGATTCACTTAGTAGTAAGCCACCAGACCTGTCATCACTCTGTAACAATCAAGTACAACTTAACTCTTTTATTTGCTTATATTGCTCAGATTCCAGGCTGAGTAGCTAAAGCCCTTATATTATACAGTATCTGTAACAAAAATAGTACCACAACACCCAGACTCATAAATGTTCATTTTTAACACCTTTGCTCGTAAAACTGATGTAATTCCACCGGTTTTAAATATGTAAAGCGGGTCATAAAAAATGCGTGTGTTACCAAAGCAAATATGTAGTTAAGTTATAGTCCATACAAATTCCATAACAGTATTATTTGCCATTTCGCGCGCTGTTGCTGGTCAAATTTCGAACTAATCGCCGCGCGGCGCCAGTCAGTAGGCAGCGCTACCGCGCTGTTAAAATGGCGGGAAAGCAACAGTGTACATTCAAAGATTGAGCTTATTTAATGTTTTTTTTTCTGTTTCCTCGCAAATGTGTTAAAAAACGTCGTACCGCACTAATATCGTAATGTACTATTTCTACATTGACCCAACCAGAAATTTTAGCCGCAAGTACAGAAAGTGGGTTACAATTTTTTTCACCCACAAATAACGAAACCATAATTAAGAAGCTTCTACTGTTATGTATTTTTCAATGCAGTTGCTCATAAAGCGCTATTTTTTTAATCCCTTGTAAACACCGAAAGTGAGTCTTTGAACACGTGTTAAATAAAAATTTATTAATCCTTTACTGCACACGTGCTTAAAAGTATTTTTTTAAATTTTTTTGGCCGAGCACCAAAGAAATTTAAAAAAAACTTTAGAGGCAAAAGTATTTCAAGGAGCCTAGAAAGAATATTTTCAAATAAAAATGTATGACACGAAAACATGTTCAAATATCACGTTTAATTTTAACAAATAATTTTTACCTTTAATGCATACTTAGTTTTATTAACCTATATATTTGTTTTATTTCCGTGCAAAAAGCATTGAAAAATGTGAAACTTGAGCGTAAAAGGTTTTTCGAATTCGTGCCAATGAAAACCGCTACGCTCGTGTTTTCAATTTGGCCCTTATTCGTAAAACCTTACCTTCCGCACTCGCATCTTAAATAAGAATAGTTATTTGGTTGAAGAATAGTATAAGAATAGTTATATGTAATATGTTTTATTGTAATACATTACAGTAAAACATATTACATTATAAAGAGGAAATATTTTAACAAACAAGTCGCCGAACAATAGTATTATAAAGAAGTAAAGTCCCTAATTCTGTTTTGTAGGGTATAATTTTTGAAAATACTGATCTGATCTTTAAAATTCTTTCATTTACGGGAAATTACATCATACGCAGATAACATAGGCTACTATTCAATTGGATAAAGTCACAGTAAAATAGCTAGTAGGTTTGTAAAAGGTTCAATACCGTGGGCCTGTTATGCGGGTCTGGAGCCCTGACGAAACGCTCGGGTGCTACATAGCACAACCTTCGTCTGGAAGTGTCAAAGAAGTAGCTGAAGTCAGCAGGGTTGTCGTCCGGCAGGAAGGTTGGTTTGAACGACGCTATATCTGTCAGTAGCACCCACAGCCATGATGTCACCATAATGTTCTCTAGCTATAGATCAAACCAGATATACATAAAAATTACTATTCTCTAAATCAAAAACAAATTTTTAGAATAAAATATACCTTGTATCTAACTGGCTACTTGATTGTTTTAGGAAAACGAATTATAAAATTACCTATGTTCCCATTAAACCATTATCAGATTTTTTTCTCCAAAAGTGTTAATGAATTAAATAAATGAAATAAACATTTTCATTCATTAATTTACATTATCACGCGAAAATGATGAGTCACGTGAAATTTCGACCTGTGACATCACATTTCAATAAACAAGTATTGCTTACACTGGAAACGCAGACGTTTATTTATTTAATTATTTCAAGAAAAAAATCCACAGCAAGTTTTTATCTAAATAATAGTAGAACAATTTTAACATATCTTAATGCCAATTACGGATTTTCATTATTTAAATACATAAAAAAAAATTGAAAGTTGAAGTTTAGATTTTTAAAATGTGACATCACACATTACTGTCATGGTATTTATGAGTAGATTATAAATCCCAAGTACTACCATAGTTAATGTGTTATTGTTTACTTATACGTAAACGAATTCATAACTGTTACGCCTTACTACTTAGTCAAATGACTACTCAGTCAAGTAGCTATGACCAGGCGTTAGATATTATTATAATATTTTGTTTTTAATACAAAGAGTATCTTATGTGTAGGTATGTTCAGAAATATATCTATGTTATTATTCACTGTGGGAACTTGATTGATTTATGTTATAGCTCTGTTATACACATATGACTATAATACATAGTATAGAATATTATTTATCATGTATTAATATAATCATATCTTTATTAAATAAAAATCTTCAACATAAATACTTAATGTTAAAAGAATGAAACATATTAAAATGCTAAATTCAACGGTAAAAACACACAAAACTAGTAACCCAAATAAATGTATAACACATGCCAACGACAATATAGTCGATTTGCCATTTTAGTTTCACTCATTGTATTATGATATGATATAGATATAATAGATCATATTTCAATGCAATTCGGTAGGTTAGCCACCAAAACCGAAACTAGTGTTTTTGGCGAAACTCAACCGAAACCAAACATTCGGTTCAACACTATGATTATTTAATAATTTGAACAGGCCATATAATAGTTTTAATATAACATTATATTCGTTTTATTTATTGTAAAAAATACACAAATAATATAAAGTAAATATCATTAAACAACATAATATAGTATGGTGTACCTTGATATCACCATGACATATTCCCAATTTGTGCATACGATGTAAAGCATACAGAACTTGGAATGTTATCCATTTCTTCTCAAGAACTGTTAGAAACGGCCTAGTTGACATACGATCATAAACACTGCATTTGCAGTACTCTCTCATCAAGAGGCCTGCTTTATCTGTGAGCTGGAAACAAATAATCATAAGACACAAACATCATATCTTATATTAATAAATAGGCAAATAATATTTTCCACAGTTAGAGCAAGGAACATAAGTGTAAATAAGAAAATTTGTTAATTACTTTAATGTACATACATGGTCACAAAAGTAACCAGAAAAAAATTGTCTACTTATGTCATAGTTACCAAAGGAAAAATTAATGATTAGTGGTAGTATGGTTAAAACATTTTTTGTTGGCAACTTCAATGATTGTGTACGTAATCTGTGGTTTTTAGTACTTAATACGAAATATACACGATGCTTTATAAAAAACTAGTATAATTGAATAATCTGTAACTTATATATTGTGTGATATTTATGAGTGTTCACAATTTGAATGTTCAAGTTGGTATAGAATTACAAAGTTATATATGATCAATTTTTATTACGCTTATACAAGGCGTAGCATATATACAATAGCTTACACAATAGCAGTGGCAGTTTTGGAAATTGAAATGATGATTGCAATTTTAATTTATAATTTATGACCCAGAATAAACTTAGATAAATAAAATTATTGCCAATTATGCCAATTTTTACAAACTTACTATCAATAATCTGAAACAACACTTACTATCACTCTCTGAAATGGCAAACAGTTAAATGCAGAGGCAAGTTGTTCCTTTATCTTCAATATCCTCTCCCTGTGTTCAGCTAAAGGCAATGATGGATCGTGAACAGCAAAAACTTTAACCACCACCAAACCTTCTTGAGAACGAGCCCTCGCTACCTTCAAGAACCTTGTAGAACCCAAACTAGAAAGTAATACAAACTAGAAACTATTAATTATAACTTTTTAAGCACTTATTATTTCTTCTTTCTAGTTTTAGAAGACCCTTAATCTAATATCTATCTTACTATGATATAAATAAAATACTATTATATTATATTATATTTGAAATGAACTATGACACATTTTTTTTATTTATTCATTTTAACGCTACAAAGCAAACATGTCATATTTATCGGAAAAACAAAAAACTTTTCTGCTCTAAAGAACAACCGATAAATTAAAATCTATCTTGTATAATCAGGAAAGTGTGTGAGAACAAAGAGAATGATGTTTACATTCCAAGTGAAAGTATTTTACCTCTGATCGAATGACAAATCAGCATGGTCGCTCAAATAATGTTCTACTGGATAAATTTGAGACGGTGCAACTCCCACTAACTGATTTCCCATTGTGATTAAATAAAATCAACACGATTCAAAACAAACACATAACTTTTACTAAGCAAGAATCTTGGTGTACATATATAGTTAAATATAATAAATAACTATCAATTAGATCACAATTTAAGATCTGAACTGCTTTGTACTAGTCCTTATTTACTTGTTTCTGCTAATAAATATTTTTAAACTAATTTTAAAACAGAGAACAGCTGGAAATTATTTTGACAATGACGGCTGGTTGACAGCCCTAAAGTCACAGCCTAAGCAGCCTAAAGTGTCAGGACTAGGCATGAACGATATATCCAACTATATGACGATATATCCAAATATCTATCGATATGTCGATGTCAAAAAATATATTATTTCTGTTTCTTTTAACTTACATATTAAAAAACTGAAATTTGCAAAGTTTGAAACTTAGACATCAATACAAATACGAAAACGTACAAATAGAATATGAGTTGTTTATTAAGTTTTGAAAACTAATTTACTTTTATAGATGAAAAAAAAAACCGGAAGGGTCGTCATGGAGAAATCAAGAAAGTATTGTAGTGACATCTAGTGTGATTTCGAGAACTAATACTTCCTCACTGCTTTTTAAATAGTTCCTCACTGAAGTTCAATTTTATGTTTTCTATTTATAACTACCTACTCTGGTTTTGTTTATAAAAATGAGCTAGAAATTGTATGTATAAATACAAATGTTGAATATCTCTAATAATATTGTTTTGCCATGTCATCTTCCTGTTTGCGTGTGATATCACATGCCGGTAAACAGAACCTGATATTGGTTGAGACAACAACTAATTACAGGGCGTTTTCTTCGTTCATTAAAATTCCTAAAATGTTGCATTTTCTTTACATTATTTTACTAAAGCTAAACATACTTTGTCTGGAGATTCTAAAAAATAAATTTATTTTATATATTATTTAACAGGATGACCATAATACGCAACTTATTTTTAATAGTGTCAAATACCCTATAGTGATTGTAACGAAGATTATGCCACTATATATCTGATATTTATTTTAGCATATAACCTGGTTTCCGTAATTTTAAATCTTCTGTTTTCATATAAATTACACATTGGTGTTTCGTCTTTTTATTACTTTAGAGTTTTTATTCCAATCGAAAGATGGGAACAGAAATTGTCCACAGGGAGGAGTAGCCTATTTTTGTTCCCACATTAAATTAACGGAATACTTGGCATTGAATTATAATTTCTTGCTTTCATAAATCATTTTCTCGTAAAATAAAACCCTTTTTATGATCCAAAACTCCCTAAATACAATAAATATCTAATAAAGAAAAGGATAGCGCGCACAATACTTTTACAGATTCACGACAAAATCTCCTAAACCAGAGACTTTAAACTTCTTTATGACAACACTGTCACAACTCAAAAATGACAATACACCTCATCAATCGCTTGTCAGTTATTTTTTAGTTTATGGTCTTTCTCTTCAACAAACAAGTGTTTCATCCACCCATTTTTGTTGAAGTTGGGATTATTTCAAATAGTAAATAAAAGAAATGACTTCAAAAAGTGAAAAAGATCGGGCTAAACAAATCCAGGATCGATGTCAGAACATATTGATGCAGATGCTGAAAGATGAGGATAACAAATATTGCGTTGATTGTGACGCGAAAGGTACCGTGTTTTATATATTGTTTTTTATATTATTTAAACTTTCTGTTTACTTAATCGTTCTTATTCAAATATAAATATTACTTTTATAATCTGAAATTTTTATTCAAGCAAGGTCGATAAACTTAATTTTCGAAACACTAATAATGTAAGATTACCTGACTCATTATCTTTCAAAATAATTGCAGTATTATCGTAGCTGGCAAAATTTGCTTATCTTGAATACACTAAATCTTTAATGACTTTAGCTTTTGAATAAATGATTTTCAATATTCCTGCTAATATTTTAATATTATATATTCATTTATTCATAATCAATAATGTAAAAACTAACAATAAATATTTTTTATTACAAATAACAATGACCTTAAATCTATAATTAACATTGTCACCTTAATCAGTCTTCGCGCTTGGTTGGTTTTATATGTGTGAAATGGATCCTAAACTCACTCTTTTGTAAATAATTACTTCAAAGTTAAATTTAATATTTCAGTTTCAGTTACACAGCTACATATTTACTTATAGCCTATAAAGAAATTCTAGATTTCCCATTTGTAAAAATGTTTTTAATTTAGTAACCAAGGTGAACTAACCAACATAAATGACAATTAGTTGGTTGTGCAATTATTATAAGTGTGACTTTTTATTAAGTTTACCTCTTAAAAATAGTTTATTAAACTATCATATTATATTTCTATAGAATCTTTTTATCATATAAAATATATGATTTTAAAATAAATTGAACATTTATTAAGGAAATGTATATAATAGGCCCCAATAAAAATGTCCTTGATTTGTGCTTTTGTTATTGTAAAGGAAACAAACAATTAGTTTATATTTGTTCACTTAACTGTATTCAAAAATAGATGTCAAGGTGATCAAATTTTGTAAACTTGAAATCTTTTAACTTTTTTTGTGCAAATTTGCATTTTAAACTAATAGGTATTCTCTAACTGAATAGTTGTCTATAATACAATCTCGCTATCTGGACTTTCTACAATCTTAACACTAATTCACAAAAAAATATCACACATTGATTTTGCTCTACGAAAACTGTATTTCAGAGTCAAAATCATTACAAAAAATATCAATGGTTCTGTAGTCAGCTACACTGTTTAACTTATATGTTTTTTTATATAAGTCAATGTGTAACTTTTTACAGAGTAGATAAATTTTTATGATTACTTTTTTTAACAAGTTAAAGATCTGAGGTATATGAATATTTTTGAAACCAGATTAGTAGTTTTGTTTTATGACTAAACAACTGAAGCATTATGTCAAATACCAAAAATTCCTTAAATGGCCTATTTTAATAATCAAAAAACACAAAAGATTCCATATTTAGCATGATGTCTATACAAAAAAAAATTCACCTAGTTAAGTACATACTTTGTCATTTTCACCTTTTCCTTGTTACCTTGTTATCTATCTTTTCATCCATCATCATCATTGTTTATTTATGAGCCAGAATTCTACAGAAAACAAGGAACAGAAGGTATTATTAGTATTTTTGTTATAGTTTAATGTAGTCATTTTTATAATTTGCCTTTTTTTGACTAAATATTTTTAATGAAAAATGCTTAAAAAATCTATCAGCCGCGTGACCGGAATACTTCAGTGATCGCGCAAGATCAAAATTTGATGAGGGCAGTTTATATTTTGCGAATCCCCCCAATAGCGCAAAGGTCTTTTCGATAATGTAATGTAAAAAAATCCCAAAAAAGAAATTTAAAATATTATTTTTTTAATTTCTTCATTTACTTATTAGTAAACAAAATTGCAGCGTGCGCAAATACGCAAATGTACTTTCTAAACTTTTTTGAATAGTTACGACTTGGAGGCGCTAAACCCTTTGCACCGCGAGGCTGCTTAACTTCCACATCGCAGATCGAAAACGCTAAGCACTACGACATCGAAAACAAAATTTTTCATTATAGATTTATGAATCATACTTAACTTAATGACATCATAAAAAATATTACAGAAATTACTCTACTTGCTTTAAAATACAGGTAGTATTTTTGAAAAAAAGAACCCACGACACAACGAAGACCCAATATAAATTGAAAAATTCATTTTTCAAGATATAGTGAGATTTGGTATATGCACCCTCTAAATCGAAATTATAATAGAACCTCAAGGCCCATCTTAAATATTTTCTAATTGATATCACATTAATACCTAATTGGGTTGTCTGTTTTACATAATTTCAATATATCACAAGAATCATACCCAATACCCATTTAGCTTTACTAAAGACAACTAGACTTTTTATAACACTAGCTATTGCCCGTGACTTCGTCTGCGTTGTTGTGAAATGCTTTAAGCACTATTACGTTGTTTAACGCAATCAATTTACCGTATGTCGTTAATATAAATGTCGAACACAGGGTCGGTTTAAGGGAAAATAACCGCTTTCTCTACACTCTGGGAACACATACTAGGCAATCCTTCAATACTCCGCGAAACCTGCGAAGACCCTAAAAAGCTTCTACGCTTATGGGCGGAGTTGGGTTAGCTGGACTTTACACGCACAATCAAATCAAATTTTATTCATTCAGTTTAGGCTTTTACAGAGTACTCGTGAAAGTCGAAAACTACGCCATCGGTTCGCAAAACTACGGCGGGAGACCTTGTACTGAGAAGAATCGGCAAGAAACTCAGCAAGGGCTGTTTTTTTCTCCCTGTTTTATTTCACACAGAGAAGTCTTATTGAAAAGTGACTTCATTAGAATATGAAGTCACTTTCCATTACAATATTAGAAAGTAAATACAATAAAGTTAAAATATCGAACACCATGCCTTTTTGTCATTTAAATATTCCTTAACGGTATAATATCCTTTACTTCGTAGACAATTTTTAATATGACTTTTAAAATGATTTATTGGCAAATCTAATACAGCACTGGGGATCTTGTTAAAGTATTGTATACCTTGCCCATGAAAGAACCTAATACCTTCTGTAACCTGTAAGAAGGCATTACTAGCTTGTTTTTATTTCTAGTGTTCAATGGACCGATTAAAGTGCGGAAAATTGAAGCCCCCTAACCTAAACTAACCCCCATGCAAAATTTAAAACTCCTGGCTCTTGTAGGTTTCTGATATTTCGTGATGGGTGAGATGATAAAACTTAAGTTCATGAGTGTAATAAATTGTCGGCAGGTCCTCGCTGGGCATCATGGAATCTGGGTATATTCTTGTGCATACGATGTGCTGGCATCCACCGTAACCTCGGCGTACATATCTCCAAGGTGAAAAGCGTCAATTTGGACTCCTGGACGCCTGAACAAGTTGTATGTATCATTTGTAATATATCGTAACTAGCTTTCCACCAGCGGCTTCGCCCGCGTTGTCTTGTATAATACATAAAAACCTTCCTCTTGGATCACCCTATCTATGAAAAAAAAACCGCATCAAAATCCGTTGCGTAGTTTTAAAGATTTCATTATACATAGGGACAGAGAAAGCTATTTTGTTTTATACTTTTTAGTGAAGGGCATAGCATTTATTCAGAAAATCTTTTCTCTGAACCTATATTTGAGACGGAGCCAAATAATTCTATTTGAACTATATTTAATGTTATTACGACATTCAAATGCATAGATGTTTATTTGATACTAGCTTTCCGACAGCTTAGTTTGTTTTGCAACAACGCGTGGTTTTCCCGTTTTTGTAACATTTTTGATTGCTGCTTCTCTCCTTTCAGTGATAACGTGATGTTACATATCCTATAATCTACCACGATAAATGGACTGTTCAACACAAAAATAATAGATTCGAATTAGTAGTTCCTGAGATTAACACATTCAACCGAACTATTCTGCATTCACAATGCTACACTGATAAATATATTTAAATGATAGATTTTTTTTAAGAAAAATAAAAATCTTTCAGCCCCAGATACCCTGTAAAGGGATACAAACCCACAACCTTTCACAATCCAGGTGACTGCTCTAACCATTGAACTACCTGAGACCCGACAGAATTGACGAATTTCTCAAGCAATTATCAGTTTTTGTAGCCACAGTGAGCTTATTTTCATTGATGTTCAATCAATCCACCTAAACAACAGAAAAAAATTTTTTTTATTAAAATTTTATATTTGCCGCAAATGTATTAAAATGTTATTTAATTTTTATGTTAAAGGTGTCTCTTCAACAAATGGGTAATTCCCGCGCTCGGGCCGTATACGAGGCCAATCTCCCGGATTCGTTTCGGAGACCACAGAACGATTCATCGCTGGAGGCCTTCATCAGAGCGAAGTACGAGCAGAAAAAGTATATCGCTAAAGAGTGGGTGCCTCCGCCCACGCCTAAGGTCAATTGGTGAGTATTGAGCATATATGAGAGGACGTTGGCCTATAGCCTACAGCAATCGGCAGACTTGATATCTCTTTTCTCTTCAGTATCGAAAAAGCATTATGTCAATGGTGTAAAGTTTATATTTAACTTACATGAAATTTTTATGTTCTAGACAATATTGGTTTGGTATAAAGATGAGAAATTCTTGTATTTATTTTATCTACTCTATCTAGCTTATTAAATATTCGACGTAATAACTTTTGGTCACCCAGCTCCAATCCTTTTCAAAGTTACCTAACAACAAAGATCGCGGGCCGCGACGCCGCTGCTCTTACTGTATATTAATTAATAAAAATTTGTAGCATAACTATTTGCAGTGGTTGACTAATAAGTGCCTCCAAACCTCCTCCTCCAAATTTCCTTGATTAAATCATAAGTTGGGGTTGTACTGCCTTATCTTTCTTATGTCCAATTACGTAGATTTGTTTTATAGTTCATTGAATAATTTATCTATTTATCTTAAGTGTCTAATGTATGCCTTAACTAGTGTTGCCAAGTGTCCCGATTTACGCGGGATGTCCCGATTTTCAGGAGTCTGGGGACGCATCCCGATTTGTATCTAATCGGGACGCTAAATGTCCCGAAAAATCAAGTATTTTTATAAAAAAAAAATATTTTTTTTCATACTGTCAAATCCAGTTTTGAAAGCCCCTAACTATATTTATCTATGTCTGAAAGCAAAAAAGCTACCAAACTAGTACTTATACTTATTTTTTCCCGATGTCTGTCCCGATTAAAACCCCAAATCCCGATTAATGACACGCGCTGTCCTGATTAATAATAAATTGGACCTGGCAACACTAGCCTCAACACATGTCTGTTTATAGAAGGTCTATTGAAAAAGGAATATCAATAACACCTTCAAGATAAGTAATTAATTAAGAATATGTCATAAGTTAAGCAGATATTTTTAAAAATATAAAAGACTTAGAATGTAATTAGAATTCTTAATAGTCAGAATACTATTATTAACATTTATTATTTCATTTAAATTGTCGTCATTTGGTTATAAATATTTACTTATGACAATTTTCAAGTAATGAATAACTTATCTCGACTATAGATACTAGTGTAAGTTTATAGGTAAAAATTCTAATTTTTAATTCAGATGTAGCTTCCTATATGTGAATTGTTTTCTTTTCTTTATAATATTACTATAGACACGCTAACAGATTTATTTTATCGTTTTAGGGATAAAGAGATTGACGAAGAAATGGAAAGACAGAAACGGAAAAAGAAGACTACCACAACGTCTAGCCTAGGACCACTGCCGGCTCCAACGAATGATAAGAAATATAATGTTAGTATTTATCACTTATATCAAATACCTTTAAATGAGCAATTAGTATTTATCAGCCGGTTGCAGAAACGGTAATTAAATTATAACGACATTAAACACTAATGTGTCATTATCTTGTTCCATAATAGTTATTTAAGATACGAGTGCGGAAAGTAAGGTTTTACGAATAAGGGCCAAATTGAAAACACAATTTTTTTTTTTATTTCTTTAGTGCTCGGCCAAAATAAATTAAAAAAAATACTTTTAAGCACGTGTGCAGTAAAGGATTTCAGTACATTTTTATTTAACAGGTGTTTAAAGACTAACACTCAGTGTATACAATGGATTAAAAAAATAGCGCTTTATCATTGAAATCAAATTTTGAAACTCCTTTAAATTTAATGAAATGAAATGTCAAACTTGTAATGGAAGACGTTTTACGTTGCACATAACTATATTAGGTCCTAATTAATGACTAATTATTTTTGAGGTTATATTATTAATATGTTCTTTAGCGTCCATTAAATTGCTCATTATAATACACAAGTTTATAATTTAACCAAAGAAGAATGGCGAAATCAGACCCCATAATTTTCAAAATCGTACATGGATGGCAATATGACAAATAAATAATATATTATTTATAGATTTTATTTCTACAAAATTTTGAATTTTAATGTCGGGAAACCAAACTAAAATATTAAATGCTGCTAATAATTATCAAGATAACAAAACGTCTGATGATAATGCAAAAACAAAACGCGAAAATCTTCTTAAGAAACGTTCTGGTCTACGCAGAAGTACTTTAATAATAAAACTATGTCTTGGAAGTGTTTCATGAATTTTGCGCCGGGCAATAAAATGGTCATCTATTTTAATACTTATTATCGTTTCCTGTACATTGCAATTAATTCCATTGCCTTTAAAGTACAATTAATACGCTTAATAATCGAATATAAGTTCAAAATAAGATTGTATAGAATAGATTCCGTTGTTTTTAATTGAAAACCACACAATATGTCAAAGGGTTGTAGTTTGGATGGTTTTTGAAACATCGATCACATACATCAACGATGTCAGAAACGATTCTCAATTAATCGCGAGTTTTTCAAAGATGTTCTATAGAATATTATTTTTAGAATAAAATTAACATGTCTGGAAAAAGTCTGTCATCATTATCTGACCCTGAAGATATACAACGTCCGTATATCCACGACAGAATTTACTAGAAAAACATCATAGTAAAGACTTCCGAGTAAGATGGACAGTTAAATTAACAATATGCTTAACTAGGAACACATAACCCCACAGAAATAAGTGTATTGATGGGTTGACGCGACTGTTAATCTGTTTAAAGTTTTTTTTGCGACCGGGACTTTTAATCAATAATATGCCGGATAGTACAAAATCCAAAGAGCTAGTATAATTGCACTCGACTTATATAAATATGCCCATGGAACAATACCATCCAAAAGAATCTAACACACAAAAACAACTTTGGTCTATGTCAGTGTAGTCAAAGTCAAAATAATATTTATTAAAATAGATTTCTTAAAAGTACTTTTGAACACTTTTTCCCTATGACTCGTTCAGGACGTCTTTTGGCCGATAAGAAGAATGAGCAAGAAACTCACCAGCTCTAATAGGACTAATGACATTCACAAAAAACATGGAATTACCAGATCAATACATTATAAATAGAGAAACAAAAAAAAAACTATGGTCTTATAATGATAACATAATCATTTAATAATAATGGAAACAAGATAATTTTTGATATATGATGAATTAAGAAGTAATCACCTATCCAGTTGCTGGATCATCTCAAGTCCAAGCATTCTTATCTGTCAAGCATATTATTATATATAGTATTTTTTCAATAGTAGATTTAAACTGCATGATATCTAATAGTTGTATTTTGCTAGGTACCTTATTATAGAAGCCCACACAAAGACCCCTGAATGAGTTACTAACTTTTTGCAGTCTAGTGACATGCGCCGTTGATTTATTTTTATTCATTGTATTAATATTGTGTACATCACTTTTTATAGAAAATAAACTAATAGTTTTACGATCGTACATTTAGTTCTCGTATAGATATATTGAGAAGTAACAGTCATTATGTCTATTTCCTTAAACTTCTCCCTTAAAGAGTCCCTAATATAATAGACTAGACACAATTGCAATTTGAACTTTTTCCTTACAAGCTTAAGATAACATTTATATTTTCAGAAATCGGATGTCATTCCCAGCTTACCGAAACCGAAATCCTCAGTCAGCCCCAAGCTCGGTAGAAGCACTCCCACCAACCAAGTAGACACGACCAAAGCATCAAACGGATCAACTGATCTTCTCGGTCTCGATACATCCAAGCCGGACCCAAAACCCAGCGACGATATATTCTCAAGTTTCTTCTCTGCACCACAAGAGAAACCTTTAGAAACGAAACCTGATGAACAAAATCTCAAGACAGAGGAAGAGAATTTCTTCAAACAACCAGCGCCTACAGAGAAAGAAAAATCAAAACTGACAAAGGATAGTATATTGGCTTTGTACAGTCAAACACCATCGAACACATTAGTTAATCAATTCAATCCGGTGTCACAGCCTTCATATCCGTTTGGAACATCCGGTGCTTTCCAAACACCTGCTTATAATATGCCCGTACAGAATGGTATGCAATTTAATCAATTCCAACCTCAAGCTAATCAATTTAACCAGCCTGGTCAATTCCAGCAGCCGTTTGCAGCTGCACAGCAACCGATCCAAGGGCAAGCGTTCACTCAGAGCAATCAGTTCTTCAATCAGCCACAGCAGAATTTAAATCAGCAGTTCGGAGGACTAAACTTAGGTCAGAGTTTTCCAAATGCATTCAATCAAAATAGTAATGTCGCGAGTAATTCTACATGGCAGTAAGTGCTATAAGAATACTAGGATTTTTTTTTACATGAGGTGAGTATTTCTACTATGTTTGTTTGTAAATAGTAGTTTATTTCTATATTATTACAACCTGAGTAATTTTTACATAATATTTTGTATGCAATCTAAATAGAATGCTATGATATACAGGGTGCAACGTAAATAATAGTCAGTGTGAAACTATAAGACATACAAAAATCTGTTCTTAGAAACCATATCATTGATTTTCTTAACTGCATTCATATAGTTAATAAAAAAACTAGTTCTCAGTCAGGAATCGAGCCTGGAGGTTTTGATAAATAAAACATTATTATTACTTAGATACTGATTGTGTAGGTCTTAAACAGTTAATGTTACTGTTACACATCATAAGTTACCCTTTAAAGTCTAAAAAAACAAAGACTAGTAATTCCGTTTCTCTGACAACTGCCCAATGGTGCCATAGAGTATTTGTTATTTATCATAAACTAAAATAGGTATATTTTCTCTTAGTAATATTAAAGTAAACAGTTTTTTTCCAGGAAGTAGACATTATATCGTCCAGAATCTTTATTTCTTTTACTTAGAAAGATAGAACTAGACGTCACCATTGTATCGTAAGAAATGCATACGCAATGAGTTCGCAGACAATAAAAGAATACAGGTTAATGTGTTTTAAAGGCGGTTGTACTTAGGTTTTCATTTATTCATTTAGATCCGTAGGCATTTATAGTGTTAACGCATTATCGATAGTTCGATTATCGACAGTTGCCCTTGAAAATCATCTTTAATATCAATAATCTATACACTGAAATACTATTGATAGTATCGATACTATTGCTCAACAAACGTTACTATGGGATGTATCGATATTAATTATAGTATAGAAATTGTTATTGACTTGATGACGTTAATCGTGGTCGAGCGATTCACACTCTCATTTCAAAGTGTCATATTTGACGTGGAGGATCAGATTCCCGGTAAGGTCAATGTAGAAAAACTTTTCTATATTGTCTCGGCCTGAGTGTTGTGATGGCTTCTACTTTATTGCTTTTGCAACATCTATCGATAATATGCACTATGCTTTAATGACATATCTCAAAAGAACAGTAAATAGTTATTATATGAACAAAACTTTATATTATTTTGCATACTTACTATTATATACAAACAAACATATACTGTCTCTCAAACGTATTACATATGTTTATTTTATGCCTTGTAGCTTAATGTGTAGAGTTGAGAAGAGAAAAACTCAACTCGTTCCTAATTGGTCTTACTAAACCCAATTATTTATAATCATTTATTTATTTCGAATGTATTGTCATTAAGAACCTGAAATTTCATTTACAATAAAAAAATTATAATAATAACAATCATTTTAAAAAATTATCGTTTTCTCACGTAATACGATTTTAGTCGACGGGATTTTCGAGCGTAAGGAATAGCATGACATGAAAACGATAAATGTCATTTTAAACCACAGATAAAACAAACAGTTAGCATCACCCGTAAACGCGTATTACTAGTTGATTGATACGGTAAGATACAACCGATGTGACTCACTGATGTACCTGCGTAGGGGGCTAAATTTCGAAGCAGGGCAAATGTTAACCAAACAGAATCTTTCAAATATCACGCCATGGGGCGATGCACCAATATCCCTGACCCTTGCTGAGTGTGAGTATTTTACACCTTATGTTTATTGATATAATACTTATTATAAATTTAAATCGTACGTTCGGTTATCTTCCGTATTGTTAGGTCTGTTCTGCGCAAACGAAGATTCATCATGCGTCATGTTAGTTGTCCTTACTGTAGCCAATTTTTTTTTCGTCCATATCACTTGCACTACGGGACAGAAACCTCATCTAGTAATGTGTAATAAATAGACCAGGGCCTCAATTCTGGTAATATTTAAATAGCATCATAATAGAATCTCAATTACTTGCATATTGCCATTCTCACACAAAAAAATAGTGATTTAATATGTATTTTATGATCTAGTAACTGAAGAACTGTGTCAAAAGTTGTAGTTGAAACGCTATTGACTTTCCATTATTACGCTAATATTATCAGAATTGCCCTACAATATGTCGACAATAAATAAAGAGGTTGCAAATTCACTAATTCTTTATTAATAATTTGTGCTATAAATAAGACATTAGCACTACTTCACAATGTCTTCACTCTCTAAGAATTTCAAAATTCATGCACAGTTAAAAAAACAATTGCATTATTAATGTTAAGTAGATAATTTTATTTTATTACATATTGTGCATTGATATAGTTCATTTCATTTACTAAGAGTTTTGTATATTTTTATATTTATGAGAAATATGATTTAGAAATTGGTGCAATTACTTATGAATGAAAGGTTTAAATATGTATAATCTTTTATTTCTTTATATTTTAAAACCGATGTGAATTCTTTTAATGCTTTTTACAAATTCAGAATAATGTATTGTGTAAATTACATGCATATAGGGTAACAAAATGATGACTAGTCTGCATCAATGAATTTCTTTTTTATTGCATTTGCAAGGGAGTTTAAAAATAATTTTTGTTAGTTTTGGTAAGCTTGCACGTGTAGCATGACAAACTCGAGAAACGCTTTGTCTACACCCAAATGTCACTTTCTTGGGTCGAGAGTGAGATGTTGTATGAGCGCTCCCGAGAAAAGTGACATTTGAGTGTAGACAAAACGTACTCGAGTTTGTCATACTACGCGTGCTGGTATAGGTACTGACTGCATTCTCTATATTTGGACTTTTATTTAAATTTCCATATATTTTTAATTTTCTTTTGTATGTGACACGTGCTGAGATATTTTTATTTATTAAGTGGCGAAAGACTGATATCCAGACGTTAATTGGACAGGGTAATATGATCAACTGGTATCTTAACGCAAACTTTTAGTAGTTTGTATGATAGTATTGATACTCCTGGCATTATCCATCTTGACCTCTTTCTAACAATTTGCAATTGTTATCTGTATGTTGCCTTTAGTCAGCCCTACATTCTGTTGAATAAAGCAGTTTCCTTGCGTTTTTATCTATATATGTGATGTTTTTAGCGACTTTCAATACCATAACCCCTCTCTTGCCCAAGATAATCTGCCATTTTAAAACGAAATATAATGAAAATCAGTGTTTCTGCAATAGGGATGATGACTAATTTTTGTTTGTTTGTCCGTCAGTTAGAGTGTTAAAAAATATTAAACACGTATTTTTTATTTTTTTCGTAATCATAAAATTACGGCGTTAAATTGAGTTGAAATTTCGCATGACGTCACGTTAGAGTACGTTTTCTACTCAACTGTGACGTAGCGAGCCCCCACTCCTCAACTTTAATGCCTGTTATCTAAGCTATTTCTTGTTAAATTTAAGTAAAAAAAATACGTTACTAATATTTTTCTATTATCTGACTGACGGACTAAATAGAATTGCATTTCTTTTACCCACTCATCATCCTTATTATTGCTGTGGATATTTAATTACCTCTTCTTGCCTTTCAAGCCTCAAATGATTAATTAGAGATCCCTAATTTGGAAAAAAGTCGCTAATAAGGACTTCTTAGTGGCATATTTTCATTTTATTAAAACGTAATATCCAGAGGTCGGAATTAGGTAAAGTTATTTATGTACTTGCATCGAAATGTTGATATTAATGTGGACCTTCGTGGCAACATCGCGCGTATTGGTATTTTGCAACTTTGGACATCCGATGTCATTGATGTAAGTTTGGCAACGTCGTGCGTGCAGTAGTTTAAATTGTGTAAAAGTAAATAACTTTTTATTTAAAAAATCACGGGATTTTTTCAGCTCTTTAAAATTAATCTCGGGATTTGAGGCATATTCACTTTATTCTTTCGCTGTATGAAATCAGTGTAAGTACATGAATAACTCTACCTAATTCCGACCACTGGTAATATCTCATTTGAACATAATTCGTGTGACTACATACAATGATGGATAAAAAAGTTTTATTTCTTCGCGCCTTTTTGCTGTAGCGTAACATTATGGTTCTCTTATAATGTTACGCTACCACAAAAAAGTTTACGCTGTTTTAAAACGCAGTAATGTATGGGTATGATGTGTCTATTAATATAACGTCAATGGTGACGTATTACTACAGGATTACTACTAAAACTGGTAAAATTATATAAAATATGCTCCTATTTATCTAAATGGTAGATTCATATCGGTTGCTATTATTTAACTTCATTTTTTTAAATGTAGAAGTATTGATATTTCTAGTACTCGCCTACAAATTGTATTAATAGGGTTCACGTTAATATGTAAATAAATTTCTTTAAACTTTTGTCCTTAAAAATAATACTTTTGATCAATTATTGTGTTAAATGAGTGGATTTTAAGAATTAATTAATTCTAATTCCAAATTTTCCAGTCATGTATGTAAATGCGTTTGCGTTAGTAATGATTAGGTGCAGTTTAAAATTATACATTAATGATATTTTTTTATGGATTTGAAATATGTTTAAAGCTACATTATTTTCAAAATGTTTTTTTCAGCTTGGCTGTTTATTTTAGACTCACTTTTGATGTATTTATTAGTCTGGTCACACACATTCGTTTCCCGTTCTCAGTTGGTAGAAATCTGATTTTCATATTGACTCGACGCTATCTTTCACTCATTTAATTGTCATTTTACACGTAGAAATCAATTTATTCACTTACATTGTCAGAATTGTGCGAAATGCCATTAATAAAAGAAAAAGAAGACGTTCATTTGAAAGGGTCTCCGAATTGGAATTCGTGATCAGAAAACCGAACACGGGAAACAATTAAATGAGGCCAGGTTTAATTTGATTTTTGATTAATATCATTCAATAAGTTGATAACTTGTATAAATAGTTAATCGTAAGGGGGCGAAAGTCATATTGGCTCGTACCCGATGCAACCTGTATTTCGTTTACATAAATAAATATAATGCTGAAATAAACTTCTAGGTATTTTTATTCACTATTATATACCTGTGACACTATCTATTAAAAAAAAAATACTAGTATAGGTATTTACAGTTATTAAATGCAGACAGGTGTTACACATTTGTCTGATAGGAGTTTTAGCACATCATAACAGTTGATAGCTAGTGGGGATGAGGACTGTAAATAAGAGCTAATGAATATATGATAAAATATAATAATAATAATAAATCACGAATCACAGCAAGCAAATAAACGACAATTATTTCCATCAAGCGCAAAACAAGCAGAAAGTAAAATATGACTAATCAAAAAGGATGGCGCTTTACAGCCAGTTGCCTATATACCCGCCCCCCAGTGGAACACTAACTCTCGGTGGTAACTGACTGGGGCACCATCAGAACTAATATATGAGCCGGGCGGCGTAGTGTACCTCCCTCTGTGAGAAGTTCCAACACGTATTCGACCATCTGGGCCAGTGAACACTTGTGACCCTACCTCTAGGCCACAATCCTCGCGGTAAGTTAGGGTCGGCTACAATAACCAAGTCCCCCTCTTTGAGGTTTATAGAGTCCCTTCGGCGTCTTCTTGGGCAAACTGTGTGTACCTAAATATTCTTTTATCCACCGTGCCTAAAAATGATCAACTAGTCGCAGAACTTTGCGACAGTCGCATGACCGCTGCAAATCTGAATCGCTGAGATTAGTGGTCCATGGCACGACTAGCGATGTTCCGATCAAGAAGTGGAAGGGTGTTAATAGGGATGACGACTAATTTTTGTTTGTTTGTCCGTCAGGTAGAGTGTTAAAAAATATTGAACACGTATTTATTAATTTTTTTCGTAATCACAAAATTACGGCGTTACATGGAGTTGAAAAAATTTCAGAAAACGTACAGTAAACGTAACGTAAGAAAACGTACCATAACGTGTTATGGTACGTTTTCTACTAAACTGTGACGTAGCGAGCCCCCACTCCTCAACTTTAATGCCAGTTATCTAAGCTATTTCTTTTTAAATTGAAGTAAAAAGAAATACGTATCTAATATTTTTCTATTATCTGACTGACGGACTAAATAGAATTGTATTTTTTTTACCTAGTTGTCATCCCTATTTTGATGCTTCAGATGAGGTTATAGGTACGTACGCAAGAGCTCTATGCCAATAATAATGCTTCATTACCAAGTTAAGTTGACTCGTCCACTTGAGTTGTTTGTAGATAATTACACAGGAAACTTTCAATATCAGAGCTCATTTCATCAATACGTCTTTGTAGTGTTGTTACTTAAAGGAATTCTTTTAAGTACGTCACGTGAAGGCACGTGCAGAACAGTTTTTAAAAGCTTTTCAACGGCGGGTAAAATTAACCGTTCTCCGATGGTGTACGGTTTCCCAGATTTCGCAATAAGCAATGAGATATTGTAAGGTGCCCGCAAGCCATCATCGTTACTTTGAGACTTTGAAGCGAACATACTGTGCACGGTGGGTCTCTTTTCATATTTACACACCTTAGATGATCTTCGAGCTTCGATGATTTCATAGAGTCATTGCTCAAAACTTTGTTGCATAAAAGGCATGTCGGCAATCGTTTATCTGCCTTTGATGAAAGAAAACCAAATTTCAAATAATCAATACTGTACCTACTGCCGACATTTCTTCATAAATCAGCCATGTTTCGTATCAGTTACCTAAAAAAATAATCAAGTGTATAGTGTATATAGCTAGAATAATTTACTTTCTGTGAAGATCTGTTTCATCCTACCAAAAATGAAATAAGTATATAATTACAAACATGCTGGTCAATCATATATCCGTCCTTTAGTGAATAGCCAGGTAAATAAATAATTGTATAATAAAAAGTACAAAATAAATCGAATAATGGACCTGTTCAGTATTTAATTTTTATTATGTACGTACCTACTACACGCAAACATAACAAATATAATATTATTACAATCAAATAGGCAGGGAGTTACTTACATTTCGGGGACCGGCAAACACTGACATAGATTCACTCACACTTTTCTCTTGAAAATTCCGGAACCAAATGCGTAACGTTTGTCTTTGGCATTCGTATTTATATTGGTGAAGAATCAAACAAGTTCATACAAGATTGTAAGCAGAGCAGAAATGGCATTTCGTAGCTGTGCACGTCTGAAAAAGCATCTCGTGCGGGCGGGCGGCGGCGGCGGCGGCGCATTGCAATATTGACACGCGTTGTACTGAATATTGAAAAAGCAAGTTTTTATAAGTAACACAGTACGTAGTAACCTTCTTACAATATTATCTCCTACCTGATATATTGATTGATATATAAGTAAAGCCAAGCCAACGTGTTTGTTCTTTACTATCGAAACCAGATTATTCTAATATTAGATTAATAATAAATTTTCGTGGACCCTACTAACATTTGTGAACCCTTATTTTTATTTCACGCCAGCGTAGATCACCCGCTAAATCCCACGTGGACCAGGGGGTCCACCAAAAACCGCTTAGAGAATCACTGACGTAGATCATTCGTTGGTTCTTTGTATGCATTAATTTTTGTAACTAAACTTAAAAATATCAGGAAGTGGCTGTGTTTTCTAGTTATATCCCTTTGCTTTCTTAATTGAAAAATAGTGCGTGTGCTTAGGACGGGTTTGTTTATTTTAATTTTTTCCGTTTTATAATATTTAAATCGTTTCTGCTTAGGCATTTTAAACACAGCTGATAATTTATATTAAGATTCACATAATGGATACGGGGTAAGTGTCATTTTAATTGAATAATACACTTTATTAATGCAACATGCTTTCAATCCAAACTTGTGTTTTGGCGGGCGCGGCCATATTTGACAGAACAGCTGTTATGGACGGGGACTGTGAGTTCGTTCCGTTGTTTGTTTTGCGTTTTTCGTACTATTACGTATTTATAATAAGTGATTTAGTGTAAATAACGTTTCATTAATATGAATAAATATAATTTACATAAATTAATGTTTATCTGGAGTGAGTAAAGTAAAAGGAAAGACTAATAATTATGGCTTGTGGGATACAAAACTATGAAGACAATCCCTTGTCTGCAGAAGAGGAGGAGTTTCAAGCGAAATGGAACAGGTTCTCAGATTGGTTACATTGTATTTGCGTCGTCACATTCGACTTAGAATTGGGACAAGCTATGGAAAATGTTTACCCGCCAGGAGTTAAGTTGACAGATCAAGAGAAATGCAATATCTGTTACTTGGCGTTCCCGGACTCGAATTCTGGGTGTATGGGAGATACTCAATTTCACGTTAGGCTACGTTCTCGAGCACCACTTTCTGATCAGCAGCTAATTTACAACGAAGACGCTGTGCCTACCCTTAGGGCGGATTCCACACATTACTGGGGCTTCGTGTATTTTCGACAGGTCAAGGATCCCTCTTTGCCAAGAGGTTACTTTCAGAAAAGCATAATATTGCTTACTAGACTTCCATTCATAAATTTATTTTATAAAGTAATTCAACTAATAGCACCTAAGCATTTTGAGGAGGGAGAAAGCAGTCTAGAAGCTGCTTGTCATGATATAAACAGGTGGCCTGTCTTGGATTCTGGCCAAAATGTGCTACTACCTGTACTCGGATCAGTGTTCCAATCATATATACCTAATCAACAGACAGGAAAGATAACCAGATCAGATATAGCAAAAGTGAGTTCCCCCAATGTCCCACACATTTTAGCATCCATACAAGATGTTAATGTGTTTGATGCTTTATCTACATTAATATCACATTTGCATTTGTTGTGGGAATTAGTTTTGACAGCAGAGCCAATAGTTGTAATGGCCAGTTCACCAACTGAATGTTCAGGATTAGTCCAAGCTTTGACATATTTGATACAACCATTATCATACTCTGCTGAATATAGGCCATATTTCACAATACATGATAGTGAATTCAAAGAGTTTACAAGGAAACAATACAATCCACCTTGTGTAATATTAGGTGTGACCAATCCATTCTTTACGAAAACATTGCAACATTGGCCACATACTATCAAGCTTGGTGATGCAACGTCAATAAAAACTAAACTACGTAAAGTTGGTAATTTGAAGCTATTAGACACTGCACCTGGTGTGTATACACAATACAAACCATTCCTTGAGAAGGATAAGAATATTATAAAGAAATTACATAATGGCATTAGGGCAGACCGGCCTTCTGAAGTACAGACGGCCATGGTGAAACGTCACTTACTTGAATTGACTCAAAGTTTTATGATCCCACTTGAAAGATATATGGCCTCTTTGATGCCATTACAGAAGAACATATCACCATTTAGAGCTCCACCTGTGCCAAACCCTTTTAATCCTGAAGATTTCTTTGCTACCCTGCAGCAGTCAGGGCCCCAATTGACAACTGGAATCATAGGTGATTGGATAGGACTGTATAGAAATTTTTTTAAAACACCTAATTTTAGTGCTTGGTTTCATCAGAGACATAGCAATTTGACAAACAAACTGCATGCATTGCAACTTGAAGCTTTAGCAGAAAGTGATTTGAAAAAGTGGTCGATTGGTAAGAAAGAAGTTGAAATTGTTGATATGGTGTTGAAACTTAGGGAGGTGCTGAAAAGTAATCCACCTGTAGCTGATAACACTAGGACATTATTGGCAAGGAGGTTAGAAGATCTGAATTGTGTTTTACCTGAGGATATGAAGTCTATTTTGAATGCAGCATCGTGACACACAGACTGCTGCACCTCAAAGCAGAGGGGTTGCAGCGTTGACTGCAAAATACAATTTAGCTATGATTATGTGTGTATTGCTTGTGTCTAATTTTCGTGGCCAAACTGGATTAATGTTAAAATGACTCATTATGCCTAGATTTTACTGTAATACATAGGATATTTAAGAAATTAATAGTAATTAGTTGATAAATATATCACTCTCCTACTTCACTATGGTGAATTAAACATAGGTTACTGATTAGTGTATGTTATCATGTCACATACTGCATACAATAAGATCTAACTAATGTGATGCCTTTGATTATATACCTGTGTCAAAGTGCATGTTGAATCTTGTAGTCTAAGAGATTGTGACAAAAATTTGCAAGAGCTTTCAAAATCTTGATATTTTAGTATGTTGAAGTATTTAGGGTCTACATCACTCGGTATTCAGTGCAGAGGTGAGTCATAAATCACAAATAATACCTATGTCATTTCTGAATTAAAATTTTAGTGAGTATCATTAAATATATCTGTTATACCTAAGCTATTCCATTTGAGCATAATAACCAATTAAGTTATCAACATAAATTTAGTGATGATAATTAAAATATATAAATATATTTGTTTAAGGGTTAAGTCACATTCGGCAGTTCGGTAACGCGTGTTTTATCGTAATTCTATCCTTTATTGCCACTCAGAGAACCGCCTTTTCTTAAAGCGGGAGAGTAAACCTGATGCCTATTGCTTCCAGGATTCCGCGGCGTTCTACCGCATAAGTACCTATATATGTATATATCCATTATCTCGATCCAGCGAATAAGGGGGAATAACTTACAATAATGTTAATTAGTATGGATACTTATTCTCTAAGAAAATATTATTTTATGTATATTATGTACCCAAACTATGTTAAAATTTAACTGTTTAAACAACCGCGTAATCAGCGGACGGACGTGACGTTACTTGTGTGGTAAACAAAAGTAATCAGTCAAAAAATTTGTTGCCATATGTATTTGTATTAACATGCCATGTGCTTTGATTGGTATTTTAATAGACATGAGACACTGATTACAAGGATTCTTTTAAACAAGATAATTATTTTGTTTATTGATATATATATGTCGCAGTCAAGTGATATAATCAGCCGATCAATTGGGCGGCTAGTCATACAAATGTCCATTCATTAACGGACTGAATTTCGATCAGCCCAGTAGCTAAATACTACTTTATACAATACGGATGAACAAACGTAAGCCAACTAAATTACTGTCAATTCATCGCTAATATCGAATTTAATTGGTAGAATTAGATGTGAAACAAATTAAATATTGTAGTGGGTGATTTTAAATAAAACTTAAAAACTTCTTAATACTATCTATAATCGATACATCAGTATCTGTCAACAGGACTGATCAAAAAGATAACAACAAACTACTTATTCGCGACTAGGTGTTAATGGTCTGTATGATCCAATACAGGAAGCAAACGTACACACCAATTACGCAAGTGGGATAAGCTGAAACTTTCATAATAGATTCTTAATACTAATACAATGATACAAAGACAAGATACACCGCGATTCAGACGTCCACAGCGCCGTCAATAGAAAATGAGTGTAAGCAATCTATTTGACTGTGACTGTTTTAATATGTTTATTACGATTTCGAAGTTTGGTGCTACAATAGTAAATAACAACATAAAATGACAAACAACGAAGTTATTGTGGTCATGTAGGTCACGTGATAGATTAGAAATTTAGGAGAAGCGTAGCGTAGCGATCGTCTTAAATTTTGTTATTTCGTCTTAGGCTTTTAAATCAGGCACCTTGTAGAACGGTCAAATGTCATAATTATTTAACTAGAAGAAAACTAGGGGTACAATTAAATGGCTAGCCGCCCAATTAAACGGCTGTTTTAAACAATTTGCTGCGACGTACACACATATAAATCAACATTATTTAATAAAATTATTGTTTTTATAATCTTTTAGGTCTTTGAACTTTTTAATCAAACACTTTAATTCTAACGGTAGAAATCGCGATACGTACCGTTCTGCCAAATGTAGGTAAAGCCTTTATTCCCACATGATATTATGAAATTTTATTTTGATTAGAATAGCATAGGATTGTTAAATGTAGTTTTCCATTAAATAATTTGTTAAATAAAGTTAGTGAAATATTTTACATAAAGTTAGTAAAGTAAAATTATGATAATTATTTTATAAATAAATTGTTCTTTTAGATATTTTCAACATAAAGGTCACTGCATATTAGACCCATCTGGCAACCAAGCAGCACTGCCACGCAGTTGTTCGGCTACTAGCTGAGGGTTGAGTCGTTTTACTCCTTAACTTGAGTTGTTTAACATGTATTTTAATAACGAGGAAAAAATGTTATAGAATGATGATTTTGTCCACTAAATACATGTCAAAATAGTAAAATGAAACGAATTATTGCCCTTCGTATTGCTTAGATCTCTTATCTTAAGGCTATAGAGTTAAAAAGTCGAACATCTGGCGTGGCAACATGTAGACAAACACGTGGTCCACGAATATTCTTATACACTACGAGTGCACGACAGGCTACCACCACAATATATCAAATTTCCTCAAGTAATTTTGAACTCTACTCTTAGGGCATTAAAGTTTAAAATCAGTGCAGTAATTAACGTTTTGTTTAGCCTGACTTGCTGTTAACTAAGCGTTTATAATGTTGTTTTTGTACGTTCACTATCGATTGTAAGCGCGTTAAGATTTTAGTATGGAATCGAAAACTCCGCCAATGCTCGTCGTGGTAGCTACCAAGAACTACAACTCTCCATACAAATAAAGTAGAGTTCAACTCTCCATACAAATAAAGTAGAGCTCGTCTAACGAAAAAAGTCCCTCGGATCACAATGTTTTCGCTTTTATTATAAAGCATTAAAAGTTATGTCGCAGGACTTCTTTCGAGAGACACACTTTAAAACTTACACTTAGCTTAGCACTCTGTCATACTCTGTACTAAGGGGCCGTCCATTAAACGCGTGATGTTTTTTCGGCATTTTTAACCCCCCTTCCCCTTGGTGATACATGATGAGGTTTAAGACTACCCCCCCTACCACCCACCTTACCTTACTTTACCTACAAAAAAATCTTAATTATGACGCTGCTTTTCGGTTGCAGTTAAATACACGTGATATTTTACTACACTTCCCTCCCCCTTGTGATATTTCGTGATTTTTGACGAATCCCTCCCCCTCCTTTCGAGCCTGACGTGATTAATGGACGGCCCCTAAAGGCGTTGCCAGACGGCTCTAATGAGCTAGGAGTTTACACGTAAAAAAAATTATTTGGTGTTATAAAACTATGCATGTGTTTATATATTTATATGAACGAAGTTCTTACATATATATTTATTTATGTAGAATCTCGACAAGTCAATTGGATGGATATAAAATTTCTACCATTGTATAAGACCATCCTGATTGTTCGAATATATTTTGGAAAAAAAATTGCTATGATGTTTCTGGCCATGATGATCCATCCATATACTTATTAATATAATGGAAAAAATGTTTAATTTATGATATATATGGCTAAGGGCATTACAATAAGTTGGTTATCAGTGATATAATATTGTTAAATAAATATCTTTATCTTCTATGTAATTATAATAATTGATAATGTAAACTTATTGTGGATAAGGTGTTGCGAAGTTCTTTGGTTCGATGTAATGAAAATGATAAAATCTCGAGTAACGGCTTTTGAATAGCATTTTGATACGACCCCAGAATAGTAAATATTGCTATTCTCCAGATTATCTATTTATAACTCTGTGACCCTTTCGTTTGCACTCTATTAATCATTGAAACGAACTAAAATGCTATCTTAGTTAATATGCTACTCGGTCTGTTCTTAGAAATCCAGTTTCATACGTACATAACTTAAGATATACACGCATTGTTGTCTCCTCAACGATCAGTTATCGTATGAAATGCAACGATAAAAGTATATCTGTATTTTTCTAGTAGCCAGGATCACACACATTGGTGTCTCAAGATTCCATTGAGATTATATGGAAGCCTAAAAGTTTACAACATTTTTGCGAAATGGCTGGAAACTCCCGTAGAGCAATTTATCCAATGAGGAAGTATTTAAAAATAAACGTTAGTTCCCGAAATCCAACTAGATGTCGCTACGGTACGTTCTTGATTTCTCCATGACAACCTTTCCGGTTTTCTTACATGTTTAAAAGTAAATTAGTTTTCAAAACTCAATAAACAACTCGTATTCTATTTGTACTTTTTCGTATTTGTATTGATATCCAAGTTTCGATCTTTTCCAATTTCAGTTTTTTAATATGTTAGTTAAAAGGAACGGAAATGACTGTCTTTGGCCCATTCGTTTTCTGCAAAAATAAACTTGACTAGAGTCGCTACCTAGAAGAGGTGCTTTTTTAGTGATTTCGTTTTTTTTAATACTTCCTCATTATGACATAATTCAAATTCATTTATTTCAATCCATATAAGATCGTTTAATAATAATAATATTGATAATTAGTCGAAACTTCACATTCACGTGTGCGAAGACATTTTGTAGATTTTTAAACATTTTCAAGGGGGTGCCAAATACATAAAAACAATACACAAATAATATTTCATTGATATAGCTACATACTTTTGAATCAATATCCTATATAATACTTGCTCAATCAATATCCAACAAGTAGAATTTGTGAACCCTATTTATCAAGAGTTCTATTCTAATTTTGCCTGGTAAAATTATATAAACTTGCATACCTCAACACATGGCTTGAATTGTTATGCTATAACATAACTGTCCTAGTTTGCAATGCCTTAAAATATATTTTATCTTAACAAATATTTTTGTTATTCGTGTTGTGAATAAGACGTGCATTGTACAAAATAAATAAATATAGGTTTATATAAGTTATGTGTACGAAATAAAAATATCCATTATAATTTTTCAAACAATTTGTTTTATTTAAAAGCATAGGTATTACATGCATCATATCGTTGCTGCTCTGGCAGGGTGTAGATCATTGGCAGAACACTTGAATGACATCTGAGCGTGGCAGACATGGTTCAAATAAGTCCTTAACGCTAAGACTCAATGCTATGAATAACATAAAACAACTAATGACTACTCCCAATAACTCAATCTTGGTAAGAGATAGATATAAACAGGAATAGAATAAATAGAATGACAACCCTATGGTTTTGTAATTAGTAACACATTTGCCTATTGGTCTAAGTCAAAATCGTCTTTAAACCCACCAATTTAGTGATAAAAGTAATTATCGGTTTATGAATATTTACCTAAGATGGGTAATAAAAAGGGAAATGTTAATATTACAAAAATACTAGAATTGAAACGAGATGTATGCTATTCATCCAACGATGATAACCATTTCTCAACTTAGCTATTATTACAATATTTTTACCTACTTACCAAAAAAAATATAAAGTAATAAGACTTTATCTCTTACTAAGAATTTGTTATTGAAAATGGCTGTAAAATAACAGTCTATTATATACATAATTACTAAGGTAGGCGGTAGAGAATCACATTCGGTTGTATCTAGCTTTACTCCATATATTGTCATTGTCGGTAACTAGGGTATAGACTCCTGCTAGAGTAAGACCCACAGCTGCTCCTAAGCCCATTGAGCGTAAGCCTGCAGTACTTTTGTAGATCATTCCTGTGGTCGCTGCTGCAATGAAGGTGTTGGAGGTGTCCTCTTTATCACGAAGCCATGTCACTCCGAGAGCAATGCAGGAATAAAATGATGCTATGATGCCCAGAGTGCAACCTGTTGTTGTTCCTGAAAAATTTGATGTAGTCCATATGAATAATAAATAGTATCTAATAATAAATAATTATCTACCCACTGATAATGCAACAATTCTATCAGTTATGATTCTTAACTGGTGATCTGTGGACCATTGGTAACTTTTGGAACCATCCCAAGTGGTCTGCAGAATGGAAGTTTTATTTAAAGATGAGTAACCCATTGTTTACCTACATTTAGGTCCTGAATATTAAACTTTTTAGTTGTAGGTATGCCTAAAATGTAATAAATATATAAAATTTTATCAAATGGTCCCTAATGTGTGACTGAAAGGTTCAGGATCACTGCTTTAGATGATAGGATTGCAATTAGTTTTGATTTAACAAAATTATCTATAAAGATTAGAGTAATGCCTAATCCATAAACAGATATACACTCACAATATTTTTACATTAAAAATGTTGAAATAATGTATATCGAAGGAATTATTTTTTATTTATATCATTATTTTTCTGTGTTTGTTCCCAGATGTGGGGTTAACACAGTGTGTCCTCTTCCATTCCTCTCTGTCAGCCATCATCTCATCACTACTCCCTTTCTCTTTCATATCATGCCTCACACAGTCTATCTATCTTTTCTGTGGTTGTCTTGCTCTCTATCCATTGACATTCATCTCCAGTACTCTCTAAATTACATTAATATTATCCCTTCTAATAACATGTCCGTACCAGGTCAAACACTTTCATCTCAGTTTTTCTGTCACTGGTGCCACTTTTAAACTCCTGCTATATCAGCTATCTAGACACAAGTGCATTGATATTGTAACCAAATAATTTAAAAAATAGAAACAACTATTTTAATATGTTTTGGCTTAAATTTATGTCCACTCTTCATATCCTTTAGGCATATGATATATTGTATTTTTCTTACCCTGTTTCATAATATAGTTGACTACTTGTGTTCTCCTAACTTTTCCTGTTTGTCCAGCCAGTGTTGTAGCTCTTAATCCTTTGTATAGACCTGCCATACCTCCCAAACCTGGAAAGAGATTAGCATTTAGCACTGAACAATTATATACATATAACTAAAATTTTATAACCCACCTAAAATTTATACAAAATAATGAAACCAGTTTTTGTGATTTTCTTTGCTTCAATATTAATAATGTGGGACTTTGAAATAAATAGATGAATATGGTGTATGCCTTTCTAAATACCCATGACAAATAAATTAGAAATATTTTCTACATTTGATTTGACTATTGTGTAAATATTGTTTATTAATCTGGATTGTATTTACATGAGAGTACAACAAGATAGATTTGGAATGTTGCCAATATGCAAAATTCTACATTTTTTGAAATGACAATTTAAGTATGATCAGTATAGATGATACTCAATGACGCAATGTTAGTTAAATATTTAATTATTTGGTATTTTATGGTAATTGTACATTATATGAGTTTTAGTTATTTGTCCGTAGAATATTGCATTCGGTCGGTGTAATAAATTATGTTATATAAAACCATCATGATTGTTGGAGGTTATTATTTGTATGAATGATAAATACCTGAACCACTCATGAAGGACATTCCTATGATGGGTAGAGCTACGTTGGATCTTCTAGCAGTTGATGCCATATGTCTGTCGTCGAGATATAGGAATTCTGGTTGAGATTTTGGTATATAGTGAGGATCAAAATTGAGGTACGGCGATAACCCCGCCGCGCTTGTGTTACTTGTTTTTTCTTCATTTTTGTTTATAGGCAGCAAATCACTAAATAGGGACATTTTATTAGTTTCTTTTTTTTACATTAACACTGTTTCTAAAACTAGGAATGTGATTTCAGGAATCACGCACGGACTCGGAAAGCTGACAGATCGAAAAGACAGACATCAATGTCAAACAAAAATTGACAAATGACAATCTGTATTTTTTTAATTTATACTGGCTTGGACCCCAGTCTTTAAGCTTACATACAGAAAATTTACATTGATATTTCAAATGTGTTTGGTAGGAATACTGTATATATATATATATTTTAAATAAAAGTTAAGTTGTGACATATATGGGTCATTCAACTTTTAAAGAAAAAAAATGAAAATAGAATTCTTGGTGTTTTTATTTTAAATTAATTTTAATAAATTGATCAACTAAAACTATCAATGGCATTACTAGAAACAGAGATCGTGACGTAGTAATTTCAGAGAAACGACATTAATTGTGTATAACTTCCTAACAAGAATGACGTTATACAGGAATAATTTAAAACCACTGCGAAGATTTTGTGAAAATAAACTTTAAGTAATTTAAACAAACACGTATTTTTTTTATTTTGATATGTTCTAATACTAAAAAATAAAGTTATCGCTTATCAAAGATCAAGATTTTAAAACTTAATTTACGGACACCGCGCGCCGTGCGTCAACTGAGCGCTCGCTCGACGCCGGCCGTAGGCATGTACTCGTAGGTACCTATCTACACGGGTCACTGGCCGCTCATTTTGTTAGATTCGAACTAGATTTTATGCCATGATCTGAGGTGATTTCTAAGAGTAATTCCAATTTTCCCTTCATACTTTTATGGTTAAGGCCATCACAATGCAAAAAAATAAAAGAGAAACAAATTCGTTACCTAGAAAAAAATATTAACGTTATGCCGAAGTTACATAGGTACTTCTGCGTTAAGGCGTATTTAAAAAAATTAGAATCAACTACGTATTTACAATAATGTTGGATCAAAACAAATACCTAACTAATTACTTACCATGTATTTTAACATTTGTTCAAAATGAAGTCCACGTCTGTCCAGACATAAACGTGCACATTTCATTAAATTGTCATTTAATTTGTTTAAAACACTAGTGTCACTTTTCACTTCACTGAAAGCGTTATTATTTTTTATTGTTAGGACTTCTAGACTTTGTGCCTCCTCAACATCTCGGCGTTTGACTTCTTCCCATAAGAAAGAGTCCCTCACGTGTGAACAATGCCTCATCCGTCCACAAGATGTTTGCATCGCGGTGATGTAGAAGCCACTCACATAAGGCTCGACGTGGTACTGGGTCTAGGTCATGGAACTGTTGAACCGACTGAAAGTGGTACGGATGGAGTCCGGCTGTTTTTAGCAGCTTCAATACCGCAGGCTGGCTCACACCAAAGAGACATGCCGCATCGTGGGTACTGACTCTGGGACTTCGTCTGTTAAAATGGCTCGAAGCATTAGGGACCGCGGGGTTACGGATCCCAAAGGCCCGCATACGAGATATGCTCTTCGTCGCATACTTTCTCCGAATTGCGCTTATGTAGGTTTTCACCACTTAGAAGATAAACTCGTACCATCTCGTAAAACTCACGACGGCGGGCGCGTCGCGTGCGCGGGAACGCGAGGGCACGTCACATCGGCGCGTGCGTATGAGTCTCACTGCCGCGCGCGTCGCTCGGTCCCAGCGGGGCGGTGGGGGCTGTAACGGGGGGCTACCGGGCGCGGCGGGGATGCACGGTGGTATACGCAAGAGAAGACGTTTTCATTGAAGTTTTATTTTAAAAAATGTGTCCATATTTTACCGTTTCGATAGGGATAAAAATATTTAAAAAAAAATTTTTAACTAATTATGGAAAAGTGTTCTATTACTGATACTGAACCACCAAAAAAAATTTTTGCACTGGAAAAAAAATATTCCTGTATATATGTCAATTTTCTGTATTAGTATTTTGGCAGAATTGTGCGAAACGCGCAGATAAGCCATTAATAAAAGAAGTATATTAGTATTTCTGAATAACAATAAAAAATAATTTATATTTCAAAGTATTGATTCGAAATATATAATTATGAAAATAAAGTAAAATAAAACCAACCGAAATTATCGAAACGTAATAAAAATTCTTATATTTTTGATTACGGAAATGATGTTACAAACGTTATCCGAAATAAAAAGTATGACCTATACGTAAATATTTACTTGTTCTTTACGAATTTCACGTTCATATGTCGAGTGTGACGAATCATACTGCAGTTAAAAATATAACTAAATAGTAAAAATAAACAACCAAAAATAATTATAGAAAGATATTTTTATGTTATACTTTGATGTACTGGTGTGACTGATTCATGCTGTCATAATTATTAAAAAAACCCTTAATTTACAAAATCTTGTGATTTTCTGCTTGCTTGATGCCCAACCTTAATATTAATCGGCCGACTTCAACTTTAATAATTTTTTGGTTATATTGAGATTTTTTGAAGAATACTTTTAATTTTTTTTGTGGTGCTGACGATACTATTATATTATTGAAGTTCATAAGAATATTGTTTTTTGCTTTAGAGAAAAAAGGACCCCAGAGGATGCGAGAAAAATTATAAGAACTGCTAAATTACATGAATCTGAATTAACTGAGACAACACAAGTCCTGAGATTTGTAGATGCTAGCAATCGAAATGCTAATTTACGACTACTACAATTGGATGATTACCTTTTGAAAGAAATTGAAGAAGGAAAAGAATTAATTTTTAAGGGTGTGACATTTTAAAATATCTTACTGTATTGCACACTTTATTGACTTTATTAAAAGCATTAAGTTGAATTATTATTTATTTTAGGTGATGGTGATGAAAATGTTGTTTTATGTACCAACACTAAGACATATGATGTCAAAGAAGCAGAAACATCCAACAGCTTACTTTTAGTGCCAGGCTTGTTATTTGCAGCAGAAACGGGCCTGAATGAAACTGTTCAAAATGACTCCATGGAATGTGATTCTGACACTTCATTTGAGAAATCCAATACGAGTCTCAACAAATCCACCGACTCTGACGAAGGAAACAAAGTACCCCGTAAAATTGAACATAAAGATATTATTAACACGTTTTTTACTTATTACGAGCTCAGACCATGTAAACCACGTCTTTCTAAATTGCGTAAATTGCTCGAATCTACGATGTATCAGGGTGTTGAATTGGAGTATGCAGTAGAGAAAAGTAAATTGATGACATATGAAGACATATTCGATGAAATTCAAGCTTCGAGATTAGAGTTGGATGAGGAATTAGAAAAAATACAAGCAATTAAGATAGATGGCTACTATCGTTTGTTGGATTTTGATTATGAATTTAGGGTCTTATCATATATGCTGGATCTTATCGAAGAAAATTCTTGGCCTTTAGATAAAATATCAAAAGAAGTCACTTTTGAAAGCTTGAAAGAACTTTTACCTATTTCCATATTAGAGGCAATGTTTAGGTTCTACACTACCGAATCTATTATAGAGGATGGTATTCAATATTATGAGTACAAACAGGATAAAGTTTGTATTTTCTTAGCAAGAGTATTGTTAAAAAGCGCAGGAAAATTTAATTTTTCTGAATTTATGCAAGCATGGAAAGATTCTGTTCCTGAAGGAATGGTACCTAATGTAAGTTCTTAGTGATTCGCAGAATTACAATTTGTTCAGTTCAGTTTTGATTTGTAAACATAATCAGTCTTAACGAAGAGGATAACAAATGTATTACTTTATTTTTGTCATTGAAATACTGCTTACGCATTGATGTGTTTTGGCTACATTACAAATATATATATTGGTTCGCACACCGGTTTCAAAGTGTTGCAACGTTTGAGGTCTGCATCCCGGGTTCAATGTATGATGTATGTAATGTCGAAAACTTTTCTATATGATCTCGGGTCTGAGTGTTGTGCCTTTGTTTTTTCAAATACACCATAATAAGAGGGCTTTAGCTACTCATCTTGGAATCTGAGCAATTAATATTAGACCTTATTAACATCCTTATACTTTATTGAGCTTTATTATGTTTATTTTATCATTGTTACAGGAATCTTTACTTTCTGGGGTGGCCCTGATTGATAAATCAAACACACCGAATGTGATTTGGGCTTTAGCTGAATCAGATCTACCAGAAGATATTAACGAAAGATTCAAAGTCTTATTTCAAAGAAAGGCAAAATGGACAGTTCAAGAAATTTCACCTTATATACAGTAAGATTTATACCCATACATAATTATAGCAATAATATTTGTAATTGTAAATCAAATTATAATAATTTATTTAGTTTGTCAAGAATTATTGCAGCTGATATTTTTTGACAGGTGTTACGCAACAGAGAAACTAAGCGTTAATGCAATTTTAACGAAGTATGCTCGTGCTTCAACACAAGATGGTGTTAGAGTTTTTTCTGCAAAGCACATGAAGTAAATGGACAAAGCTCTACTAAAAGTTAAATAAAAACATTTTGTTCAGTTATTTTTTATTCTTAATTAAATTAGCATTAAAATCTGTATATACATTTATATAATCTAATTAACACAGCCATATTATATTCTGCTAATACATGTGTCGTAAATCATGACGCCAATATTTAAAATATTGAAATATTTTAATGAATATCTTATCGACAAGAAGACTTAGGCTTAGCATTCAAGAAATTTTAGATTTTATTTATCCAGTTAATTATATAATCTTTATTATTATTTATTTAACGTCTAGAATGTAAAATTAACTAAAATTTTGAGTTTAAGTATACATTAATCTTTGGTTTGTTGTTTATGAGTGCTTGACATTTTTTCTTAGTATCTCCAGCTCGTCCCACATTTCTTTCGGTAAATCCTCGCCAACTTCTTCCTTGAAGTATTTTTCGATAGCATCCGCCTGTGAAATAAATTAAACACTCCATAAATGTTTAAAGACTATAGATATATTATGAAATCGCAAAAGCTTATTTTAGTAAATAATTGTAAACATCTAACTTGTTCGAGTGGAATCATAAAATAATATTAATGTAAAACAAACTCATATAACCAAAACGTACCTCTTTCAACCAGAAATCTTGTGGAATGCTGAACAATTGCTTCATATCAATATCTCCGAGACCTTTAATATTCAATTCACCATCTTTTGGTATAAAACCTAGTGGTGTTTCCTGGTGGCAAGTTTCACCGTCGCAACGACGCAGCACCCACTCCAGAACTCGTGAATTTTCTCCAAAACCGGGCCAAAGGAATTTGCCCTGTACAAAAAAAGGTATTACTAAATAAATTACAATAAACTTGAAGAAAAAATCAGCATTCGAAGTTCTTAAGCATGGGCATTTCATATTTAATTTGCATTTCGATGTGATATTAAATTAAAAGTAGTGTTTACCTCATCACTCTTACGGAACCAATTGACATGGAAGATCTTTGGCATTTGTCTCTTCGGCTGAGGCATCGACAACCAGTGTTTTAAGTAGTCACCAAAGTTGTATCCGAAGAACGGGCGCATGGCAAATGGGTCATGCATCACAACCTTTCCCTGTATAAAAAAATAAAAATGATTTATTGATTGATTGAATTTATCAGTAATCATAAATAATCAATGTGTAAAAAAACATTTTTTTTTATAAATTTGCATAGATGTTCTTAGTGATATAGTTGATAAAGAAAACTAACGCTGTGTTCAGCAGCTGCAGTAGCTTCAGATCTCATAGAAGCTCCCATGAAAACTCCATGTTTCCAGTCGCGTGCTTCAACAATTAAGGGCACTCCAGCTGGCCGACGACCACCCAATAAGATTGCCGATATCGGAACACCTTCCGCACTCTCCCAGTCTCCATCTATTATCGGGCACTGGCCCGCAGGTGTGCAAAATCTAAAAGAAAAATTACAAATTATTTGCCATAAAGTAGAGTACATTTTTGCAAATGGCAACATTTTTGTAATAGTTTTTTGATAGCCTTGGATATTCGTTTTTGGCATAATATCTTACCTTGAGTTGGGATGTGCTGCCGGTGTATTTTTGTTAGCATTCCATGGTTGACCCTTCCAATCAGTAAGGTTTTCGGGAGCGGATCCCATGCCTTCCCACCATACTCCGCCGTCTTGCGTCTCTGCTACGTTTGTAAAGACAGTGTTTTTGAATACTGTTGCCATTGCGATGGGGTTGGTATCTGCTGATGTGCCTGTGAAATAACATATGGTGTATTTTAAAGACACGTTAACGCTTGCTGTTTAATGTAGTAAATCATTTATATTAGGTATTATTACTATAATACCTACTGGATAGGACCGGTTTATTTTTTCAATTTGCCTAATGATTTTTAGATTGCAATTACATCTAATAGTATCGTAACATTTATAAAAAAACATTTAATTTTTGTATGATCGTTAAAACTGGTTTTAAAAATACTAGATAATTAATTTGAAATTTTATTTAATAGCTTTTTATGAGAAGTATTATTCTATAAATGTGTTAGAACATACTCAAAAATATACCAAAAAGCATAGGTCTTACAACAACTATCTTGTATGAAGATTTTCTCTATGAGTCGGTTTTTTAATATTTAATTAACAAAATCACACTCCCTTTTTGAATTGTTTTATAACGTAAAGTAAAAACCAGTATTTGGTATATTACTGTTCTTATAGTACACATCAAAAACTAGTACTACCAATTTTTTTTCTTACCTGGTGCTACACCAAAGAACCCGTTCTCCGGGTTGATAGCTCTCAGTACACCGTTGCTGTCAAACTTCATCCAGGCAATATCGTCGCCAACACATTCCACTTTATATCCTGGTAATGAGGGTGTCATCATGGCTAAGTTTGTCTTTCCGCAAGCCGATGGGAATGCAGCGGCGATGTAGCGTTTACGGCCTTTAGGATCAGTGATTCCCAGGATCTGTTATAAAATAAAATTATGTTCTAATAAACAGTTCGAAAATCAACGACTTATACCATCAACAGATGTCGCCACTAATGGGGCACAAGATTTCCATATAAATTTAATCAAATAAAGTAATATTTGTAACAAAAAAGAAAGCTAAGCATATACTCGAAGGACCAGAGTATATGTTAATAAGTAGTAATTGACATAAGACTTGAAATTATTTATTATATATTTCTATTATATATAAATTCGTTCATTTTTGAAACGTTAATACAAATGCATTTTTCTAATAATTTTCGGTAGTTTTTAATTTTTCAAACGATACGTACCAACATATGCTCGGCCAGCCATCCCTCGCGGCGTGCCAAAACTGACCCCAAGCGGAGAGCAAAGCATTTCTTCCCCAGCAGACTGTTGCCTCCATATCCACTGCCTTTAGGACAAAATAACATTCTTATGATTAATAAAAAAAGTAAAAATAAAATTCTAGTATTCTGGGAAATTCAGGAAAATATATTCTGAAATTTAGAGATTTTTAGCTTCAAAAATAAAATCACGGAATGACATTTACAATTAGGTAGGTACGTAAATCATACGAAACAATAAAATCGGTGTAATTGCACCGCACAATTAAATAACAATTAAAAATTATTAGCTTAATTGAATGTAAAGGAACTTCTTAACATTTAATTCTAAATAGACGATAAAAATGAATTTATAAAATTAATATTTATTTAACAGTGTTTCTTACCATAGCTAATGATCTCGTTGTCCACGGGTCTATGCAGGATCACTGTGCGTTGAGGATCACATGGCCATCCGGGCACACCGCCAGTTCCTACAGAGTGCAGGCAACGGACAAACGTTTCGTCTTGACGAAGAGCTTCCAACACTTTGCTACCTGTATACAATAATAAGGTTCAATTTTAGAAGTAAATTTATCTTAGAAAAATACTCGAAAATAAACTGCCACATGTAGCACGTATTTTTAGGTAAAATAAAAGTAAATATTTATGATAAAATAAATGATGTATAAGATATTACATTAAAAGATACTTAACAAAAAATAAAATTCAAAAAGAAAGTTTTATGACAACTTTTCTTCTACTCTGATCATTGGGAGAGGCCAATACACCAGCAGGCCTAAGTTGGCCAGCAGGCCTTCGTTGGCAAGCAAGTATGTTGGCAAATAAATATAGAAGTCCTGCTTGCCAAATAAGGCTGCTGCTGCATATGGACATGTACAAATAACTTACCGATTCTGGTCATCACTCGCATGGAGTATACGACATACGGCGAGTCTGTGATCTCGATACCGATCTTCGACAGCGGGGATCCAACGGGACCCATCGAGAACGGAATCACATACATCGTGCGACCTGCGAAAAATGATTAATTCAATACTAGTTTGAACTGATATTCTACAGATGCTGTTTTTTTTAAGTAAACAACATTTGTAAGAACAAAAACAAACAGAGTAATAACATCCTATATTCTTTAATTTACTGAGAAGTCACTGTCGATTAGAAAATAATTGAAATATAATCTTATGACGTCATAACAAAGTGAATCGATCGCATGGGAGCGACAAGTATAGAAGGTTTCCCCTGCTTTAACATTATTATTTTACGTTTCCACTTTCAAATCAGTTTATCTTATGCTATCAATAGGATCAAAATTGCTTTGTGCGAGTAGTATAGTTCGAAGTTCTTATTGTACCTATTTAGCTTCATTACTTGATACAATTGGTACTTACCTACTTTACCTAGTGCTTTAATTGAAAGACCCTCAAATTCTGTGTAGATCCTCTAGTGATGTGGGAGTTCCTATCAAATAATATAAGTCGTTTTGCCGTCTTACCTCGCATGCATCCTGGGAATCTGTCAGCGACCACTTTCTCGTAATCAGGGGGCGCTATGTAGTTGCCTAGTGCTGATTTCTGTCCTAGTCTAGCTGCCGGGATCACATCTCTCTCCTTCTCAGAACAGATGAAAGTACGAGACTCCACGCGGGCTACATCAGCGGGATCCGTGCGAGCCAACCAACTAAACGAACAGGGAACGTTAGCATTTTTTACATTAGACAAGTATTATTAGAGCGCACTTACTGCGAATACGGAGATCAAGCAAGTTCTACAAAAGCGTATCGGAGGATGGATTATTTATTGTTTCGTAAGTGTGACTTTTTGAGTCCTGATAAACTATCAATATAATCATTGGTTATAGATTAATGTCTGAATTAAGTAGCCAATCTTTCGCTTCCGCAGTAAACAGCAACTTTTTAATCAGAGAAACCACCTTCTGGGACAATTCTAATATGCTAGGTGATCCAGTCCTGCGTCCCACTGGCACAAGTACTACAATGGGCCACAAGACTGGGTGACTAGAAGTTTATTTGCTTCTCCTTGCTTCGGAAAGCTAGTTAAGGCAATGGTCCCGACTACATCTGCTGTTGTAAACATACAATGAGCTCTCACGATGGGATATGGTATCTTTTCCTGTCTTTCTATGGACAAACCGTATTTCCAAGCAGTGGAAACTTTAAAGGGATCAACGACTTGACCATGCCTTTTGAAGCACGGATGATTCATAGTTATATGCGTATATTTCTTGTCACCCTGATGACCGGTTTTTGAATAATTTATTCTCCGTAATCATAGAATGAACGCGTAGCTAATTCATTATCACCAGCCCTTTTACGTCCCCTCTGCAGGGGCTCAGACCTTCCTTATGGATGGTTAAGGAGGGTGGGCCATGACCCTCCAAGCTGGCCCAATGCGGATTGGAGGGTATTAACGACTGCAAATGCAGCCGGGACTAACGACTTAACGTGCCTTCCGGAGCACAGAGTAGCTCGAGATAATAATTTTTAGGTCACCCATCCCGTGACCGACCCTTGCGAAAATTGCTTAACGATTACGATCGCGGGCCGCGGCGCTTATCCACTACGCCACCGAGCTACTCGTAGCTTATTCCCCTAATATTATTCAAATAATACTGACCAGTTCTCATATTTAGTCAGCGGTTTCAGAGTGCCCTGTTGCTGCATTAGGTGCAACAAGGCGGAGGCTTCACCCTCGGAGCCGTCACACACGTGGACATGGTCAGGCTGACAGAGGGCCGCACTACGCTCGACAAACGAACGAGCCTGTGGGATAACATCACACTTATTATTCTTATCGTGATTATAATGTGCTTCCGCGACATTCGATGAGACAAGACACAGATGGTGCTTTTTTGCGCGGCAAATATTATCTAAGTATTTTTTTATTAATTATTCGCGAACCATCACGGTTATTCCCGGATACAAAATCACTTATCTTCTTAATAATGTAAGTTAATTTCTGTTGTTCTATTTGTCTCACAAAAATTTGAGAACGGCTGGGCCGAGTTAGCTTTTGGTTTTAAAATGTTTGTCCTATTCCAGGGACGGTTTAAATAGTGAGAGGTGATACGAAGTACCTACAGAGAAACTAATGAGGTATGATAAAAAATTACATTTAATCTTAAATATTTTCTTATAATTTTTCTTGTTTAAAATAATTTTAAAATTAGTTATACTTATTTTAAAAATAAAACGACTAAAAGAGAAACGCAATGAAATCATATAACTCGTCAATGAGACAGATAGAGACACCGTATTTATTTTAATCGAGTGCTCGTAAATTTTCCGATAATAATATGAGTCAGTTTGTACCACAAAGTGACATTCAGATTTATCAATTGTCGTTATAAATAAATGTAAGTCCCTGGATGGGAGAATATCTCCTAGTTTATAATTTAGTTAATTTAAGAGTTGTAATTCGTAACGAATTTTCCGGGACAGTCCCGTATCATTGATGTTGTCCCACGTCCCGATTTCTTATTAATTTTGTCCCTATTACAGATAACGATCGACGATTGCTCCATTCGCGCCTTAGGTATCCCTACGCAGGTCCCGCTGTGATGCAATCCGCCATTTAATAGACTTTTTTTATTTTTCCTATGACATCTTTGAACTGAAGTCCAATTATTTCTGGTGTCTCGAATTTTGTTTTTCAAAAGGTGGGAACTTCTATATTTTAGACATATTATATTAATTTACATCCCGTCACAGAACAGCCTGAGTTGCAGTGCAATTCTGTTCAAATAAATAGCCTTGTATTTTCAATAAATAAAACGGGGTTCAAAAAGTTTTTATTTTATTGAACTATAACGCAACATCGCTGAGTCGAGGATGTTATTTAACGAATAACAAAGCAAGAATATAAGGATAAATATTTTATCAGTTTCTGTGTTGTCTATTAAGAAATTTCAGAATGCTGTGAAACTATTTGCTTCCTGCTGCATAATTTGTTTCCAATTGTCCGCATTTCTAATCAAAGTGAAAAGGAAAAGGTATGAATTATATTTATATTGTTTAAACGACCTCTGTTTTCCTATCAAAGGTTCTTCCTTTGTAATAGTAATTGGATCAAAGGTACCAACTTCTTAATATTAAGAATGAACGAATAAACTATTTTGTTTTGCTCAACATTTATACGTAATAAAGTTATGTACTAACTATATCTGAATTTCTTTGTTGATCTTACTTCTTACTAATATTATATAGGCGAAAATTTGTAAGTTTGAATAATAGATACTTCTTCACATAAAAAACTACTAAACGGATTTTGCTAAAGAATATACCTAGGGCTAATTCTAAGCCTGCATTGACATTATTAATTTTTATGCCACTAAACGAACCCTAGGGATGAAAGTATCGTCAAGTTTATTTGTAAGAGGTAATTTTCAGAAATACTAATCCGATCATGAAAATTCTTTTATCAACGGGAAGTTAATTCATACGCGGGTGACATAGGCGGGATAGCTTATGTAAAATAAAATAATACCTTGGGTGTCAAAGCAGCGAGTTGTGGAGCAGGCTTGTTTGCTCCTCGCACAGCTGTCTGATGCGATGCACGGGTGCACGACAGCGCCACCTGTGCACATCTATGGACAAAGAGAATTTATTTAACATTGAAGGAGATGCTTGCTCATAAAAATAAACTCATTAATGTTCAAATTGATCGTTAAAAATATCGCCCTTTACTTTAGAAATTGTTATTGAAAATTGTTTTTGTTCCAGAAATTTCTTCTGGTCATATAACACCACAGTCTAACAAGGACTTCTGGAATAACTGTTTTAAGTTTCTGAACACCCGTCATGGATTTTTTTCTACCGACGCTTTTTTATAATTAACTAATTAAAACAGAGAATAAAGAGGATAAATTGTAAACAATTTTTAAGCATAACATCCTAAAGCATAAACTTAAAAACTTTCATTAAGTTCGCCGGCCGCTGTGTGTTCCCTCCGATCGCTTGGCTCGCTTTTTTTGGTCATAGTTGTAATTTCAACTAACTCATTGATATATTCATTCATGTCTAACGGTCAGCTGCACAATCGTCTATTAAGGTTTAATGACGCCTTCAAGAAGTAATGAATTTCAAAATTGTATGGGTAATGTCACTTTAAACTAATGAATTTTAACCGACATTTGTGCAACTCACTATATGAACGACAGAAATTAAAATAATGCGGATAATTATCAGCCCAAAAGATAAATATGCCAACATATTACTACTACATGCCAAAATAAATTATGGCAAAATACTTTGCGAAAATACCAAAACGGTTATGTTAAAGTATATTACTAATAATAACATTATGTTAAAAGAACGAATCCTTATTCAAAGGTTTTTTTTTAACATTACTCTACAAAATAAAAACATTAATATCTCTATCTCGAAGTTTCACATTCAGACAGGCATCTGTCTGTCTTTATTTTATAATACATTATGCATGCATTCACTGTTATATAAAATGATTCACAATTTATCCCATTGTGCCGATTTTTAAATGACTAATGGGGAACAATGAAACTTGTTTCTAGTGGTGGGTGTACGGTCAACACTGTGGATATGCCAGTAAGATAACACAATCGATTTGTTCCGCGAACGTAATTAGATCTTTTATGGAAACTTTACGAGAATGTTGTGTCTGCGTAGGACAAATATCTATAAACTAATTATGACATTCCTGTTTACTGCTTATTCGTTAGCAAAATATTAAGACGTTCCATTATTAATTCGGTGAAGTATTAACTTATTAAAAATGAATATTAGTTGGTGCCTAATTTTAGTTAAAAAGCGCTAATCTGCAGATTTATAAATTGCATAATAATAATAAATAAATAACATAACAAAGATGATTAATAATTTCAAAAAAATCAGGAAATTATTTATATCAGTGGGATCATTTGAATATATTATAAGTATATTAGGTATCCAATGACAATAATATATTAAATGAAGAAAGAAATTTTAAAATCGGTGCAGTTGTCTTTAAATATTTTCTTAAACGTAATATACTACGGATAAAGTGAAAAGGTTTCAATATTAAACTATTCCGAACGGATAGGTACTAAATAATTTAAGACTTAATAAAAATTCTGATTGACAAGGGAGATTTAAAATTTCTTATTTCAAATTTTCGATGTAATGCTCGAAACAACAGTAGAATTGGGAGAAAATTTAAATTATTAACGTGAAAATAGATATTTTATAAATAGTAATATTAAAAATACTTACTGCACAGTCTTCCTCACATAATCTTCAGGAATAGTTTTAAAGTGCAACATTTTTAAAAAATCTTAAGACAAAGAACTGGGAAACACGAATTACTATATTAAACTAAAAATATATTTAAATTAATACTTTATGATTTATTAAAGTGGCTAATAATTTAGAAAAACAAAATAATCGCCTAGACTAAATTTTATCAAAATTACTGAAACTGAACAGGAATATTAGCCACCTATAATATCCAATTATGTTTAATCTTTCACCCATTTAACAAATGAATTGACTTTGCAACGATCAAACGCGGAATGTTATAAACTAATGCGCGCGCGCCTTTTATATTGGAGGAGTGTTCGTAAGGCGTTTTGTGATTGGTCGATTACGCAGGCGGGTCACATACGTAGAAAAATCGTATTATCAGCCAGTTATGATAATATATAATAATCTGTTTTCATGTTGACCTCTGTAGAGAAAATATATATATTTTTTATTGTTATGTTCTTCGGACATTCAGTAATAGTAGTTTGATTTCGTCATCGACGCGAAGGCTCATTTATTGCATCAGCCGTGGAAAGGGCATGCGTTGTATACGAAATTTGATTCTGTATCTGGTGGAAAATATAAAGTTATTTAAACTCTTTAGTTATTCTATATTAAAAAAAAAGCAAATTAAAAAAATATTTTTGATATTAAATTATTGTTTTTAATTTTTAAAAATACTTATATTGATATTTATTTAACTGCCTTAGATCATCTGATGCAACTTATGTTGAAATAAAATCATGCTGTGATTGGGTTACAAAATATTGTCATATCGAGCCATTATTGTGATTATTGTCTTGTTTATATGAAGCACTTTACTTACCAGACCATTAACTAAGATCTGCTTTGTTATTCTGTTAAAAATAGCCTCTAACTCGACGTCGAGCGCTGCGCTGTCACCGACAAGAGCTCCAATGAAATAAAACCTTTTGCAGACGGTTTTATTTGATTATACGTCTGTGACGAAGATTTCGAGGCTGTTTTTATAACAGAATAGCAATATCAGATAGAAGTTATATCAAGCAACAAGTTTTGATTAGAATTTATGCTGAGCGATCTCTAGTCGATCATAATGCATGACATACGTTACGTGTTGGCATGCATGCATGACCGTCTAGGTACCGCTTTATGATTTATCGAATTATTAGCTTCAGGTTTACGCAAGTTTGAGGCCCTAAAACCTGTTTTAATATTGGTATTTATGTTTCACTCCAACGCGTCCCGTGTATATTAAAAGGGTCTGCTTGATATTAATACTTATGCATTCAATCTCGTAATGCATAAAATATGTTAATGTGTAGTACAAATTGTATATCATAAATTGTTTCATTTACTTCATACCAAACAATAAACCTGCAGTGTTATTTTATTACTAGCTTTCTGCCAAGGGCTTCTCCCGCGTGATCCATATAAACTTCTTCTCCCGCTTAGGTGTGGAATTTATAAAAATCCTGAATTCTTAGTCCTCACTTACACCATGAGAGGAACCCCTGTATCAAATTTCAATTTTCTAGATACAGCAGTTTCCGCTGTGCGTTGATATATAAATCCTGCCTTATTATAGCGCGGTCAAAGAGTAAAGATTCAATCAAATAAAACCCTCTTTCAAAGGAAATAAAAGTTTTATTATATTGAAGATCTTTGACATAGTAGCGATGTCCTCGACTCTTCACTTTTAAGGGTTCCGTACCCAAAGGGTAAAACGGGAGTCCTATTATTAAGAATTCGCTGGCTGTCTATCACAGGCTGTCTATTACCAGGCTGTTTATCACCAGGCTGTATCTCATGAACCGTGAAAGTTAGACAGTTCCAATTTTCACCGATGATTTATTCAATAACAAATTCTAAAAACCAGAATAAAATAAATATTTAAGGGGAATTCCGTACAACAAACATGATTTTTTACTGTCACTAGTCCCCGTACTGTCGAACGCACCGCGATCGATCGACATTGCAATTGTGCCGCTCCGCACTCTTGATTAGTTCATTACTATACTTTGGCGCTAGTATATCCAATCAGGGGGCCAATTCTACTAAAGAAATTTTGTTTAAATCGAATCGAAAACGGATCGAACTGGAATTGTATCGTATGTCACTTTGTAGAATAGGAAAACCATTAAAAACTGTAGTTTCGTTCGGTTTCGATCCATTTTCGATTCGATTTAAATAAAATTTATTTAGTAGAATTGGGCCCCTGGAGTATGAAGCGGCACAATAGGGATGATGACTGGGTAAAAAAAATGCAATTCTATTTAGTCCGTCAGTCAGATAATAGAAGAATATTAGATACGTATTTTTTTTACTTCAATTTAACAAGAAATGGTTTAGATAACAGGCATTAAAGTTGAGGAGTGGGGGCTCGCTACGTCACAGTTGAGTAGAAAACGTACTCTAACGTGACGTCATGCGAAATTTCAACTCAATGTAACGCCGTAATTTAATGATTCCGAAAAAAAAAAAAAAAAACGTGTTTAATATTTTTGAAAACTCTACCTGAGGGACAAACAAACTAAAATTAGTCATCATCCCTATTGCAATGACGATCGGTGCGATTACGTTCGAGAGTAAGGGGGCGGACTGTATCTCATGAAACGTGATAGACAGTTTAAATCTTCATATATAATGTATTTCTGTTGCCGCTATTACAACAAATACTACAAAATAGAATAAAATAACAATTAAAGAGTTCTCCCGTACCGTTGGAAGGTGTTTACATGAACTTACATAATATTAGCCGGTTAAAGTTTCGTAAGAAAATTATAAAAATAAGTTTTTATGTGTTTGCGTTGATACAAAGGAACTTTATTTTGTCACACAAAAATAAAACTATACATATGTATATATATGATTTATAATGATTGCACGAATCAACCTTTACTTTTATTAATTACCTACTAATTTATTAAAAGAGTCTTTTAGGTAATTAAATATTATTAACACAATTTCCTAAATTATATATTGAATCACTTTCATTCTAATAATGACGACTTATTTATTTTTTAAATGTCACGTGTTATGTTTATTTATCCAAAGGTATGCAAGTCTAGAATATATTTCCCGATGACCATGAACTTTAGAAAGACGCTTTGTAAAATAATTTATGTATTCAAGTATATTCTATATGAAAAAATAAGCACATTTTAATCAACAATGTATGTACTAGTTCATTTTGCACATATTTGTAATGCAAAGTGATTCATTTTATAATATTTTTACTTTTACACTTTGTGTTTTCATTGGTGGGTGTGTCAACAGGTGATTTTATTACGAAAATTTGATATAACAATTTGAAAATACTGATTTTTAAATATTTACCGTTCATTTCTGTCTAGGTTAACATCGATTTCGAGTCTATATTTTTAACAGCGACGTGTAAATCGTGTTTACTATAGATCTCGTATATTTGAAAGGTTCTTGTCTACCAAGCGGTCCTTGGCATTAAATAATACCGGTTATCAATAAATTCAAGAAATTCTAGATAATAAATATGTGGATAAAGAAATAGGATATATCGCTACCTCCGGAGAATAATATGACAAAAACGATTGTCATGTTTTTAGTGTTATTGCATTTTTGAGCTCCTCGTGGTCCAATACACATTGTGAATTTTTTCCAGATATTTCCTACGAGTTTTTACAAAGATACAAAATATTGGCATGATATTCAACGAATTCAATGTTTTTACTTATGCCTAGAACAACAATATTTAATACATTAGCAATATAAATATAACTGTTTAGGCAGACATTGTTACTTTATCATGTTATTCGCGTAAGAAAATCAGCCGATTGTATTGATATATGCTATTAGCATGGTATTCTTGTACAAACACAACAGTTGAGATAGGTTTCTCCACCGGTTTGACAATTTTTTTTTATATGTAAGTAATAAATTTTTTTAGGTATGTTCATCAAACTTAATAATTACCTACAACCATCTACGATTATCTGTCACGATTTATTTCTTTTACGTTTTATCAACAATAAATACGTAAACAGACGTAAACTTATTACATCATTAAGTATTATAGACTAGGAGATCGTGAACGACAATGGCAATTTATAGTGCAACACACTTCAGCAGAACCTATAAAACGTATGACATTAGACCGCAAGAATAATATAATTCAAAGCGTAAAATAATATTTACCCATAAATAACACAAAATTACAAGTATGTAAAATATTTTTCAAAAATACATTGAATGTAACACATCAAACTATATATACTGCTTTAGAAAAAGCTCAATCTGCAGATGATTTTTATGACCAAAGAGGACGTCATAAAAATAAACTGCGGCGCATGACTACGTATACTGAAGATAGTATAAAGAAAAATATTGAACTATTCCCCACAACTGAATCACATTATGTCAGAGAAAAGTCCCAAAAACTGTACCTTTCATCATACTTAAATATTTCAAAAATGTATCGTTTTTATAAAGATTGATTCAAGAATCAAAATTACGATGAAGACATAGAGATGGGAACACTAAGACAATACCAAACTGTGTTTAATACTCAGTACAATTACTACTTTTTTGTGCCCAAAAAAAATTACGCGGTAAGTGTGAATTATAAAAACAAGCTGATGATGACAAGAAACAATTGTTGCAAGAAGATTATGATAAACATATAAAAAACAAAGAAAGAGCTCTGAAACTGCAAGAGGAAGAAAAGAAGAACCTTGATCATAATAAAAGTACAGTTGCAAATTTCGATTTGGAGAAGGTGTTGAGTATACCACAACCTCGGGTAGAAATATTCCACTACAAAAGGAAATATCCAAGTTACAATTTTACTGTCTATAACTCAGTGCTCCGACAAGGATTCTGTTACGTGTGGCACTATCAATTAGCAAAAAGAATTGAAATTGGCAGTTGCTTGTTTTTGAACACTGAACATGAACGTGGCATTGAACATATTTCCTTTTATTCTGATGATTGTGCAGGCCAAAATAAGAATAAATCCATATTTGCTCTTTAAATTAAATATCACACATCGATTCTTTGAAACTGGACACGGGCAAAGTGAGATATACACCCCAGACCAAATGTATGATTTAATTCAAAATTCAAAGGCTACCGGCAATAAATTTATAGTTAAAGAAATGGAACAGTCCAATTTCTATGACATTAAAGTTCTTGTTGCGGGAAAACATTGGGTGCAAGATGTACAAGGCAATAAAATTTTATGGTCTAAA